GTCAAGCCGTCGGCTCAAAGGCGCTGATATCCTTTTGTTGGATCCGAAGGCGACTCTTTGGGGCCCAGCCATCTTAGATCAAACCCAAGTTCGGCCGACAGGGTTCTACACCCAGGCAAATTCCAAGCACAAACTCAAAGGTAGCATCGACGCATATAGTCGGGCCTTCCCTCGTCGGAGCGAACATAGCATAACAGAGCATCAGTTGCAGTGAAACGGCCAGGAACCCGTCCTCGGACCAGTGATGAGACGTCCGGAAGCTCTCGCAACAGAGAACGACTGATTGTCAACCATGTTTGCTTCCGACCTCGGCAGAGCAATGCCGTATATCCCGGGCTATGCAAGCGTTCCGCCCGTTGCCAGGGAAGAACATACTCGTATTCAGGCATCCTTGCGGTTTCCGAGTCGTATCAAAGCAGGCCTGTATCTTTATGCATCACACACCGCCAGAAGATGAACGAACGAAACAAACCCCTTATTCCAGAAGCCCTCTCTTTGCGGAAGCCACGTCTTGGCGCAGCAGATACTGCGCCTCGCTCGCATAGCGAACCATCTTCTCGTTCGGTTGAATTGTCCGAACAGCAAAGCAAGTCCTTCTCCGACGAGCGATCTGCCCTCCTTTTTCGAAATAATATTCCAATTCGAAACGCACATTCGCGTCTTCTTCACGCTGTGTCACCTCTCATTAGGTTGAGTAGACCTGTGGCTCGTAACGGATCCAGCCATAGATGCGGGAAAACATCCGGGCTCAGACGGCGAATCCGTTTGACGGGAAGGTGTCGGCGAGCCCCCCCCCCTGCGTGTGCAAGTCTGCCAGCCCACGATTGCCCAGGTTGAAAGAGTTTTCCTTTTCTGCGGCGTCCCTCTATTCATTCGTGGCATCACTCCATGCTCTCGGGAATGTCCCACCTTTTGCATACCGCTGGCCATCTCAGTCATTGCTTGGCTGCCGTACCCTCGGCACGGGTGATGCTTGCTCGGACCTCAAGTCGAAGAATGTGTGGACAATATCTGTCTTCAAAGTAGAGCACTATCTTCTTTAATCTGGCCGGCAAGGTAGTTGCACGAAAGAAATCTCCAACCTCAAATTTAATTACTAACTATAATAATATCTCCTAAAAATACTATATAAAGTTTTACAATCACACATGGATTATAAGGCTTCATAATGGTCGGATACTTATAATAGTAACACTAATCTACCTACCTAGTTAAGAGAGGATCTCGAGCAGCAAGCAATAGATAATTATTTACAAAGTGCTCACACTAAATCTTGATGTAACGCTAATCTTTATCTAATGAAGCTATAAAGGTATCTTGCCAATCCTATAGCTACTTAAGTTTAATATGGGCAATGGGGGGGTTATGGGCTACCTGGCTACACTCGCAGCTCAACCTACAACAACATTGGCCATACTTCGTTTCAAAAAACGTGCGCCCTATTTCAGCAACTACAATGGTCGGCTCTCTCGGCATCAGGTGCAGGAACAATGCAGCCGTCGTCTGCCAATTCCGCGTTAGGACACATAGCGCGTAGACTAACCTCGGAAGCCGCAATGTTTTAACAGACTCTTCCACATGGTCATACAACGGCCTCATCTCGGCAGGTTGCAAGGAAGGCGATGGGTGCTGGGTCTCTGTGGACATTATCGCTGGAGTGGCCAACCATGAGAGTAGCTCAAACTTCACGCTCCAAAAGGATGCATCATTCACACTGGTCTACACCCTCACCGGCGGGACTGCCACTCCAAGCTAGGAAGGCCCCGAAGAGGCGTCTGTGCTCCATGTTGGGCAAAACGGCGCCTTTGTGTTTCGAGCCCGAGTCAGGACAAACAGCACGGAGATGGACCTGTCTAGGTCTTTGGCTGTTGATATAGATACCGGCTGGACGTTCACGGAGTTGAGCGGCTACGGCTTCAATGACGGAGACGATTGCTAGATGTCTATGTATGTTGAAGCCGGGAGAACGAACCATGAGTCTGGCGATAAGTTCGCCTTGCGAAAGAATGCGCCGCTCGTGGCCAACTACGCCCTATCGGGAACGGTATGGTTTCCTTCCTAATCCCGGGGCGCGGATAAGGACTGGACTCAAGATGATAATTGATAACTCTTTAGACAGTTGGAACCGCCTCTAAGACTAAGGATGCACGCTTATAAATTCATCAATGTTAGCAATGGGCTAGTATCTATTTAACCCGTGTCATTCAAACCCAGTCCGCTATATTAAGTCCATATTAAGCCAATGTAGGTATTAATTGCTGCTTTACTATGGAGTACTTCAGAACACCGCTTGGTAAGAAGAAACTCAAGTATGAGTAGTTGGTCCTTTCCCCGTACTGCAAATAGCACTCGTGCCGTTTGCGTCGCGCTCCTCACCGCACCAAACGTAGATGCTGAGAAAAGTCTCCGTGACCTTTGTCTTGTATAATTCATCACATGTCCAGCCCACACGCAAAGTGTCATTGAGGCAAAGGGTGACGCAGCAATTTGTCTTGACTGGTTTCCAGACGAAGCTCCGGACGTTGAAACCAATATCGGACTTTCCAGTGTCGCGGAGGAGGCCCGTGTGATTGCCATTGTAGTTTGATTCTGAAAAGCTTTGAAAGGCAAATTTGTTGCCTGAGTCGGTTGCGTTGTTGAGGAAGGTCTCGGTTGGGATCGGTATTGAGGACGTGGGTGTCGTAGAACTTAAGAGACGGTTAGTGGTATTCAAATTGTGTGGAAGCGTGATTCTCCCTCTTACCTCTGCGAAGTGGTGCTTGATGTCACTGTCGTGGATGTATCCTCTGATGACTCTATTGAGTTCGACGATTGTGAGGCAGCAGCAGCTCGCGAGCCACCAACACCGCCGCCTACGGCCGCTGCAACAATGACAATAAGGGCCACAACGATAATGATGAACGTGTTCCGCTTCAAGCCTAGTATGCTTCCAGACCCTCCCACCTTCTTCGGATTCTGCTCCTCGACGCTCGGTGAAGAGTCGTATTTGACTGAAGAGAGTTCATGCTTCACCTGGCCGTCGTGCTTCAGACTGTCATCGGGTTGACTCATCGCCTGCGGGAATTGATCTGATTCACTGTACTCTTGGTAACCGATAGGGTACTTGGCATGGGCGTCGTTCAATCTTTGGGAGTATTCGGCTTGATAAGAAGAAATAACCTGTGGAGAGGTATCGGGCTGTACGACCTCCGGAAGGTCGTTATAAGTTGGGCTGCCATGGTGTTCGGTTGGGGCCTCGTTTTTTTCGTGTTGTGCGGACATCGTTGATATGGAGTTCATGATGAACTAAAATCTATCTAGTAGCTTGACTAGCAGATTCGCTTCCCTTTAAACATTGAGCTGGAGGGAAAATGAGCCTCCGCAGTGGGTTACCGTCACCAGGCCCAGAAAATTGCACATGGGGGATTGCAGATCTAGAGATTCCCTGTTCAGCCGACTTGCCGTTTCCAGCATTGATAAGCATCGCGTGCATTGCTACTGTCACATTAAGGCATGCCCGATGCCTTGGATTTGTGGAGCGAAAGGGTTCGATTGAAGTTATCGAGAATTTTCACCAACCAGTGTTTCAGATTGACGCAGGGGCAGGGTCGGCAGGATCAAGCCCTATGAACAAATACGGTATGCTACCCGACTTCTCGCAGGGTTTACTCCTTTAGCGTAAATTACAGCTGAAACTGGAGCATATAAAATGCGGCCGTGTAGGGAAAAAGACAAGTTCACTCGTTTCCCCATTAAGCGGAGGCCTGAGCCCTGTTCTCTTTCACTGAACATAACCTCCGTTCTTGCGTTCTTGCGTTCTTGCGTTCTTGCGTTCTTGCGTTCTTGCGTTCTTGCGTTCTTGCGGGAGAACTTACTGCGGGATGTTTAGGATTGAAACTCGTCGCCAATGTCCAATGTCTCACACAGGGGTTTTGCTATTATGGAGACCCTCGTAATTCGTATCTGGGGAGACAGGGGTGAAGGATGTCATCGCTTACCTCGGTCTGTCCTACTTCACTCGCCAGGTTGTATTGATGCATAAGACTTCCCCAGCGGATCTTTGCTTCTCAGTACATTAATCAGCTTCCGTGTTCCCCCAACAAACACTGTGTTATCATAGAAGCGTCCGTTTTGAACAACGGCTATCGTAAAGCTAAGTTGAGAAGGCGGGGATAGCGATGCCGTTAGCAGTAGCTAATGGGAAATCGTCAGTAACCTTATTTGGGTAATTTGATAAATTTATAATTGGGTTCTGGTAGGGCTTCATTTAATGGTCTGCCTTTATATTCACCTTTGGCAGGATACCTGCTATCCTCAACCGCTGGACCCCCTTGTCCGAGGTATGATGACAAATTGGATCATCAATTCTGAACATAGAAGAAAGCAGGCCTGGAACCTTATTATCGGAGCCGCCAGGTGCGTACTCGTCGATGATACTATGGAGTTTAGCCTGGGCCAGCGGATACGGGGGAAGGCAGGTTAGCTGGGTTATGATGATGGGACGTCGGGCGGAGTATAGGGTAGGTCATAGAGATTTGGGCCTCTGCGCCAGGTGATCCTGTTCTCAAACCTCGTTAGGTGGTCTAACGAATTAGTAGGCCCCGGAGTTCACGTAATGCCCGAGATAAGCAAGTCTCTCGCCTGTAATGTATAACTTCTGAAGCAGGAGATTCTGGGTTTGAGGGGGAAAATGCTTGTCAAGGAGCGGGGAGGATGGAGCTATAACTGGGTCCAGACTGGAGATTTACTAGCTAATGTAATTGGGAATTACCTACTCATAGGACCCCCATGGGGAATAGAGTCAAAAAAGAAAACCCCTTAGCTAAGTATAAGCCTTTTTTTTCTTTTTCTTTCTTTCCCTTTTTTAGGTTTAATGTTTAATAGGGCGTTTCTATTTGCGAGATAATACGCCGTAGCCAGGCCGTATGTGTTGTGGAATACGTTAACAGCTTTTAAGGGCGAAGTTGAGCTAAACGATATTACAGTTGTATATAAACCCAGCGTAACATATTATTAAAAATATGATAGGACTAGCACGAGAAATAAACGGTTACGTTGAGCCCTGGGTGTCTCGCCCGGTGACACAGCCGAAATCAAAAGTAGGTAATCCTGCCAACTTCATCTCGGGGGGCTTGAATCCTCATATTCCCTGGTATCTTCCACCCAGCCCAATCTTAAGTAACTCGTGCGTCTACTCTAGGGTATTGATATGCCCCGCGCTCCCACACTCTCCATGGAGATTATAGAGCATGGCCCCAAAGGAGAGCTTTAAGGGCGATTCCAGGCATCTCACCCCAGGTTCTTTGCCAGGGTAGACGGTTGGGCAAAAGAATCGCACCTAAGCAAGTCCGATGGTGTTGAGATTGACTTCTATGCACAACCTTGGATGCTGAACAACCCCCATCCTCAAGCCATCATCTCAAACCTCGAGGGTTTGGCATACTCCTAGACCACCGATGATAACGTTGTCGTCTGGATCGGCACTGAAAAGTGCATTGAGACCAACAAGATCACATCATCTGCTCTTCATGAGCGCTGGCTCCGCCTGCGCCTGACCATCAAAGGCAAGGAACTTCATATCCATCTGTCCTACATTGCCGCTTGAAGCGAAATTGGCCCGGGCCGATGTACCGTTCAAACCACGCTCGCTAATGCCGCTTGTCTTGACTCTGGAAACCTGCTGTACTGTGTGGCGACCTTGGCTGCCAATCCAGCATCAACTTCCGAGCTTCCAGTACACTACTTTAATGGAAGAATTGACTCACCCAGCTCTCGGGCTCTTAGGCTCTTGGGCGGAAGAGTTGGGATATTGCTACGTACGACTTTTCGGTTGGTATCGACCCGGACGAGATCTTTGATATCTCAGCATCGGGGCTTAACGGTGTCCTCATCAATGCTGCAACCCGCGCTGTTCGTGGCCACGATTATGATCACAAACTAATTAGTGCTGGCTGGAAAGATGCGACGTATGATTACGGAGCGATACACTTCCACGATGATGACCTTAATGATACAGCATGGGATGCCAACTTTCAATTTACAGTGCCTGCCAATCTTCGATCTGGCGCATACTCTATTGAAGTCCAAGGCACTGAGTCAGACCTCAAGGATTCGATTGTCTTTTGTCCGACCAAAAAAAGTCCGACCCAGGGCTAAGATTGCCTCTGTATTTTCTACGTTTACCTACCTGGCCTATGCCTACATGCACATACATGACGAGACCAAATCAACGTACATCTCATTGCCTGAGGGGGTCCAGCTAGTAACCTCGCCGGAGAGAGTGGTGACGAGCTCAGCCGGATGGATGTGGCCATTGAAAGTCCTGAAATTACGATTCTGCTGCTTAGAAGCGAGCGGCACGACGATCACTTCATGTTATTCAACGAGGAACTTATCTTTCCTATGATTGGAACGCTTGGTTCTCCACCTTCTCTTGCCAGGAGTGACATGGTATATTACCAAACGAATGGGGGCGAGTCTGTGTTTAGTGTGGGAAGTATCAACTGGAGTAATTCTCTGACCTGGGATGGATAACCAAAATGGCATTACTCAGACTACTGAGAATGTAATTCGCGAGTTTCTTGCTCGTGGGAAGAGATAAGCCGAAAACCTCTACTAGCTGTCACTGGATGAAAAAATTAATGGACTGTGTAGTTTAGCTCCGTGTTTTGTTATGTAACCTCCTTGCTTACTGTCCTCAACTATTTAAAGTAGATTTTCAGCTCGGATGTCACTACTGGCTCGCTGACTTGTTTTCATCCCTAAATACTTCTGAATGGAATGGAAGAACATGAATAGCTAAAAGCTGTGCTCTACGGCGTGGCTCGTGTTGTCGTCTCTCCCCACGGCTGGGGTAACGTCGAGGACCGGACAATCGGATTTAGGAATCTCACCCCACTCAAGGTTTCAGGGATCTTCACAACCTATCTGTGTTTGGAAGTATCTCTAGCCAATGGCAGTATCCTAGTCCCGCCCATGTGATCCTTCGGACGGCGAGAATAAGAGTGGACTCGGAGAAAATCATCACTTATCGTCCCCTACCTTAGCATGTCCCATCTTAACTCTCGCCTGCTGTTGCGTTACACCGTCAATACTCAGATTTGTCACATAGGTTGCCACTTAGCAAGCTCTACAGCATGGTATCTGGGCCATTTTTGTTCGTTGAATCATGCGACGGAGTGGGTGGTAAGCCAAAACTCCCTGCGCGAGCACGGTCATTCGTCATCCGCAACGCAAGAGCAAAACAATTATATCGGAAGGGCATCTCGAAAGCTAATAAAATTCCAAGGCGTCTAGAGCCAAAGATCAAAAGGGTTCGAAGGCGAGACTGTCTAAACGCTGTTGAGGAAAGGATCTCACCTAACGGAGGCCAATATTCAGACCTGCTTGATCTAGTTAGTATGCCGCGCAACTGTATTTGCAGACGAAAAGCCAACCTATGGGTCTTGATGGCAGCACGTTGCCTTTTCTGCTCGTCCCGAGACCTGACTGCGCGTCTGGTATACGAGGGTCGTTTGCTTGGGTCCAAGTTAGAACCCTTTCATGCTGTTGGCATAGAAGTCAATCACCCACATTATGAACTTCTCCTTTACTGTAAGATTCTAGTCTCATCTAGAGTAATATAATACTGACCCCAGCTCCAGTCACTAACGCAATTATGCCGTCGTTGGAATTATTGCAATATTGGCTGGCACCATCTTTTGGTCACCCAGCCTTTATGCATGCGATATTGTGTCTAGCAGCTGTCCAGTTGAGTGCCGAGCGGCCACACGAGCCTAGACACTTTAAAAGTTTCCTTGAACACCGCATCCTTGCAATTGCCGCCGTCCAACAAAACCTTGCGAGCGAGGAGCTCGCCTTGACCGATGAAAATATTGCGGCTGTTTTCAGTCTTCTTTGTGTCGAAGAGAACTTCTATATCCATGCTACGGAGATCTATTCCAAGGCCGGGAGATATCTGCAGCAGGACGACATACAGAGGGCAACCCATTTAGCAGGGTTACAGCGCATGTTGTCCATTCGTGGAGGCGCCGGCTCGCTGGAAAGCTCGCGTGTGCTACAGGCCTTCATCATACGATGGATCTGCACGCCCCGTGGATGCCGGCTGGCCTATGTCATCCCACAGGCAATCCCTGTCGATAGGGAGAGTTCGACTGGTCCACAGCGTGATCCGCTCTTTTTAACCGAACCTGACATCCTGGCTGACGATTTCTTGCAACGTGTGTACAATTATCCTTCTGCATCTGCCTTTGCTCGGCAGCATTCAACGATGACTGCCGCATGTAGAAAGATTGGAATGAGTGAGGCTGTAATCAGAATCATCTCTACTGATGACTGCTTAAGAAAGGATGCTCTAGCATGGCTCAAAGACCCTGACAACCACCCTTGGGATGCCTTAGACATACAGAACGTATTTTCAATGACCATTGGGAACCTATCATCTTGGATCCTGGAAAATGAATCAAAAATGTCCGCCGCAGAAAACATCACGCTGCTCTGCATTTTCGTGGTGGTCTCGTGGACTGGGATTGGCAGCACCGGTTGCGGACTTCATGGTATTCTTTCCAGGATGAGAAGGTATTTCGACTCCGATCACGTCATGCTAGAGCTGAAAATCGCTGGTATTGAGGTCTGGGTCAGTGTTATTCTTCTCATTATATCAATGGGGATTCCCACTCATTGGGACTACTTCTTCGGTAGGTGCACCGCGATGCTGGCGGATCGAATACCCCGAATCGAGACATGACGATCTTCACGTCGATCTGTCACAATATCTCTGGTGTCCTCATTCCTTAGGTCACTGTGCTAGGATTATTTGGGAGACAATTGGTAACACTTCAGAGGACAATGCTGCTCAAGGATGGCAGGGCATCATGGTCGGAGAAGACCCTGTCCTGCTACATCCGGCATTGATTATACCGAAACAGTATTTCAATGGCCAGATAAAGGCTTTGGTTGGTAAAGAACTTGTACAGTAGTTACTTACTTTATCTGTCCAGGCCGGACGTGGAGGATAGTGCTATTTGCAACCTTGGAAGTTAGATTGGACTGGAGGGACTAGCTCACTAATCTTAAGTCATGTGAGTATGAAATTTAATATCAGCTGTGGCAAATGAAATATAAAGATGTAGGTTGACACTGTCCTAGATGCAAATCTGGCTTTACTTGAATGCTATACTCGATCTGACCCCGACATATTGAATTGTCCACCGCTAGCTAAAAACTACTCATTTTTTTTTTTCAATGTTTATTTGAGTTAACACATAAATCCACTGAACCTAGGATCGATTCTTCAACTCAGTCCTTGTGATCCGTAGTCACAATGATGGATTCCCATTCATTCAGAAGCTTGTCCGTGTCGGCCATCTTCTCCTTGATACCCGTCAAAATATCGGATCCTAACACTAGACGCACTGGGATTTCCCTGCCGGCGCCTACGGCCGTGCCAGTAAACACATCAATGATAACTCGAGCAGCAGCAGCTACATTACCGAGTTGTTTATTGTCCGCCTGATTGAGCACTCCGTGAAAGTTGCGCGCAGCGGTGTCGTCGTACGCCGCAATGTGCCGTGCTGACTGTATGCGGTGGGCGCCCGAGTTGAGGTGGGCGGTGCGGAAGTAACCCGGCTCAATGACGCAGGCGCGGATGCCAAATGGTGCAAGTTCTGGCACCAGGGATTCAGTCAGTCCCGAGACGGCCCATTTAGTGGCGTTGTAGCTCGCGATGCCCGGCATGCCCGTCCAGCTCGCCAGGCTGCCAAAGTGGGCGAGAACCGAAGACCGCTGTGCTCGCAAGTACGGCAGGGCTGCTCGCGTGATGTTGACGGCGCCGAAGACATTGGTGTTGAAAGTGTCCAAAATCTCTTGGTTACTAGACGGGATAGTGTTAGTTGGTCAGATGGACCTCTGCAATTTGACCGATGACACTTACCTGGACTCTTCGAGCGCTCCTTCCAACACATAACCAGCAGCGTTGATGACGTGTGTGATCTTGCTATAGATAGAGTTGGCTTCCTCCAGCTTTGCGGCAAGAGTGACTTCATCGGCTGTAACGTCCAAGTCCATGATAGCTGCGCCAGCCTCCTTGAGGTGCTCAATCTTCATGGACTGACGGGCCGTTGCAATCACTCTAAAGTTGCGTTTCCTCGCCTCTAGAGCAATGGATTCTCCAAAGCCGGAGCTTGCTCCAGTAATGAAGAATACGGGATCCGACATGTCTGTTGTTAAGGTGGTTGTTGTTGAGTTACAAGTATGAGCAATAACAGGTACGCTTTGAACTTGAAGCAGAAGCAAGCAGTATCAAATGTTCGGTTTGGCCAAGCTTCGTGATCTGGGTGAAGATACGAATAGATTCATTATCATTAGGGCTTCCTGTATAATATATAGGTTTCACGCCGACCTGACTGGATCTAAACATACTTATATCCGGGACTCAAAGAAGTTGAAGTGTACCCGGAGTAGAACGTCATCTTCGAAACCTGGCGATATAATTGGATCAACTAATTGCCTAATTCAGAGGTTACTAGGATCCTGGAGTTTTGGAATCAAGATATACCTACGGCAAGGTGCATTATTTCCGTAAACCCCACTCCCAGCCCACATAAAGAAACATTGACATCGGGTTTAGAAGCAGGATCGGTGATAGGATCGATTACTGAGGAGATCACCAGGGCGATTTAGAACCAATCTTGGCAATTGCAAAGATATATAGACGGAGATTAGGGCGCGCTAAAGATCTTCTAGGTGGATATCCGGGGTTGAACTCAGTATCCACGCAACTCATTGGCTGCGAGACATGCCAGTTTACAGCGTAGCGCTATTGCGTGGAGACCGAGAAGAGTAGATCAGGTGTAAAAGAAGTAATATGGGATGGAAACCGTCTTGATTGTGCGGCCTACTTAGCAACGTGGGCACTAGCACCCACTCCAGAGACGTCAACTTACGTAGTAGTGCACCGTTCTTTGCCGACATGCCCATGTTGAAGCTGGATTCCTTCCTATAGGAGTTTGGTCTCCGCTTCGTATTCGGGAGATGCATCCATACTTCGCGGCTACTCGAAATACGCAGCAGGTGTGGCAGGGTCTTCATTCACGAGCCGGTAGACTCTAGGGCCACAAAAAACCTCGAGCTTCTTATAACTATAAACATTGACCTCAGCCCGCACTATTTCTCCTCAAAATTGGCAATAAAATACAACATTTTCAAGAAAAGGAACACTACACTTAACCCTCACGTTATACATCATGGCTTTTGTTGTCACCGCGCTATATCCTGCTTCAGAAGGAACAACCTTCAATATGACTTATTACGTTCAGACGCATATGCCACTCGTTGAAAGTTTCTGGAAAGAGCATGGCCTACTTCACTGGAAACTCGTCAAGTTCGACGAAGGGCAGAAGCCTCCATTCAGCATGGCAAATATCATCACGTTCAAGGATGCGGCAAGCTTCGCGGCTGCCACGTCCGGTCCCGGCAAAGACAAAATTGCGGCCGATGTACCCAACTTTTGCAATTGCGAGCCGAAGATAATTGGAGGAGAACTGGTCTTCAGCGGCTGAGTGCCTAAAGACATCTTTTGGTGAACCGCTCGCACTATCTTTGACGGGTAGCGATCAGGATATGGAGGAAGACGACAAATATGTCAAGGAGAGAAGCTGTTGGCACGGTCAAATTGAAAGAAATAGCTCGAATATATGGAAAATATCCTAACTAAAGGATTCCGCAAATGCTCCCGTTTGATTAACCTTCTGCATTTTCTTTCGAAAGCAGCTAGGATGGTGAGCATTGCTGATGAGAGTATGTATTTTGTATGGTTTTATGATGATGTAAAGCATAAGTGAATTCTTTTTTAGTAATAAAGTCCAAGATGGCCAATCCAACTTTTCCTAAGAAAAACTCGACAAACTCAATGTCTCTAATTCGCATTCACAAATCTTCAATATGCATACCATAATTCAGGTTCGGCGCATGGGTAACCTCCAAGAGAGTAAGGTCGAAGTTGCTCGTGGGCGTCAACTTTAAATCACCCACCGAAGAGTCACCCACTCCAAAGGTAAAAAAAAGGCGAAATACATTTACCCTCGACCTTCAGAGTGGTGCTTGCTGATGAGTCTGCTACGATTGAGGTCTTGGTTGATCAACTGGTCCAGGATGGTGTTGACCAGCGTTTGGCAACAAACTCCTTGAAGTCTGCATCGAAGCTAGCAAAGCAACCCGACATCTTCGCGAAAGGCATTTTCAGGGCTACCATAGTGATGACAACGACCAACGATGCTATCGCCGACGACAATTCCGTAAGGAAGGGTCTCCATATCCGTGGTGTGTGGTTGTGTTTGGCTGAGCTAGAGGATGAGAGAGAATGACGGCAGACGTGCGTCAGGATGTCACAGTGAGTTGGTCCCCCGCTTTTGGTTGACAATGACGAGCGAATCACAAGTTCATGTGTCCAGATTGTTACAGCCCCAAAGTATCTGCAGTGCATCCAAGCATGCAACGTTACCCTGACTATAACAATCATGCCATGCACTTTGCTGCTCGAGCAGCGCCTTGCCTTGGTCGAGTTGACGTGGCTTGTGCGACGAGCGCACGCTTGGCCATGCAACCGTTGCGGGTGGCCGTTGTTCCATTCTATCACCAGTCAAGCTTGATCCGATAGCCATCAGTATCTGAGCATTATTTCCTGGATGGAATGAACTTCACCTATTCTTGTATCTGACGTTCACGTTTGTCAATCTCTTCGGCTAAGCCTAAGCGATGGGGATTCTTACGAGACTCGGCCTTCGTCGCAGCAGCATCTGGGAGCCGTATACTATTCTGGACTATCTGATATCGTCGCCGTTAATTTACTTGAGCATAAAGTTCTACTACTTCATTCTCTTCCTGCGACCATGCCCGGTCCATCCTCCTAAGGATAAGCCCGCTGTCCGTCTCGTCTGTATCGCTGACACCCATAGTCAGACTGTGGCAGTCCCGGATGGCGATATCCTGATCCATGCAGGTGACATCACGCATTTTGGAACCGTTGCCGAGCTCAACACTCAATTCGATTGGCTCCGCTCCCAACCACATCCCGTCAAGATCATCGTCGCTGGGAATCATGACTACTGGTTCGATCCGGCCAACCGCCCTACCGAAGATGTTTCCTCGGGCCAAATGCCAGACTTGGCAGGTCTGATTTACCTTGAAAATAGCTCGACTTTGCAAGAAGTCAAGGGGCGCAAGTTTCATATTTATGGTGCGCCGTATATGCCAAAGGTTGGCGGCTACAGGTTTGCGTATGTGATTGAGAAGGATCACCTCTTTTCGACAAGACTGATAATCTGAGGGTGTCTCTCCAGGTTCGAGTATACTGAAGCCACCCAACCTTGGTTAAACAAAGTCCCGATTGAGACAGATATCCTCGTCACTCACTGTCCTCCTGTAAGGTCCCTGAGCTCTCCCTCTTTGACTATCTCCCGCTGACCCACATCCAGCAACACCACCGTGATCTCTATCAAGGATGTCCGCACCTTCTGCGCGAGGTCTGGCGTGTCAAGCCCTTGCTTCATGTTTTCGGCCATGCGCACTGGTGTCACGGTACTGAAGCTGTCTTTTTTGACAAGTTTCAAGCAACATATGAGCGCTTGCTCTTGCGTCCCCGCCGTGGACTGATTAGGGACTTGATCCCTAGCCAGAAATGGCTTGATGTCCTCATTTTCGTTTACTACGGTATCCACGGCGTTCTATTGTCGTGGCTACGAACCAGTGCTGGTGGACATCAGGGCAGCATGATGGTCAATGCTGCGCAGGTACATGGTAATACCGGCAAGGTTAGGGACAGAGCCGTTGTATTGGAAATCTAGCATAAGATGTCGTAAGGTTCGCATTGGGTTGCTGGTGTAATGTTACTTTGCCCTCCGTAGCCCTTGTGGAGATGGATATTCGTGCGTACATGACTTCAATGATCTGGGAGAAGATGCCCTACTTGGCCGCGGCCCCAGGTACCATTTAGGATAACACGGGTTAGGCTTGCTCTTGGTGGCTGGAAGCTTACCTACTGCTCCATTGAGGTGGCTGCTGTCAGACGGTTCAGGCGGCCGGTTGCATGGTAGATGGAGGCTAAGCAGCAAAAATGCCTCAACAAGCAAGCTACACAACACATTGCGAGCTCAGCCATCAAACCGAATAACGGCTCACAGTGCCTCATTTCATAGCCTATTTGATTCAGGCAGCTGCAGTCCATGACGCGTGATCGTCCGTTAGCCCAAATCCTCTATGGTCACGACATTAGTAGATTAAACAGCACAATATAGGATGGAGCCTGGCAACCGACAAAATGACCGCCGCACAATCGCCTCTCCTGGTGCTATCAGAGCCGTTGCAATCATCGGCGCCGGGCTGAGCGGGCTAGTATCCGCCGTGCATTTGCTCCGCGCTGGCATCGACATCACCATCTTCGAACGAGCAAACCATGTGGGCGGAGCTTGGAAATATAACCCACAACCAGATCGGGATCCACCGTTCCCTAGCGTTCGACCACCGACTCCGGACTGGGCCGAGGTGGAACGGCTACAGGGGGAAGGGTTGAGTATCGAGGAGGCGGTGTTGCGGTTTGCTCCACCAGGCCCGGTGTATGCGAACATGAAGAGCAGAGGCAACAAAGTGGCCATGCGGACCTCCCTGGCGAACTGGCCCGAGGGAAGCGGGGATCCTCTAGATCATAGCGAGGTGCTAGAGTATCTCCAGGGTGTTGCTCTCACCCACGGTGTGCAAGATAAGATTCGCTTCGGCACGCAGGTGGAAGCGGTATCGAAGGAGGAAGGAACTGGTCACTGGCGAATTCGGACTTCTAGGCTCGTTACGACAAGAACGAGCTATAAGATGGAGGGGGAGACGTGGAGGTTCGATGCTGTCGTCGTGGCCACGGGAAGATACGGCGTCCCTCGCGTGCCTGATGTGCCCGGACTATCGACCTGGAAGCGCATGTTCCCAGATCGGCTGATGCACGCCAAACAGTACCGCACGCCAACATCCTTCCGAGACAAGAGGGTGCTCATTATAGGGGCCTTTATCTCTGCCCTCGAGGTAGCCAGGGAGTTGACTGACAACGGTGCAATGGTGTACCAGAGTGCAACTGATACGAGAGTCGACTTCAGGGACCAAGCAGGTCATGAAAATGCCGTCAAAGTGGCTATGGTAACCGAGTTCGTCGCATTCGCGCAGAACGGAGAGGAACAGAGCTCGAGGTCAAAGACGCTCGATGACGACCAGCCTATTCCAGGACAGGTAATCCTCCAAGACGGGCGAGTACTGAAGGACATACACCATGTCATAATAGCGACCGGCTACCTGACAACCTACCCTTTCCTTGGCCCTGCTCTGGAGCAGCCTTTCACGTCACTCGAAGAGGCGGACGACAAGGTTATTACCACCGGCGATGCTAGAACCGTGCATAATTTGCACGAGGATATCTTTTATATCCCCGACCCAACTCTGGCCTTTATCGGTGTCACGCAATTCGCCTCTACATTCTCGCTCTACGATTTCCAAGCCCAGATCCTCGCGGCCGTGTTCGCGGGCCGTGTGCGGCTTCCCTCTGAGGCTTCAATGAAGGCAGAGCAGCGGCGCCGTAAGAGCCGGGTTCTGCCAGGAACCCTACTGAATAGCATATTTCTGTTGGACGATGTTGTGATCCGCAGGTTGTTAGATTGGGTTAACAAGGAATTGGAAGCGGGTGGGTTCGAGCCTCTTTCTGGGCCAGATTCTGAATGGTGGGATGCCTTTAGAGAGCAGAGAGAAGGTTCTCGGTCACTATTGGGCGTGCTGCAGGATAATTACTTGGGTCAATAGAGGGCAATTGAGTGACTATCGAATAGTATTTCACTGCATTTCTCTGCAGTCATATACTATATCAAGGCAAGTACAATTCTAGTTTTGCCGTGACTGCATACGGGGCCCACAGAATCCCGGATACAAGAGTTGTCAGAACAGTGATGGGCATTGGGTTCATTCCGCCGGGCATGGGAAATAAGCTACCTACTATACACCTTTGAAAACTCCTGAATTTATGTTTCCACTCCACAAGACAGTGCCGAGATTGTGTGGCAAAGGAATGAGTGCATATACATATAAGTCTTGACCTGTTCATACATCGATCCGCGCGCCTTAAAGGGGCTGCACTCGGCAGACAGCAGCGCCGGACATGGGTGTTGAAATTAACTCCATGGATGAATCAGCCCTTGGGTTCCCATCGAATAGGTGTGGGCTGGTTGTTTGTGTCTTTTCGAGTTGATCCTGAGAACATGCTTCTTGAAATAACTTGATCAATTAGTTCAAAGTCATCATTAGGCGCAGGAGCCCGTTGCGTCTGACGTGAGAATCCTGGACTCCGACGAAAAGTCCGAAATCCGGCACTTGGACAATATCCGGTCAAACGAAAACAACTCCACCTTCTCCACAACCCCGAGTTACAAAACATTGAATAAGATTAATTGGTAAGCTGAGGCTCATGGTCTTTTGGTCCTCATCCTCGACTATTCGATTGGTAAGCTACTGTCACAAGGCTTAGCAGGTGTCCATAACGAAGGCGCGGTCTTGATTCTATACATACTATACTGAGAACTATGATTGATGTCACTCTTGAATGATAACTCTTGATATGTTTTTGATAGAATCTACTCTTAAGACTAGTTGATCAAATATTAGTAATTTATTGAGTTGAATTATTATACTGTAGTAATTCTAGAACTAAACATAGGCTCCGGCGGCAGCTCGGACTCGGACCCGTCGTTATCCCGAGGAGCCCATGAAGTCGAACCCGTGGCCGCGCGGTTGTCGATCCATGGCCCCCTATCTCCCAGCTCCACATCCTTTACTTTGAATGCAATACCGCTTCCACGCTTCCCGGAGGATGAGGTGAATCCGCTGTATTTGGAGCTTGAGCCCACTTTGTTTGAGTTGCTCCTGAACAAGGCCCCAAGAGTGGGCAGGCAGGCACATATGATGCTGAGCCCGAGCTGCATCATTGACCAAAAGAAGATGGCCCAGTCAGTGGCTATTTCAAATTGTCAATATCTCGGAGTCTTTGAACTTTTGAGGGAGGGATGATAGTTGTCTTACTTTTGGAAATTTCAGCCAGACGCACAATACTAGCTACGCAGACGCTGCGCAGTATAATTAGCATACCTATATGAAAGTGAGATTGGGCGAAGATGAAGTTGTACGTACCTTCCACCAAGCAAGAAGATTCCGATGACAGAGAACTTCTTCCATTTGTCTAGCTTCAGCTTCTGCACTGCAAATGCCGGGATGGATAGGATCACTACGTCGAAAAATAGATTGGTCGACTCGAATGGAATAAAGACGTAAGGGGCGTAGATGCAGAGCTCCGGAGGGTTATTTGTCGTCCAACCGTCGACTGGATTCTTGCATCGGAACGCGGCGAGGAACGTAAAGGCGATGCACCACATTACGCAAGCCACCGTCACAATTTTGATAAACATCTTATTCCGGCTATCCGCGCCGAATACATCCCATAGGAATGCCAGAATGCTGAACTTGACGACGGCATAATCGAAAGAATACAGAAGCTGGCTGATATATCTCAGCTAATCCGGTTGAAAATGGTCAGTGAGTTTGTCATAGGAGGTTGTAGTGTTATAGTATCAGTAACCTTGGAGAATGCTTGGAACCATATGACATGGGCCACGTCGGTTGGATCTGTGATATTGTGCGGTCTGAAAACACCACCGACGGCAGTATTGTGAAGGTCTAGTTCCGGAAATGTCAGCGAGTATCCAAGTCAAGCCTCAGGGAAGGATGCCCAATGCCGCCATCCTGATATTTCCTCGTATCACGACATTTCAGTTGAGGGGGGAGGCCTCACAATCGAACAGAAGTGCCGCGATGGCAATGCTAACAGCATAGGCTACCAAGCACAGGCCATCACTGAGATAATGGATATTTCGAGTTTTGAGTCGGGCTGCGCATCGCAATATCATACAAAGGGTCATTAGGACAATGATCACCCCATTGACTATAAGCAGATTTTTGGCCTCCGAATCGTAACGCGCCATTCTTCGCAGTGGGGGTTGGCGTCAAGTGGAAAGCAGCGCCTGTCAAGGCTTAGGAGCTTGACGTGGAGACCTTATCTGAGTACGAGGAAACACGGGATTGATATAGAGAGGGACATGCATTTTGAAGGATTACTTTGCACGTGGACTAATACAGGAACTGATGTAAGAGCCCACAAATTAGAGAAGGTGCAAGGGCTACTTATTTGAGCAGTTGAGAAGCCTTGCGCAGGGAGAAGGCTGAAATTTAAAATATAATAATGGCAGCCGGACTTTTTCGCGGACTTAACACCTTAAAAGACCGTAAGAGGGGCAGGGGGGCAACTTGTTCTTACCTAGATTAAGATAGGGCTCCATGCTTATACGCAAGGGGGACCCGGTAAGGAGTGAGCCTCGGCGTAATACTTCTCCCAATGCGCTCCTAGCCCTCTTTAATACTACCGGTTTTTTTCTCTGATAGGTCACGGCACTTCCCACTTGGATCGGCTCCCACAGACTTCATCGTCATGTTTACCTTCTTGGACTGCTCATGCTGACTTAGGACTGGAACATGGGTGCCAGGTCACACATGCTATTCGATACATCTGTGTGTTTTTCGCTAACCCTCATTCTTGAGTCCCGAGTCTTACTTTCAAGCTGGGTAGCCTCCTCAAATCGCACGTAGCCTTGGTTTTGGTATGGTGCAGCCAAAGATGCGAAGAAGCGCCGAGCGGTGATGTGACTAGGTAGGCTAAATTCTTCCCGCCCAACCCATTGGCAAGTGCCCGATAAGCACCAACTCTGCAGGCTCTCCTGCTCCAGACCGGGTGCTTTCCTCATTGCCGAACTTTGCCTCAGGCAAGAAGATTATCATGCCAAGATCCGCTCATACCAACTATTCTATTATTCGATCGACATGTTTAGTTCCCGACGGCTGGATCACGTCCATTCCCCCTAGCGCTAGCCTCATGGGGTCATTGCTTATTTCGTTGCGTATAAATCTTCCAACATCTTTAGGGGCCTCGGTAGCCTGGAAAAGTAGGCGCTCTACACCGTGAAAGAGACCAGGCTGGGAGTCGAACGGGTTGCGAATGACATGTATCGTTGTGGATAGAATGGACAAATGAGTAGATTGCTTGGCTTACATCCGTGTCCTTTCCAGTCAAATGGGAGCTAAAATGACAAACCACACCTTTGACGTTCAGTTTATCTTTTTTCACAACGATCTAAGAAGCGCCGGGCTTCTCAACCCAAATAGGCCGTAAATTCCTAGATGCGTATTTAATATTCTTTCGCTGACCGACAATGGGTATAGGGTGGATCAGCTTCCCTCAGAACTTGAAGCATTCCGGGCCAACATCGGCCCACAAAATAAACAGCAGCCTAACCAACTTCTTATGACGTGAATCGGTTGCCGCCCCACTTAACACATCGACGCACCCACCTACATACGACGTCAAACCAGCATATCTGCTGTCCAAGGTGCGAATGCCTGGCTCGTTTGTTCGAACCGGTCTGCCCACAAACCGACGTCGGACAAACACTCACTAGGATGTAGCAATGGAAACTTGGAACAACGCGAGGGTTTTGCCGATTCAGATGCATGCATCGAGGAGCTGAAATCCAGCATTGAGCTGTCACTGCCCCAACTACTGTTCTTGCGCAGCCATCCTGCTCCAGGCTGACTTTCCAGCATCAGCGCCTTTTGTCAAGTCGATCCCGAGCTCTTTTTTTGGTCTACCAGATACTTTACCGAACCGGGGAGCAACTATTAATTCGGCTCTGCTCCTTTGATGAGCAACATTTTTCGATTCTTGAGACTGCGGCCAGAGAGCTCCAGAGCTGCGAAAGAGCTGGGCGACGAAACCTGGTGACTCGAATGTGGACAATTTTCATGTGCTAGGTGAATAGGACTGTCTGGTTGAGCAGGAGATCAAAGACTCGACATTCGATATTGGGAAGACTCGGGCAGGTAAGACAGACCCCTCAAGAAAAATCCGCATTGGGGCATTTGCTGATGATTGTATCCATCGCCTACACGGACGCAGGCAACGACTTCGCCCATAGTCCACGGCCCCCAGGGCTTGGTAACGGCGAGCCACTGTCCATCACACTCTTCCCCAAAAGCGGCCGCCCGTCCACGTTGTTGTATCGACCGATCGAAGGAACGCGGCTAAGCGTAACCTGATGGAAGCATTCTGCCTCTTTCAAGACTTGCATATCCAAGCGCAGTCACTACAAGGCAAGTGCACTCAGGGAAAGAGTGTCATTAGCAACAGCAACATGCCGGCCGAGTCGCAGCGAGCTATCAAGCAAGCAGAGTTGGCCACGAAGCTCACCCTTGTAGCCTTCGTCTACTTCTCCTTCACTTTCACCGCTGGATTTTTCGGCATGAACTTTCAGGAGCTGGGCACTGGCGAGATATCCTTGTGGATATTTTTTGCTGCATCGTTCCTGTTCATGCTTGTTATTTGACATTTTTTGTCTTGGACATGCAACCAATCAGAAGGGCATGCCGTCATTTGGAAAGTTTCATGATAACCCATCAATGGCTTGAAGGTGGATGCGTGCACAGGTGTGGTTACGTGATCGAAGAGGCGTAGGTGAGTTTGGTCGGTTTGCTTGGACCAATCTTTCATTTTCTATTCTACTGAAGGGAGATGGTAATTGATTATTGCTGAATCAATTGTTTAACTCATACTAGAGAAAACATCATTCTTCCTTGATTAAGCCTTTTCTCTCTCTTAGAACTAGGACTCTGAGTCTTCTAAATCCTAACTACCTATTTACATAATAAAGTCTATATGAGGAAGGGGCTACGATACTTGATACAAGATATATCTTGCTTTCCTTTAGCATTCTATCTGCTGATTAAAGTATATTTCAAGCCTCTCCATTCAGGATGTGTGTCGGGAATGTTGTTGCGTTATTGCAGCATTAAACAAGTTGCATCTTGCTAGTGAAAATCATAACTGACAGTATTTAATTACGGGGAAATTATAATACGAATTCAGGTCCTTGAGACTGCAGTACCTTGAGATCTCTAACACGCACAAGCCGTAGTGTATAGGTTGTTGGTTGGCTGCCTCCTGAGAGTTACGTCGTGTCTTTCATGACACATTCTACATGCTGCAGCTTACGAAACATGTCCTGTTCAAGCGGGAGACGCCCGTCCGAAAAGCTACACTCCTCGCTAATTGATCCACCAATTAGGTGCTACCAGATTGCGTGGCAACCCCTGCATCCTGAAAGGTTACAACCCGCAATGAAGATCTCTTCTTAGTTAAGTTTATTTTTGCGGCTGTTTAATTCTTCCATTGGGAAGCTGTATTGTCTTAGCATGATTCCCCGGGTAAGATGACCAGATGGCTTTTGTTTCACATCGTGACGGATTTATAAAGATCTGCACTGTCATGCAAGCTGACAGTTATACCAGATATGGATTTCCTCCAATAAAAGGGATTTTGTCCAATTATAGATAGATGAACCTACATCAGACGAACATCTATCCGCCTTTAGGACAGAAAGTGATTGCTTCCGAATCTCTTAAAGACAGCCCCATATCCTAACCCTGGCATTCCCCCTGAACGTTGTTAGTTGAATGAGAAATGATCAGCTGAGCATGACGGTTCTCATTCGAGGAGAAATTTACAGAACATGATCTGGTCAATAAAGCTCAGGCGCACGAAGAGAAAGCTGCAAGATGACATCGTAATTGCCGCATGAGGCCTTATTTCGACGAATAAGTATATAAGTCCAATGATGTCTAACCTCGGTTTTCTGCCTAGCTCAACAGTTTAACCTGCAAAGCGCGACGAATCCTAGCTTCACCAAACTTATTGAATACTTCCTGCACTTGTTCAAAAGCGCTTTCTGTGTGTCTCTTGTACTACCACAATGAAGATCTCCTTGGCTCTTGTATACGCTGCCCTCGCTGGCTTGAGTAGCGCCCGCGCCCTTGACAAGAGAAACGAGCTTGCCAAGCGTCAGGCATCTGAAGAGTGCCCAATCGGTTACTGCACACAAAACGGCGGCACCAGTGGTGGAGCAGCCGGTGATACTGTCACGGTCTCTGACTTGGCTAGCCTCACGGAAGCTGCTGAGAGCGATGGACCTCTCACAATTATTGTCTCGGGTTCCATTTCTGGTAGCGCCAAGATTCGGGTTGCAGCTGACAAGACGATCTTTGGCGAGTCCGGCAGCTGTAAGTTACTTCACATCTGTTTATCTCGCACCTAGAGGGGTACGGATCTGGATCGCTAATGTTGGGTGTGCAGCAATTACTGGTATCGGCTTTTACATTCGCCAAGTGAGCAATGTTATTATGCGCAACTTGAAGATCGGCATGGTCGATGCCGACAATGGAGATGCAATTGGAATAGACGAGTCAACCAACGTCTGGGTTGATCACTGCGACCTTTCGGGCGACTTGAGCGGTGGAAAGGATGACTTAGACGGCCTGGTTGATATCTCCCACGGTGCAGACTGGGTCACTGTTTCTAATACTTACTTCCATGATCACGTAAGTCTTATGAAATCCCTGTCACTTGTTTGCATATGAATGTCTAACAAATGGGCAGTGGAAGGGCTCTCTGGTTGGCCACTCTGACAGCAACGAGGATGAGGATCTCGGCAAGCTCCATGTCACATATGCCAACAACCACTGGTACAATGTCTACAGCCGAACCCCTCTCATTCGATTCGCCACAGTCCACATCGTCAACAGCTACTTTGACAGTCTTATCCTCACGGGTGTCAACTGCCGCATGGATGCTCAGGTTCTCGTCCAGAGCTCAGCCTTTTCCAACTGCCCTGCTGAGGCCATCTTCTTCGCTGACTCAGACTACACTGGCTACGTTGTGGTTGACGATGTGGACTTGGGTGGTTCCGAGAACTCAGTTCCCGTGGGAACCCTGACGCCAAGTTCTTTGCCTTATAGTATCAGCGTTATTGGCTCTGGGGCCGTTGCTAGCACGATCCCTGGAACAGCGGGACAGAAGCTGTAATCGACAGTAGGGTACTGGATAGCCAACTTGATGGCTAGAAGGCCAATCGGGGATTGCATCCAAATCATGTAGGAGCTGCTCCGTCATAGCGTTCCGCCATTGGTAGGTCTTTACTCAACACAATTTTGAGGGGTTTCTACACATATGTATATTTAGTCACGTGAATAAATAAGAGGACGCTCATAAACAATAACATTGTTTCTCGAATAATCATCGAGAAAGCATAATTTGAGGCAGTCCTGTCCTCTTTTTTCAAAATCCTCTTGAATACTGAGAATGTAGGTCATCATACCGAAGAAAACTAGCACACCCCTTTAAAACCACCCCCAATGCCACGAGAAGACAAACTTGGATGCGGCCCTCACTAGTGCTATGCAGTCCGCCCAACCCAGTGCTTGGCTCATTAAATACATTACGACTCGTTCTCCAAACAGTCGTACGCCAAGAAAGCAAGAGAACACAAGCAGTTATGGACGCCAAATTCAGGACTTGCGAGCAAAGTGTTTAGCGTATGGTATTGCAAGTAAGACTCAACAAGACTATCACCATCTACATTTATTCGCAAACTTGGCTCTCAGTTCCCACTCAACTTCATTCGTGTCCAACAGCTATGCGCGCCAAGGGTCATCATTGATGTTTGCCAAGCGGTGGTGGTTACCCGCCTGGATAGTGCGGATAATGTCGTTCAAGGCACCCTTCGTATCCTCATGGTCATAATAGTGCGTGTGTTTGAAGCCATAGATAAGGCCGTCAACTTGAGCACCATTCACAAGCCGGTCGACCTTTGTCTTGTCGTTGTGGTTCGCAAGTGTCCATCCAAATACCTTTCCAAAAGTTCCGGTCCTGGAGGCAGCCCTGAGATTGGCCAAGGGACCCTCGAACTTCAGAGCAAGGTCGAAGAAACCATTTGAATAAACACGCTGTCCTCGGGGCAAATCGTGAAGCTCCTTCTCAACCATTGAAACCTCACCGTCCACGTTGAGAGCCTCATTGGCGTTCAAGTCTCCACGAATTGAATGATACGCTCTTTTACCAATAGTAGACTTGTAGAATCCATACAAGACCTTGACTCCAACAGGTTGTAGAATATCGCGAGCTAGCCTCCTAAGCCCCTCGACACTTGTCTTTTTATTGGGATTAGGTTCGTAGTCGGGGTTTTTGAGGTCTAGCCAGACAAAAATAATGTTCTGGCCAGCCTTGCGCTCTTCTGCAACGGTCTGGAACATCTTCTCTGCCGTGTCCCCCGCGCTGGTAGGCAGCCCGTCATGGTCCGCCCACCAGCCGCTGGACCAAGCGGTCATGTCAATCTCAATTGCGTTAGCACCGTGTGCAAGGGCAGCTCTTATACCGTAGTCTTCAAGGACACGGTGAGCGATTGCATAGAATGGGCGACGGGCCAAGCCCATGGTGGCCGGAACTTGTGCAACAGGAGCGACAGTTGGCTCCATTGCTGGCGGCAGTGACTCTGTAGGCGCAGGTTCAACAAGTGGTCGGTTGGTCATGATGGCAGTCAAGATGTTTTATAAGGTGATGAAGGTGCTTAAGTGATGTTGAGAGGAAATGGGAGAAGGAAGTTCTGTTGCTGGAAGGCTAGAGAAGAATTTCACGGGGTACATTATATATATGAAAAGTTGGTCCGGCAGTTCAGTCATGGATGTATTTAATAATCTCTCTGTGAGTGGTCAATCTACCTTGCATAGCAGTCAAAACACAATCTGAGACAGGTAACTGAGCGCAATTGCTACCATCACCCCTCTGCTGTCGTGTTTGCTGCGTATACGAAGGTAAACATCCAGCCACCAACCCAGCACAAACCAGCACACATCACCTCATCCGTTCACCTATCTATTGACATCCATGAGCTCGGTAGGATCGAATACAAAATGGACCCCATTCGCATTCTCGCCTCACGCTATCTTGGCAATCACAAGCTCGACATTTCCAATTGTCGAGTCCTGCTGCACCTCGTCTTTCGAAATGGAGTAATCAGACGTGTTGGGATCCCAGTCCAGGATGTCGAAGACGTTCGGGTACGCACCCCACGGTGCGCTCCAGTATACCCGGCAGATCTTTGTCTCGTGCTCACCGTCCCACTCGTAAAGGGTCAGATATCCCTCAGTGCCGATGGCCGCGTCCGACCGCCCGCACGAAGATACGAGGGTCTGCCCCTGGGGCGGAATGACGGTCTTGTCGACCTCGCTGGGGCTGATCTCGTTGTCTTTGCTACCCCGATAGAATTTGCCACTAGAGGTTCAATTGGGTTAGATGAAAGCCAATGTTGGTGGAATGGGGGAAGGGAGAGTTACGATTCGAGCTTGGCCTCCTTGACTCGGATTTCACCCTTGCGCAGGCGACTTCGAATCTTGAGACCGATCCATTGCTTGTAGGCCATTGTTATAAAGGTGGCGCGTGAATTGTATTGGAAGGTTTGAGTTAAGAGAATAGGCTATGAGAGATTGTAAAAATTTGTTGAGGATGAAGATCTAATCAAGTCGGAGAGGGAAGAGATGTCGAGACTTATATAGCCGAATTTTTCAAGGACTTGATGCCCACATAGCCCAGTTCTCTCCTTTGATGAGTGAAGAGTGAATGCCTAGATACGATAGCTGATGTTGATACCGTGGAGTGATGAAGCTGGTCATCCACGAGTAGGACGCACATGCCGAGCATTGGCATTTGCCTAGTTGGTGCACTTGCAGTCATACAGAACGGAGGCGACAGGGCACACGGGCCGCTGGGTGTGACATAGGATGCATGTCGTGGAGCAGCTGAATTGTGGATGCTTCTCACCGTATGACCCAAACCTGACCTAAATGACCAACCAGGGATTCAAAGGTGCTAGTCGATTCGAATTGCTCTCCGCATTCAGCTCCCCACGTCTAAGACAGTGTGGGTTTCCTTCCGCTTACGTCGTGGTGGGCATGGAAACGCTGTCCGACAATGGGACGGGATGATCCGTGATGTTGCATGGCGCTCCCGTTGTGCTATAGTTACTTTGGAGCTGTTGACAGGCCCTTTTCCGGCGTCATCCCTGCATATATTGCTTGGTTGTGCGGTGGTAACCCCGGGATATCGACCTATCAGCTTGTGGACCTGACCTCCCGGTGGTCGCTTGGTCCAATTGGCCCTTTGACTATGCAATATTTCAGGTACCGACAACGAGTCAAGGGTACGAGGTTAGACATGTGTCATGGGACGTGCGGCTATTCCAGGCAACCTAGTACGTCGCTATTCAAGGATTAGCACATTATCTAGCGAGTTGGTGAGTTCCTGTCACCTTACCTGTCTTACTTTGGCGCTTCCGAGAAGGAATTGAGTGCCGGCACGGTCTCGGATAAGCCCATCATAGATCGGTGTTTGTTGTTATGGCATCGATATCAGTCCTATTGGCTCACCGCCACGATTGCCTCGACAGAATGCCCGCACGCTAGCCATTAAACGATCAGGTCGGTAGATGATCATCAACGCATAGAAGCTGAGAGTTCAAGCCATGGTTTGATGAGAAATCCCGTGGGCCAATGACCTGTGTGCCAGCGTCAATAATGCCAAGTCTGAACTCAGGTCATGCCGTATAGGCTGCACGTGTCATATACATGAACCAATGACAATGATGGCAGTTGCGAGGATGTGACGGATGTAACATTTGTGCCGTGCCGAGGCGGGCTTTATGTACAGGTGCTTCCAAATGAGACTATGATTGACTGTGTGTGGCTAGCTGGATGCTGCGGCTATCTTGGCGGATGAATCCATTTCACAAATATCCCGGCCAACATTCGTCCATCCGAGACACGCCACATCCTGCAGATCGTGTCCGGCTGTGTGAATCACAAAATTTTCCAAGAGTTGATGCCTAAACCATGTCCAGCTGGGTGATATCATGACAGAGGTTTGGGCCAATGCCAAGATCGCTAACCAAGCGAGACGACAGCCCGCTCGTCACCCAACATTGGCATAAACATGTCGCTTAACAACATCGAAGAGTGTTAAAAGGAGGGAACTCAACAAAGAAACCTCCTTCAGCTACAGCTTGCTCAATATCCTTTCAAGGAAATGAGTATTGGTGTTTCCTCTTAATTTTACATTCGCAATGATCGGCCAAATTCGCGTTCCGTATGCCGATGGCATGACTGAGGGCCAAGGGTAAGCATACTCAGAGAAATCCCCAAAGAACCAAGCTGACGTGCTGGACTGCTGTCCTCTAGCTATAACTCTTACCTACAGCAGACTTGCGTGCACGATGCCGTCACCGTAGAGGCGACAGATGGCCCAGACACACCCATGAATCTAATTTATGAATCCACTGAAATTAAGGATTATAAGTAATATTATCACAGGTTCAGGGGTCTTGAAGACGAAAAAAAAAAAGCTGACTTCCTTGCCCTGTAGCGAACTTCTGCAGACGCTCGATATTAGTGCGGGTGCCGGAATTTCAGGCTGGGGAACAGAAACTCGAATTGATTCCAAGTTTCTTGACCGGACAGAGGTAAGAACCGTCAACCTATCTGTCGTATGAGAATGTGTTTCCTAATGAATAATTCAGATCAAGAAAAGCCTACTCACCTATGTAGTCAAGGTGGATGCCCAACGACAGCCGAGCGCAACATCTAAGTACAGATTTAATTGGAAAGAGTCCCCCGATCCTCAAGTCAAATACGGAGACCGCTTCATTTCTGGTATCACTCTCCCCAATGAAGACTTTGCATCACAGCAGCTAACAGTTTTCAGATTTTGTCAAGGGCGGAGCGCTCTTTGCTCGCGTTTCCATCATCACCAATGAGAAGTCAACTTCTCACGAACTCCAGGTCGCGTGAGTTTGAAGGAAAATCTCTACGCCATGACACGGAATCACGCACTAACAGAGTTCAATGTGTAGAGCCAAGACCGCCTTCCCGGTTTACAGTGCCAACGCAGAGGTCACTAGTGAAGTCAAACGAAGCATAGAGAAGATCCAGAAAAGCTCCGAGGTCAAAATCTACCTGCACTACGTTGGGACCCCGACCGAGATGCAGCCGAACGATGAGGCGGACAATAACATGTTGCGGCTCAAAGAGGTTGCCGACGCTTTTTATAATAATGCCCCGAAGCATACCTACAAAAGATTGTGAGATTTGCATATACAGCTGAATTGACGGTTCAATTATGCTAATAATAATCTCAGTGCACTATTGGAAAAATATACCAACATTCCCAACTTTAACCATGAATTTCAGCCACTTGACTATACAGAAGCCAAAGACCGAGTATGTGTTTGGACTCCTGCTCTAACGCACCTTTCTCGCTGACACCTTCTTTCAAGAGCTGGGCCGTGTTCAACGACTTTACCAAGTGTCTGGTTATTCAGAAGATGCTTCGAGCAAGTATGGCGCACCAATTTCAATAAATGAAACAGGCATGGAGCTAAATTTCCTCTAGTTGACTCGGACCATTATACCAGTGGCAGAACTGGCCGTGACCAACTCGACACCAAAGTCAGCACCCAGCTGCAGGTCTACAGAAGTTGGGTAGGTATTGGAATACCTGTCTGTTTACGAAGACGTGGCGTCTAATTGAGCCTTTAGGTAGATAAAGTTAGCAAGAAGCCCCAGGAGGCCGACTCGCCGCCTAAGGACGACCCGGAAACTCTTCAGACCGAAGTGTTGGTGAGTTTTAGATACCTATAGAACAAGATAACATGGTTCTCTACTGATATCAATTTCCCAGCTTGCCGTCAAGAAAAGAAAATTCATCGCGCAAAGTATGCGCTTGAGCAACGGTTTAAGAACCCACTGTATGTTGCTCGTTTTCAATTTCCTTGTTTGAAGAGCATATATCTGTATGGTGTATGAACACGATATTTACGAAAGCAGTTATTGATGACTACAAACACTCGACTGCCAACGAGCTGTTCAGCTTCGAAGCCTATGATTTTGGCCAGGTTATGACAACCACCAAGGTCATCTTTGGTAAAAGCATCAATGAAGATAGGTACATCTGCCTGATGGGAAGAAACTCTATCACCCCTGGGTATAGGCAAACAAGCCAGCTGTGGGGGTTCGAAGAGAAGATGAAGGATATCGTGGACGGAAAAGTGGCTATGTATCCTATCCCGGAGATGGGAGTTATACAGCTTGAGCTTCAGGATGCGACGCCACGCCATGATGACGACTTTAGCTTCTATGTCAAGAAGACTTAGGCAGGTGGGGAATGTCCGTCTAGGACGAGGTTTTTCTACTAGAAACTTTTATGAGAAAGGGAATTATCCAGTATGACTTTGACAGGAATTCTTTTTCATGCCGTGCTATATGAAGATATGGTAGAATATGGTCAGAAGAAATCACTCATTCTTAACGTACGCCGTACAAGGACTGCCTTTAAGCGTTAACTTAATGAACCGTCCTTGTAGCGAATATCTCAGCTAAAAGGGTGCATAAGTCTACTTCTACTTTATGCTATCGACTACGAGAGAGCCAGAGCATCTTAAGTGAACGTTACCGTGCACAAGAATCTTGTACTTTACATAGTAACAACAAGAAGCAGCAGAGCAGTACTATTGAACTTCCCATCAATTCCAGACACCCCTTTACCAAAGATCTCAAGAGTGTATGGAGTTTATTAACTCTGGCTCTTGGACTTGTGTCTGCGACTCGGACTTCCCGGTCGCACTTGGGGCTAATATCGACTTAGGTAGACAAGGATAAGAACCCTTACCACTGGGCGGCCGCCTCTTGCTTTGACGCCGAAGGAATGAGGCGGCCCTTCTAGTTTGAGATGCGGTGTCAAGCCGATCGGGTAATAACCGAAAAGGCACGGTTTTGTGCCTCGCGCTGCCCTTGTAAAATATAGAGTCCCAAAGGGACTTACAGCTGCGCAGGTATATCTAAACGATAAGAATTACTCCGATCCTGGGGGGAAATCCAAGTAGTCTCGATAACTTCGGCATCCGCGGCGGGTTGTGTGACGCCGAACAGAGAAGCTCAAGTCTCTGATTGCGCCACCGTGCAGATCAATCCAAGATATCCATGCGATTTAGGCGTTGGCAGCTGATCATTCAGGCTTAGAAAGCATCTTGGCATCGGGCATGTCCAACCCGACAGGCTGCAAGGCAGTGGTAATATCCGAATTACCACCCTGGGGTGATTCTTCGCCCAAAAGTCCTACCCTGATGTATTGGGATGTTTCCTCCCACCACTCATCCCATATACTCAATGAAACAAGCGGTGATACTACCTTCCACATCGTAATAAAGGCCAGAAATCCAAAGAACAACGGGCTGCAAAAGTGACTATAACTAGCACGCTGAGCCCTTTTCAAATCCGACTTATTGTGGTCCATCATTCACCTCGATACTCAACGTCACGGACTACACGGAATCCAAACACTATTTCCCACGTACTCTCAATCATAGTCTTCAAGATGGTTTCACTCAAAACCCTCATCGTTGGAGCCGCGCTCGCAACAGTTGGCTGTGCTCAGGAAGTTATCAAGACTGGACGCCTTCAGGCCAAGAGCCCGGATCTTGGTACCGTTTACCTTTACAAGCCTCAAAGCGACGGTGGCGGTGTGTTTTACCAATTCCGACCATGTCCAATGTCTCCGTCCATCAAACAGTGCTAACGGGAAATAGACCCGGTGTGGGCACAACTTGGCGGGGAGAGCCAAGCCAACCAGTTCACTCTCAGATCAGATGCGACTATTTCTACAAAGGGACTAACCCTCAACATAATGAGGAACCAAATCGATGAGAAGCGCCTTGGCTACAGCGGCGTCATCACTTCGGACAACGGCTGGAAGATAGCCGATGGTAATAAGCTTGTCTCCGATGGCGTCTTCTATGGGTACCAGGATGAGTTTCAAGCCTGCAAGTACTCAGGCGGAGAATACTTCGTAAGGAGCCCCGTTGTTAGCTTTCCTCGTGTGACCTCTTGTACTAATAAGCAATCGCCGATATAGGTTTACCTTGTCTCTCATAAAGCGGATAATATGGAGTGCCATCCTCTTGGCGCTCTGTACATTGTTTAAGTCGGTCATTCAAACGTCTTACATGAGTTTACCCTTTATTTACGTGTACAGATGGAGGGCTGGAAATGACTGCCTTTAACTATCTCGAGATTTTCAAATAGTCAGAAAGAGGCTATTGATAGAACAATATTATAACTGGCAGGGATTCTTTACACGCTTGATATTCTAGTCTAGCCGCTCTCGAGAATCTTCAGCGGACAATTGAAAGCATTTCTTCACTCGATCCTTAATAATAATGCCTCAAGCGCGGCGCCTTATGGATACCATTATTAGGTATCAATTTCTGATCCGCGGGATCAAATGTACATTCAGCGGAGGTTTATCCCAAAAGAACAATATCTTTTGATCATCAATCCAGCCCTCAGATTCTGGTGCCATCTTCAAATCGAAATTCCAGATAATTCGAGCAAGTATCAAACGCATCTCAGTGTATGCAAGACTGTGCAAAGAGTCAGTAACCGAGCAGGTCGATGCTTGGCACCGCCAACGACGCGGAACAGCGAAACACTTACTTCATGCCGATACAGTTCCGCGGTCCATAGGAGAAGGGCTGGTGCAGGTCCTTGTGATCATTGGCAAATTGCTTGTCACCAAGCCAACGGTCGGGAATAAACGAGTCCGGGTAGAGAAACTTGGAAGGGTTGTGGTAGACGGAATATTGCCAGATGCCCACACTAGCCTATAGACGACGAGTTAGTTTCGCAGGTATCAGGCCGTATGCAGCCCCGACTCACCCCTCCGGCCACATATTGGCCATTAATCTGTGTTCCGCAAACTGGTGTCTGACGGGTCAATGCTATCGCTACCGGCGGATAGACCCGCATTGACTCCTTGAGAACAGCAAGCATGTACGGCAAGTTCTGGACGCTGTGGATATCGATCTCAGCCTCGCTCTTGAAGGTTGAACGCACTTCGGCGGTCAACTTGGCCAAAACATCCGGGTGAGAGCAGAGAAAGTATGTTGTCGCCACAAGCGTCGTAGCAGTTGTTTCCGATCCCGCTGTGGTAAGAAGCACACTCGTGTCAATCATTTCACGCTCTGACATTTGCTGAAGTTATTGGTAAGAACGCCGTCAGCATATCAAAAAATCCAATATAAGGCAAAACTAGCACGGCAAGACACTAACCCCGTTGTTCAGCATAGCATCCACAAAGTCAGGTCGTATCATTCCCAGACCGATTCGCTTTTTCAGCGTCTCTCGACTAAAGTCAATGCTAGTTTGCCGGTTTCTCATCACCTCCCCACCAAAGCAAAATAGAAAGAAGGGAAAGAAGACCGAAGAGAAAGGCATTTCGCGCATGACCTGCATCAAAGGGATACTTTTCATGGAACTGAAAAGGATGTTGACCCACGGATGTGACTTGGAGTCACGAAGGCAGCCAAAGGACTCCCCAAAAGCCAGGTCCCCGATAATGTCAAAGGTTGCCCACTCGTACCACTTAGTCAAGTTCAATGGCTTAGTGCCGTTGTCGCCATTCTCACGCAGCCTCTGCATGAACAGGTCAATGTACTCGTTGATGAATGGCTGCTGCTCGGCCATGGCTCGTGCCGAGAAGGCATGCGCCAAAATGCGTCGCAATGGTCCATGTCTTTCGCGTCTCGCCGAGATGAGACTCTGATCCACGTCTTCATTGGTCCATTTGGGATCCTTTCCATTCTCAGGCTGGCCATGTTTCAAATGCCCACAAATCTCCTTCCATGCATCATCATGTGTACATGCCAGCTCATTTGGGCCGACACGGACAATATCGCCATACTGCTTGTGTAAGTCAAGTATTTTCTTGTGTGGCCTTCCCCTGGCAATATTCAAGGCTGCAGGTAACGGACTGATTGCCCAAAGCTTGGGGCCAGGAAATTGACGAAGAGGATGGAAGAAGACATTGTAGATGGCTATCGATGCGCCATATCCAAGCAACTGTTTATCAGTCAACATCGTGGTCTAGACTCCTCGCTCCACAAGTATCCAGGACACGTACCAAAATACAACAAAGCCCAAAAAAGGAGGCCAACGATGGCCCCCGAGTCTCAGTCGCTAGGCTCACTAATGAGACCATCTCGATAGTTTGATGTGATCTTTCCAACAGCCCGCGGGTGAGGGATGTTGGTGTCGTTTCTGTGAGGATATCTTACTAAATATATAAAGGCTAGATCGGCGCAAGATGGTTACATCTGGAGCAGAGGTTTCAAGACCTACCCTAGCCCTGATCATCAACCATTTTGAACCGCGCCCTTGCGAAAGTTGGTTCCCATACCAATCGAACATCTTCAACCCTTGGGACTTCGGCTCGTACATGATGGATTGCACGCCGAAGAGGATGCTTGTCGGGTTGTTGATTATCTCCGCTCCTACTCAGGGCCTGTCACGGAGATTCGAGTTAACCGATGCCGCTGACAAAGCTCAGGGAGAAAACAGCTACCCTATACCCGAGCGCTCAGATCAACCGGATTAATGTCTTTCTGTAGTCAACCTTCAATGACTTGCCATCTAAAGCTTTGTTCAGATAAGCTGGCATCTATTATTGATTCTACATGGCTTAATACTACATAGTTGGATTAATTACGCATGCAGTTCCCCCCTTCGAGAACTCCACGGTACTCATCTTGAGTCGACGCCAATAAACCAGTTTATGTTGATCAATTACGGATAAAACTGTATACCTCTCTGCTCTCACCTAGATTCTCTTAATAACTTCCTTAATCAACCTTAAAATCCTCGTTTTCTCATATTTAAAACATTTTTAAAACATGGAAGAAAAGGAAACACTAAGAAGGCTGTTGGCTAACGTAAAAGAGTCTTTGTCGAGGTTGGCAACGCTGGGGAGCTGTGCTTCTCCTACCATACTCATTTCCCTCTCCTAGCCAGGTTCAAACGTATATCACGAGGAACCTACTTGCCGCTTGGGCTTCCTAAAAATCCGAATCATTGCCCTTAATATTTTTGAGGACTGTTTGGGCTTCTCTTCCTTGCTCCAGCGAGGAAACCCTGCCTGTTCAAAAGCATGCACGTCAAATCCTTTAGATGCAAACTTGTGAATGCAGTCACGCCATTGAACAGGACTGGATTTCCTCATTACTCCCCCATGCCGTAGAAAGAGTGAACAGAGTTCATGGTGGTATTGAGCAGGTATGAAAGAGACCTGCGTCAGGATTGCGATGATTGAGTCCATTGGGGTACACCCATCTGAGTTCAGCTGATTGGCATCGACTCCACGTTTGATAAGAGTTTCCGCTAGGGTTGGAGGACTCATGTGAATTAGGTCGCGTTGGAAACGCAGCGCTTCCAAATATTCGGGCTTGTTTTCAATGGGAATCGTCGCTGTTGGCCGCGGTAGCGCCTCGAGCAAGGTGCACATCAAGCTCTCATACGCATCGTCTGGCTGCCCAATCAGCGCTTGCGTAGTCATGGATGGACTGCGTGACCACATCGTATTCAAGATTTGCTCCATTCCAATCATGTTCGTTTCTCCTCTCATGCCTTTTTCAACTAAAGATCTGGCCATATCAAGCGCATCGTCCAAACTATAGGTCCGGTCAACTGCCGCATGGAGAAGAGATATCAAGTCATCTGAGCAGTTTGCTAGGCAAGAAGAATCTGCCTTATATGCATCTTCAATGCAGAGCTCCAATCCAGAGAATACCGAAAACGCGAGTAGCGACTGCATTTTGTGCGGAAACTCACGTCTGACGACGTAATATCGCTCGGGACCAGCTTGCGCATAGTCTTTAAACTGGCTCAGTCCTGTGCTAACCTCAGCCTGTCGTGCGTGATGGATGCAGGATCTACTAAACTCTGTGGTGAGGAAATAGTACTTTGCTAAGAAGCAATGTCCATTTTCTTTGGTGAAATTGGCACGCCATTTTTCAAAGATGAGGGCTTTGAACTGGGCGTCTTCCACGAAATCTTTGATAGTTTGGTGCATGAATTCAACCTGAGATGTCCCATCGTGGTAAACAATGTCGATTAAGCCACCCGATAACATTCGAATGTATCCCTCCTTTCCGTATTTCTGAACATATCCCTGTGTAATTCGAGACACTTTTGTGGTTCTAACTCTCGCCTCCTCTAGGTTCCGGGCTGTTGAGCAGTCTAGCATGTGGACTATGTCGTTCAGACTCAACTCGTCTTCCGCACGACAAATAAGCTCCAGTGCCGCGTACGCTTCCCAGCGGAAACCCGATGGTATTCTTTCAATAATTGCGCCATAATATTGATCTAATTCGTCTGGTAGAGAGTCAAGAGTTTTCTGTACCTTTTTCTGAAGCTCCTCCATGTTGGATCCTTTCTCTCGGGTGACGCTCGCGAGATCACGCATTACCAGAGTTACCCATAGAAATACGCCTCGAGCTCTAGTACAAATTTCAGTAACCAGAGGCTCCAAAAGTGAAGTCGACGTCGAGTTAGATGGTATCTTTGCAATGCAGAATTCAAAGATGTCTTCTTCGGTGTACTCGTGAACTTGGAATCCAGGACAGCCCGCGAATTCTCGTTTGAATATCGCCCATGGCCGACTAGAGAATATTATTCTGATCCTGGTCCAGGATTGCGGTGAACTCTGAACGAGATCTTGAAGAAATGACACGATAAATTCGGGCCGGCTCACATACTCGTCCAGCGCATCAATAAAAAGGCAAATATCCAATTTCGAGCGTCGTTGCGTGATCAATCGTTGCAAAGCCTCCTCTAAGTTTTCTCTAGACCATTGAGCTGTTTGAACATCGAATTTGATTTGTTGTCGTTGATAGTGTCGTCGGAGGAAGCCGTCCCATGTAGTTGGGTCGCCAGGGCCATCATCCAAAGCTGCCGCTGCCAAAAGCTTCTCCACCTCATCTAAAGGGCTTCTTGGTTTTGGATGAGGTAAATCGACTTCACTTTGCTTGAGGAGTTTTTGAAGCACCATACTATTAACTCCATTTTGCTTCAGGAGGGTTTCAAGCTCTGTACCCATAGTCCTTCTTGCCGATATTTCATCCTGGCGTTGAATCAACCCCTCTATGCCTCCCCGTCCCTGATCAGTACCGAGCCCACAAGCTCTAAACATTTCATGAAGATCAGACCTGAGGTCGCTGAGATCGTCCATCTTTATTCGTTCAAGATAGAGCTTGTCCAGAATAGGGTGAAGATGAGCCACCAAGGACAATTTCTTTTCCAAAATCTGACTCACGAGGCTCCGTAGGAGTCCCTCAAATGACTTCTGTAAGTTAGTTCCACGATGATGGAAGAAAAAGCTGAGGGCCATCAATTGCGAGCCTGATTTCCATCTGTGCAACAGTTCGGCGGTACGCTCATCGTTGAATATGTACTTCATAAAAGTAGACTTTCCGCTGCCAGGTTTGCCGCTTACCCAAAAGAGGCCGTTCCCATTTTGTAGCCAGCTTGTCAGATTGACGGCAGGATTATCAAAGGCCCAGTCAAAAGTATGCCCGAGCCTAGTATTGATTTGCTCAAGACGTCGGTCTCTTTCGGGCGCTCGAATAGAATTGATAATAACTACCTTGCATTTAGGTTATCTGGAACCTCCAATTCGGTAAAATCCTCACTTACGTCTGTCGTTCCACTTGATCTTATTGCGACTGTCGAGACGGATTGGGGTTTCGTTCTCCAGATGAGTCCGTATCGTGAAGCTCCGCGTGAGTTCAAACCTCAGTGCTTTATGTTCAATTCCCAGTATCTCAGATAACTTGCTGGCTAAAATATCGATCCTGTGATCACCAGTCGAAAATTTGACCATATTCGAATGATCTTCATCAATTTGTATTGTAAGAGCAGGGTGGCAGTTGCATAATCCTTTTGTAGCAGACTCTTTTGAAACCATTACGGTTTCAGGGCCTGTTCTCGAAAACCCTCCAGTTGGCAATTTCTACAACCCAATATCAGCACAAATCCAGGCAACCTGTGCTGGTGGCTTTGCCTCTTTACTTACGGAAACAGTACGTGTAACCTTGGTCTCAAATGCCCAAAAGAATCGAAGTTTTTGAAGATAGGAAATGCCATCAAATTGGCTATCGAGGTTAGGAATATAAGCTGATTCGTCTGACAAATCCCGCACCAGAGCTTTATTCGGTTGGTCATCGACCATGGAAAAGATGTCAGGAACAACCATCCCCTGGCTAGGTACACCAAAGAATATGGCTCCTTTAATGCACGCAAGCATGGCTTGCTCCGCCACTCCGCTCCCAGCGAGCATAACGAGCGCCTGCTTCACGACTACACCACCTAAGCTGTGGGCGAGAAGTGCAGCTGGCTTAGCGTTTGGTGATGACCATCCGATAGTTTTCAGACCATTGATGAAGGAGACTGCCAAATCAGGAATCGACTGAAAAGACTTGCTCCCCTGAAGGTTAGTCTCGTATCCATATAGCAGAAACCTTACTCCGGGAAGCTGGGGCGGAAGATCATCGCGAATCCACATAAAGGATTTGTCGCTGCCTCGAGGTTGCCATGATCCAAACGGATGGCTAGCAAGGCCTGATATGATAACGCAGCTATCAGGAATTGAGTTCGTAAGCAAATGGCTGTTGACAAGAGACAAGAATGACCAACTCAGATTTATGTGCCTCCTTCGCCATGCTATTAAGTGGTGTTATTCCTTGAAAGTGATCGTCCACGATCAAGGGTCTGGCCAGTTCCGGTATCTGTATCACACATTCTCGCTTATTATCGATAGAGTCGATTATCGATGGTGTCTTTCCAAATGTCACCGTGGCCGTCTTGCTTGGTGACCAGGTGTCGACTGACAACGCCAGCGAGTGTATTTGGACATCGTTCCGCGACACGTCGCCAAATGTTCGTGCCAGCCACTCAACGGCTGACAGCCTATCGAAATGCTCAGGGATGTTCCGCAGTCTGTACACTTTCGCCTTGCTGGAAGAAGACATTGGCACAGCCTAGGAATGGTCTTCGCGTACGAATTGAATTGCCGGCGAGCAGTGCCCAAAAATCCCAGCGCAACCTAGTGATATGAAAATCATCTCATCTCGATCTGACCAAATCACGATTAAGCGCCTCAGCCGCACCTGGTCAGCCGCACCTGAGGGTCAAGTCAGGTGGCAGGTACGATAGCCCCTGAGAAAAAGAAAAATGCGAACCACACGAGGCAACCAACCCCCCGCACATCTCTAATTAAGTGGCTGAACAGAATCCAATGGCTGGACAGATCCTGCAGCATTCTCCACACTCTAAGGTATTTATGCTTAGTTAACACCCGGTATTTGTTAATAGTTCAAGCATATTTCCACCCTGACCGCCTGAGAACAACTTGCGCTAACCACAGGAATTGTTGGAGGACGTGTATGATTAATCACGGGTTCAATGTTGTAAACAGATATGTTAGAAGTTAGGTGCTCATTTTCATCTAGCTAGAGATATCGACCGGTTATATACCCCGTTCATGAGCGGTCGTACGAATTACGACCGCTCAGGTCCTGGGGATCAAACCGGTGATCACCCACACAGATGCCATTATGTATTCACAGGAATATCTTTATCTTGGAATGAATCTGCTGTCATTCATTTAAGACTCTACTAGTGACCAAGACTCAAACGATTGGCTTTTGCGTGTAAAAAGTCAATATCTTTGATCCAATCTATGCAATCCACCTACTCCAGATACTCGTTTTATGTTATATTATGCGGGCACAAAGGCGAGTTATCATCTAAATCGAGTTCCATCAACCTTCACGGACCCTACAGATCACCCTCGAGTGTCCCTCCGAGATTGTGGCCAACCCACCTCCTGATCGTTCCTCCTGCGAGATCTAGAATAAAAGCATCGACTTTGTTATAAATGAAGACATTATGCGTTTTCACATCGCTCTATATAACATCTAAGCAGGGTGTCTCGGCGTTATTTATTTTGACGTGTCTCTAGATTTCATCTCACGCCCCTTGCAGATGAAGGGAAGATGAGTAACAAAAAGGTTCTTCGTTTATGAAGACTTTTTGAGGCAAGATTGCGTAAACATCGCTGCCACTCTTGTAGAGAGCATCCATCTCCGAGAACTGCTGTGATCAAACGGACTGTTCATACGACGCACTACGTTAAGTTAGGTCAATGTTTGGAAATCCATCTAGCTAGCTGAAAATCTTTCCTATACATTAAAAACCATTATCTAGGCTAGTTTCCTTCAGCCGCCGGGTTTTTCAGCATGAAAATCTTGTAGGCAGGATAATAAAAGCTTGAAATTGGCTTGTTCAGACCTAAATTGTAGAGTTACTTTTGTTACTGCTTTGTTGTATTTGATGAATATTGAGTGTGTTATCGGGGTAGCTACAAAGGCGTTTATACCCTGGTTTTCTCGCCCACATCGATAACTCAAAAGGGCAAGAAGATACATCTAGAAGTGAATCACACTAGGCCAAATATTAGCTAGGCACTACATTATCATTTCTGTACAGTTATAGGCTACTTCATTACCACGAATATAGATAAAACAAGGGGATATGGATACAGTCTTTTGAAGCCATTGCATAGGTTAAGTGCCACATCTTACTTGGCAACTTTTTAATATTGGGGAAGGTGGCTTGGCGGTGCGGTGCATTGAGCAGATTTGTGTGAAGTTCCAAACAGGGGTATGAGAGATCGAATAGTATTTTTAGCGACATACCGGGCACGCTGTGACGCGAGGTATCGAAAAATTGAGAAATTACGTGATTCTAGGCCAGTCCTCATTGCTTCATTTGCTTTACGCGCTAGATAAACAATACCTACTGTCACCGGGACTATAGCATTCATCCAAGTATAGCCCACCGAGTGCCTCAAGATCTGCACTGAAGGAATATTTAATCTTAGCATAAATTCCTCCGTGGGTTAGTTGCTCTAATCTACTGAGGCTGTCTGAGACTCAACAACGTTAGCTGGTTATGATGCGACTTGCGTTGGGCTGCGAGATGCGCCGTTTGATTAGCTCCATAAGGTCTTTGATATAACTCCCGGGGAAATCAATCATCTCCCCGCCTCATTCGGCAGTGACCTCTAGCACAGCCCTCCTCATAACAATTTGTCATCGTCTCTCGTTTCATGGTTTCATCGTTGGGCTCGAATTCCCCAGATAGGGATCCCTGTAGTTAAGCTGCCGCCAATAAAAGCCTAAACCGAGGGAGCCGAGAAATTGCAGACATGTCACTGCTGCCGAAACATCTGTCACTGCAGCCAAAACGTCTGTCACTGCAGCTAAACGTCTAGTCCAATCCGTCCTAGTAGCGGCCGTTATTTAGCGGCCGGGCGGACTGTCAGGCAACGTCCGGCAACGTCCGGCCAAGGTCTAGGCCCTTCGTGGGATAGATGGTGTCGGCAGTTGTCACGGCTGTTGCCCTCATAAATCTCCACAGATCCGTCTCCTTCTTTCTGTGGAACTCAAGTGAGTTTGACGAGTGGGCTTATTCGATTCGGACACCATGGCTGACAGTTCAAACTCATCCACGTCTTCCAAGCGTGATTCGCTGCACACGGCGGGAACCGTTTTCTTCGTCTCCTCAGATGGCCGTGTTCTCAAACTACCAATCCCCAGCAAATCGCGACGCGATCCACTAACTTGGAGTCGCTCGAAGCGAACATTGGCGTTTTGCGCTTTGCAACTATATTCTGTGGTTGCCTCCTTCGAAGTGAATCTGCCCGGCCTATTGATACGAGCAGTGCAAAATGAGTTTGAGAAAGATGTATGTTTCCTCATTTATCCAGTTACACGTCTGTATTGACATGAACACAGGGCATCGAAAAAGCTAGCTTCCAATCCCTCTCCGCGGCCATGACTCTCTTTACCGGCTTCGGCTACCTCCTAGGGATTCCTCTCTCCACTGCAGTCGGACGACGGCCCGTCTTCGTAGGAGCGGCTGTGGTGACCAGCGCGTCAACGCTCTGGGCTGGCTGTGCCCCGAGCTTCTGGCATCTCCTCGCTGCGCTCTGCTTCCAAGCCTTGGCTGTTGGCGCGGCCATTGGCATGGTGAGTCCAACTATCACACTGCGGCTCGTCGACGATTCTAACCATGTCAGTGTCTGCTCATCCTAATTGACGCGACGTTTATCCACGAGCGCCCCAACGCCTTGTCCCTGTACTGGTGTGTGGGATCAGTCTTCATCAAGCTCAGCATGTTGATCCTGCCCTTCATCGCAGACCTGAGCACATGCTGGCGGTCCGTGTACCAGATCTGGCTCGGCCCGTGCCTCGTCGCAACCGTGGCCGTTCTCCTTTTTGTCCCAGAGACGTATTTCTTGCGGCCGCCCGTCTCTCTAGACGGCCGGATCCTCGTGCAAAGCAGCTCTGAGAAGGTGGAGGTCTATAAAGACTGGGGCAGATATGAGACAGATACGGCCGAGCGACCTCTGCCAGCTTTGCCCGCCTCCAATCGTTTCTGGTCTCGTCTCAAGATTTCGCGGGCACCAGGCACAACCTGGAGTGCGGCTGTTGCCGCGTACATGCAAATGCTACTATGCATCCTCAACCCGCTCACATTCTGGGTCTCTCTTCTTACTGGAGTTATCCTCAGCGGAGTCATCTTTCTGAACCTCACTCAGCCCAGCGTTCTTACACAAAGTACCCAAGACCCCGAGGCAATCAGTGCGTGGCTCGGCGTCGCTGGTATCATCGGGTCCATCTTGGCGTTTCCAGCCACGGGTCCTCTAGCAACTTGGTTTGCCCGGTACTACTCTCTGCGAAACGGGGGTGTTCGCCACGCCGAAGTCTATCTGCCGGCCTTTGCCATCCCCGTCGTGACGGGCTTGGCCAGCGTCTTGATCAACGGCTTTGCCATTGAGAAGCAGTGGAACTCGGGATGGCTCTATACTACCTCCGCCATAAGTATATTCAGCTATCTAACAGGAAACGTTGCGTTCACGATTTGGATCACCGAGGCCTTTCCGCGCTGGGCGGCCGCAGCGTTGGCCGTCCAGCTATTTACAGGCAACATGGTCAGTTTCGGTCTCGCCTCGGCCATCTTGCCCTGGACGACATCTCACCAGATTATGCAGCCCACTATGCTCATCAGCGTCCTGATCGCCGTCTTGGGCATTCTGGCAGTTCCCATTGCTTTTTGGGGCAAGAATGTGAGGCAGTACATTGACGGGTGGTCGAGTGATTCGGAGAGGACTGCTCTTCGCCCACAATAATTCTCTTTGTTCTGAATACGATGTTCAAGTGTTAAGTCAAGATACTCCCATCAAGAGGGACTAATTACTTGGTGCGTATGTACAACGGTATCAGGTGGCCAAGACTCATTTGGCCTAAAATATTTCCTTCTAGCTCTTTGGGTTACCCCAGCTTTTTCTCTTCCAAAATCACAAAACTTGGCGTGCAGCAATTGAAGATTCGGAAACTATGGTCGTTGCTTCGGGATGGGTCAGCAGTAAAATTCTTTAGACTGGATCCTAAAGGCAGCATGAATAATAATTGACGATGAAGACTTACTCCATGGTTCTCCTTATTCATAACTGCATTGCGATGAAGGATTTAAATGGCAAGTGAAAGACCTCGCAAGTGTACATCCCCAACTTCATCATATGTAGCCCCAATGCCAAAAACACTAATCAGGAAGGCAATAACTAGTTCATTTGAGCAAACTTGCTAGGATACCATGTTCAAAGACATGATGAAGCCAAACTCAATCGACTCCACCTATATTCAGATCAGTTAACTAATAGACACTGGGCAGAATACCGGACCAGGTTGTATCCAATGCAACGTCTCCTGTTCCTTGTGACTTCTCGATCCACTTCACGGGCTGTCATGGATAATTCGGCAAGGGTCTGTGGTAGCAATCCTAATCCAGACTGTCTCCCTATGTATGAGAAAAGGTGATTCCCAGTCAAGTCTCAATTCGAATTCGTAATTATTTGCCCATTGCAGCTATAGAATTAATTCCCGCCTTTTCATATGAGTTTCATATAAGCTCTAGCTACCTACGAACAAGAATTCGATTCATTTGCTCTACTTCCCTCTCCTTCTCGTGTAAGGTGGTAATTAGTAAATTTTGAAATATGATTTGTCGCAAGTGAAAATTGGCAAATATGGTGTGATAAACGGATCAAATGTCAAGAGACCATAGGGCTTCACATGTTCCCTCGGCAAGGATGCACACAATACTGATGGTGGGTTGCCGATCACACCTCGTACGGCCCCAGAGTCTGGGGTAGATCTTACCCCGGATTTAAGGCTAGGTACCCAACCGTAAGATTTCCTCTTACCCCTCATTCAATTGCAACGGCAGAGGGAATTGGAACAGCTCGAATTGTATTAGTTCTAGGTACTATTGCTTCATTCTTTAAACGTTATACCTAACTTGGATGGTGTGTGACGTTTAGTTGCTGCGGTACCATCACAGGTTGTACGAGATGGTCAGGCACATGGGAATGGAACCGAAAGAGGCATCCCAGCGCTAGCAGATCTTGCGCAATCGTAGTAAAAGAGCCGAGGAGAATAGGGAGTTCATTGGACCCACGAAATGCGAGATCAACTATATATTGTGACACTGCATCTCAAAAGCAATGCCCTGAACCACACAACTTCCAAGAGTGCCCCTTAGCTGCATTTTCTCCATCCATCCAGCCTCATTCAAAGACCCAATCTCAATCATCGCCATGATGCTCTATCGTGTCATTGTCGCTGCCGGCCTCTTCGTCACTGCCCTCGCAGACGGCCCCGCCATCGTGTCGGCCCTTGAGAAAATCACTGACGACACCAAGTCTCTCAACGACGATGTTTCATCATGGAACGGCGGTCTGCTAGGGACAATCCCCATCGTCGTGGGCTCCACGACGCTCCTCGCCTCCATCCACGAGGGCCAAAAGACGGCCGAGGCCTCGGAGCCACTGACACTCCTCGACGCCATCGGTGTTGCCGTGGCCACGCAAGCACTCGCCAAGGAGGTCAACACTACCGTCTCAACCATTATCGCCGCCAAGCCCAAGTTTGACCATTTGTTGCTGAGTCCTGTTATTTTAATCAACCTTGAACTTGAGAAGAAGGCTACGGTTGGGTTTAGTGATGCCATTATTGAAAAGTTGCCTGTGGAGCAGCAGCCGCTTGGGGCAGAGCTTGTCAAGCCAATTTTGGGTTCTTTTGATCTGGCGATTGATGTTTATAATCCATTCTAAGTAAATAGCCATCAAGTCAGGACCAAAACTATCTCACATTATTCTTGTTACAATGATGCTCGTAACATTTGTATGGTTGACATTAGGCCAGTCGTCACTGTCGCGAGAAAGTTCTAGCCCGACTTGACGAGCTGAGGACATCGGTTATGTCAGGCATACCCTTCTTGGGAACATGATAGAAGGCAGCACCGGCTAGAAAAAGCTGATGAGTTTGGCTCTGAAAACATGTCGTGTATCAATGCTCCGTCGGATGATCAGTGTGGTTGGTGCATCATTGACATTTCTCTTTGAGGTCGACACTTCTGGTTGAATGTTGGAGCAGGTTGATCAGGTGATGAGTAACCTCTCGAATACTGGCATCGAAACTGATAGATCTCCGTTGAAACTAACTATTTCCCGGGTAAATGGTTCTTTGATGAGCCATGCATATTGACGGGGCTAAATGCCCACCATCGTCATGTTGTTCGCCATACTAAAGCTAGCAAGGAAGAGCGCTTCAAAGTCTTGGGCAAGGAACAGAACCCGGTTTCAAATCTTCAGACGATCGAGTCCAGCGAGACGTAAGTGTCTGTACAAAGAGGTTGTGAGATTAAATGCAAATGCTTTCGACCGATTTTCGCACCTCACAAGGCGAGACTTGTGTAATCAGATTACATATTGATGGATGGATTTGATGTGCTCTCCTGTTCTCATCAAACGCTAGGTCAGGCTTGGTCTTCACGATCTGGGCTCATCCAATGTCAGTGAGTTGGATCTCTGCCATCTATTGTTGGTTCTTGACGCTCTGCGGTCTAAGTTTGTTCTGGTCGTTTGTTGAATGTTAGCCGCATAGCTACACAGCTGTTTGTGTATGTAGTCAATAGAAGGACAGACTGTAAGGTTATCCAAACAGCTACTAGGAAACTACATGTATTTAAAATATTAGTAATTTTGTATATTTATAGTAGTTATAGGAATGTACATATTATTATATGTAGTAATATGGTAATTTACTGCATGAAGTCTTATGATTGAACTTATTAACCGCAATAGGTAGCTTAGGCCTAGTAACCGAGACCAGATTCCCTAGGCAAGACATAATGGGCGACTGCAAGTCGCAACTCGGCTCCAATGACGCGAATTGCATGCCACAAGCCTGATATAAGCACCACAATAGCAATAAGGAATACCCACTGATTGAAGACTGACTGATAGCAGATCTTTCACAATTGCGAAGTGTAGCTCTGGCGCGTCTCCGCGTAAACATTCATTAGAATAAAGAGACGCGTCGCGTGGTGACATCATTCCGGTGGAGTATTTTCTTGCTAAGCGGCTATGTCGTGTTCCGATTGGCCGGCCGGACTGAAACAGCCCCCAGCCTAAATCAGCCCATCTATTATATGCAGGGAGGCATAGCGGTCTGGTGTCAGCTTCCCCCGACTTTCGGCAAGACTTCTACAAGAATTACCTGAATTATTGCACTCTATCCATTTTACGTCTGACAAGGCTTGACTGCCCCACAACCTCTTATTATCCGAAAAGTTTGGACAGCAGGAACAGCTTAAACGTCACTTCGGGTTTCGGTGTTACAACTTGGCAAGCGAACAACCATCTGGCTGCAATGTTACCACAATCTCTAGTCAGCGTGTACCAACTGTACAAAAAAGACACCAATTCTATCGCAACATGGCTTGCTTCAACGGCTAAAGAATGTGGATATCCCGCTGCTCTGCTACCCAGCGCGCCTGGTGCTGGCACTGCACCCGCAACGGGCGGACGACTAAAAGGAAAGGCCAGAACTGCAGCTAGGAAGCGAAGGGCAAAGGCCAAGGCGGACCCGGGACGAAGCCACAGGAAGGCCCGGCTCGGTACATCATCTCTATCAAAGACTTTGTCCCGCTGGCCGAATGCATCTCTGCTTCCAAGATCCCCAGTCTGAGTATTCCACAGGCTTTCTTCACCACGCTTGACCGGGTCATTTCCATCAGGTCTCGCTTCAGTCAGGATCTCAAGGAGAATAATGCGGCTCCCGATGCGAAGTCGGATGCCAAGCATTCTCACTTTGTCGGCATCCTAAAAAAGGTGCGCGAGGCGCTTGAACAATTCAAACCTGCGGCTGCTTCTCCCACGCCAGATCCCGTCAGCATCTTGACCAACAGGTTTGACGGTCTCAAGGTCCATGTACCATCCGAGGAATTCATCAACGCGCCGGACATTGAAAGACCCAAGCCGGCTACAGAACGAGCGGAGATCTTCGAAGTCGACCCCTCGCAGTCACTGGAGGAAACCATTGTTGCTTTCCACATGATGTGCAACGATCTGGGAGGGATCCGGACTGCGCTTTCGGCTTTTTGGGCAGCTGTTGTCAGTGAACAGGGCTGGGGATGTGACCCAGCCCTCTTGGCCATCGTGACTAATACGGGCATCGAGTTTGGCAAAAACATAATAGAGGAGATGTTGCCCATTTTTGAGCCACACGGCGGTGTTCAAAATGTAATTCGCCACTATTTGTCACTCATTCCAATGGCAGCAAACCAGTCCATTATGAATCCCGACAGCTGGGATAAGGACTCAGAGTCGGCGAAACAGTACTACGAAATCCTCTCCCGGTGCTACTTTTTGGAGAGCAATGTGCTCGACACTCTTGCTCAAGTGCCTTGGCGAGGGGTGACGAGCATATATCCGGAAGGAGCCTTTGGTAAACTGAACCCCCAAAGGGACTGGAAGTCTGGAACCGTGGACCAAAAGATGGCACAAGACCTCCTCATCACCACCGAGCTCTACTTTGAAGCCTTGGCACTAGTTCATCATGTCCCCGACTATCCCTTCACAGACGAGTTTGTCCGAGGGGTGAAGCAGTTCAAAGAGACCAAGAAGATCCCCTTTAGTCTTGTATTTGCATCCCAAGTCAATCTTGATATACATCACGCCGTCGGCGATTATGCCGAAAAATCGGTCGACACGCTTCTCAAACGACTATCTCATATGGAAGGAGCGCTGGAATCAGCCTTAAATCTTCACAAGAATCTCAAAAGCCCCCACTGGTCATCCTCCAACCAAAGATGGCTGCAGCAGACCCTGGAGGGTTTCAAATGGTTCCTCAAAGATCCCCTACACGAGGCCAAGGCACTTGCCGTACGTCTTGACCCAGCGGGACAACAAGTACTCAGGGGAGTCAAGAAGTGGCGGCTCTTGAGGAGGTCGCCTGTCATGGCGGGGCTCGCCTTGCACTACCATCGCGCAGAGATGCACGAGGCTGGCCTCCTCGTCACCAATCAGTGGGGTTCTATTATCCTGCCGGCACACTTGTACAATGCTGTGTCGAAAGAGGGTCATTGCCAGGCTCCTTGGCCCGATATGGAGACATTGATTAGAATTTTTGGAGAAGAGCAATTCTTTGTTGGAGGCAAGCCTGACAACACATCTGCCTATGTTAACCGATTCATGCTGCAAGTTGGTGTCTCGGCATCTACCCTTACAAACCGACCCCCGTCGTTCCAAAAAGATTGGAGTTGATGACTTCTCCCGAGCCGGTGGGAGAAGGAATGGCAGCTGCCGTTCCTCGTTGGCCAGGTGTTGGCTTTGGCAGATGGTGTTGATGGCCAACAGGACCACTCGGGATTGGAGTTTGCAGGTGTGGCTCTGGACGCAGTCAATAGAAGTGCGCCTAACAGCGTATGCATGCAGCACATGCATAGGCTTTGCGGACGCGACTTTGATGTTCCAGAAGAGAAACTTGAGTTGTTGGCAGCGCTTACTATGGGTGGTGCGGTTAGTTCAGACTCCAATGACTATGAAGACTAACGATGATGCGTCCGATTGAGAATATCGACCGATTCCAAGTACTTGAGACTGAGCATCTGGTAGATTTAGTTCAGATTAGATAGAGCAGTATCTATGGAAGGTTATTATATTAGTAAAACATAATTTCATACTATAATTCTTCGTTTATCACTCTTAATCTACTTCTACGTGGTCTTCTACGCCAGCCGATAGCTGAGTCCGAGATATGTGGTTGATCAATGTACATTCCTTAGGACCGCAATCACCCCTTCAACTTTATGAGTGAACAGGCCCCGATAGGAACGGATATTCAGCAAATTGATGCGCTGATTTTATCCGGAGGACCATCTTTTATGCTACCACACTCAACGTGGTCCATACCCTCACCTCTAGGCCGCTGCCATCAACGTAATCCTCTGGACCGTGACAACGGTAATCTCGGTAGCCGAGACACGATTCGTCTCGTTTATGGTGATCAGGTTCTAGGAAGAGATTTGAATCTAATGTGATTGATTGTGCTGGGTTCTTCTTCTGGAGCATTTCCTTATTGTTTAGCCGATACATTCCCACTTCCAACTGCTTTATTCTCCCCTAGAGTGTATCCCTGCTAGTATTTTGACAAAGGTAGAAAGTAGAAGGAACGATGCACTCTTCACAAAGGAGTTATACCAGACTAGAAGTCCTTTTAGTGTGCTATATTTAAAGGTTCCCAGTTTTGGCATGTTGACTGCAAATCGATGATAAAAACAATCTATTTCTACATAGTGCATCTCAACACTCATTCGCAAACGAGAAAAGTCACAAAACAACCCCTAATCAACCATCAGCAGGGGAAATGTCAGGCCCAGTGATGTTATGCCGCAACTCATTCCCTTCAGTAATAACTCGAATCAAAGAGCTACGGGTCAAAGTTTGATGGTGGTTGAACAAATGAAAAATGTCGAATCAAGAAGTTTTCTACAACTGAGTCTCGGGGATCACGAGTCAACTTCGGAACAACTCGAAGTACTCTCCACTTGTTTGGAACTTTTTCAATTGGAACTTTTTCAAAGTCATTTAGTCTAAATATACCGTTGAACTTTGTGCTGTGTTTTCATCGTGGATCTGAAAGCTTGCTCACTCCATCTCGCTTGTGTATAAGCGCCCCACGCAAGGTTCGATCGTAGTTGACCTCGAGCGTAGGACTCGATTTCACATAATTAGAGATCGCTTCCCTTTCTTCCCTTTCTTCACCTGACCCTTTGCCTTCTTCCCCTTCTTCTTCGTCGTCAGCTTCTTCTTTTCCTGCGGCTTCTTCTTCTCTCTCGCCTTCTTCTCCTGCTTCGCCTTCTCCTTTTTGTAACACTTCGGGCCCTTGCCATAGCATGGGCTGTCACTCTTTCCGGCCTTGCTAGCGCCCTTTATAATACCCTTGAGGATTTGGAAAAACCGCTTGTCAACATGGGCTAGTTCGGATCGGGCCTGCAGAACATCTCTGGCTCGGGCTGCCACCTCATCATCCGCGAGAGAGCGCTGGCTGAAAGAACGCTTATCGTAGCCTATGCCGTAGGAGTCGGACCCATCCCAAATGTCACGGGCGTGGACGGCGACATTTTCAGCTTGCGGGGCTGCTGCCATGGCATTATAAGCCATCACCAGCACAGCAACGCTAATGGTGCGAGGTCGGATGATAGAAACCATTGCGAGAAGAGAATGGTAGTGGTGTGTGTTAACCCGTACCAGAGACAGTTAGATTATACAACAAATAGGTGCACAATGATGTAAATCAAAATCGAAGTAGAGAATATCTTTTGCTGACCCTAGAATCTAAGGGTTGGAGACAGTGGTACGAATTAATGAAGGGAACAATGAGACTTGGACAACAAAATGTGTCTCAATATATAGCCAGAGCAAGAGCAGGTTGGTTTTCAACATCTCAACGTCTGGGCCGTTGCAAAGCTATTTTTGTTGAAACCAACGTAGGACTGACCGCTGCTGACCAACGAATGTTACTCACCAAAGGTTCCTGCAGACAAGCACGGTAGAAAATGACGGCATCAATCGATGGCGCTTGATCTGCAGGTACTCGCTCGGGCCAGCTGCCCGGTGCATTAGTTGGGAGAAACTGCTCAAACCGGTAAAAGAATGGTTGGGGGGCGTACCATAAAGTGTCACTTACGTGAGAATATGCAGTCATAGTTGGCTTTGCCCTCATATTCATGCTTGCATTTGACCCCCAATTAGACCAACTGCGTATGTGGCATGGCTAAAGTAGTAGTATATTGCGACAAGTGTTGGTTGTAGTGGATTGCGGAGATTTTCTCCATTATACGTACCTTAAAAGCCCCATCAACGCGTGTTGGTCGATGGGCATTTGAAGATGGATGGACTTTGGAAGTCTGCATTCTTCCGGCCTAAAATAGCACACCAAGCTTAAAATTAGGCAGCAATCTTTCGTCGAAATTAGAACAATTCATCTTCGACATTTATGTACAAATTAAGCTAAGCAGCCTTGTTGCACCATCACGAGGGGAAATGTTAGGCCCAATGATGTTATGTCACAACTCATTCTATTTCCAAAAGCATGGCATAGAGTGGAAATGAAGTAATGGCTAAACTTTTGGCAGCGCAATATAAGATGTTTCAGGCGTAAGACTGCTTCCGTCCCCTTCTTTCCAGATGTGTCCTTGTCATGTCCAACACCGCCAATGCTATTATCATTACAGTTACCACAAGGACTTTTGGGACTATATGAAGTGAATTTGACCGTAGAGGGGTCAAACATAGCTCCGCTGGTTGGTGTCTACCTACCTACCAGAAGCTAATAATATAGGTCTAGACGCCCTGTTCCGTATTCTTACGAACGAAACGAAATCATCATGCCTTATAACCTTTACGCACTACAGACTTCACCAGATTTGCCGTTGCAGCGAGCCCCCCCAAAACAGGATAATAGAGGTCAGTATTTCTATTTTCTTGCCACCAGTTTTGAGCCTTCATACGTGTGAAGAAGATTCTTGAGCGTGAAATAACATTTGAAATGGACTTCCCCCCTTTTGAGATTCAACATAAATCATCAGGAGTGAGGATCTACCTATTATCCAGTTGATTTTGGAACAGAGGTGTAAGATTATTTTAGAATGATATAATGAAGCAATGAAAATGGCAGTGGCTAAAGGACTTCAGTCAATAATGCATTGTCTACAGGACCTTAAAATAAAGGAAGCCTCTTCCTAATCTCTCAAGACAGACCAGTCACAGCAGGTGAATACACCCATCCTAAAACACGATCATAGGGCGCTTCACATGTGTGGGAAGCACTTTAGTTGACTCATGTTTTCATTTCTCAGACTTATTTTGGGGCGTAGTTGTACAATATCCTGCTAATACACCAGATAACAAACTCATAACCATATATCAAAGGTGTACATTGACCGCAAAAAACCTTACCAAACTAATGATGCCAATACCCTCCAACATAATTTCAAAGCCAACGTTAGTATTAGAATTGCCATTCCGTTGCTATAATTCCACACTACTAGAAGAGTTAGTACAGGTCGATGCCTTAGGATTTGCCAAATGCTGGAGACGTCTGGTCAAGGTTTGCCAGTGGAGGAATGGCGCGAGGTCGGTTGAGGATGCCCGTGTCAGCCTGGTCCGCCTCTGACGCAAGTCCAGGTGCGGCACTGGAAGTCGACACGGCTGTACTGGCGTCGTGCCTAGGAGTTGACTGTGCCACGTCTCTCAAGCCTTCTGAAGTGTTCTTGAGAGCGTAATGACTGTCACCGGAATCAACAATCGGATCCTGTCTTGCCGAGCCGAGGCCAGTGGCAGCCAGGCGCGATTCTTGGTAAGTGGGAAGATGAGGTGCGGGCTCGGCATATTTGTGAGTATTCTCCTTTGCGATCCCGCCAGCCGAAAGATTGGACAATGGATCGCTGAGTTTGCCTACGCCTGCAGGGTTGCTGCGGGAGGAGTTCATGTTCCCTGCATCTCTGTGCGAATGGACAGCGGTGGTATCATGGCTGGGGCGAGTCTGCTGATCATCTTGACCAACAGCGCGGTTTGCCTTGTCGGAGGTTTTGTCAACGGTATTCTTGGCCGCCTCCATCAAGGCGTCAGCGTTTTCATCTGTGGCCCTGGATGGATTGGCTCCGCCCTGCACGAGCTCTCCAGCGCGTCGCTTGGTGTCTGCGGCAGTCTGTTGAGTCGCGGTTGAGAGCTCAGCGGCCTTGTCCTTTCCGGCCTGGGCAAGTGCCTGCGAACTCTCCAAAGCTGCGTTGCTCATGTCTGCAGTGCGAGCCTTGGCAGCTTCGAGGACTTCGCGGCCGTGGCGCGACGTGACGAGGGGGGCCGTGTAGAGCGCGGTGACGCCCAAGAGTACCAACCCGAATGGCGAGACGATTTTCACGAGGAAGTACAAAGTAGCCAGAGTAATGAAAGCCTGCTTGTCAATTAGCCAATGCTCAATCGCCGAGGGCCCGACAGCCAAGCAAACGTACCCCAAAGGTTCTTCCCAAGTGTTGGCCAAGGACAATTCTCTGGGCCTCGACAACGAGGAACTGCACAAGATCGTGTAAATCCTTAAGCGTGTCATTGAGGACTGGCTCGGGGATCCTCTTATACTCAGCCGGGCGGAGACGGGCTAGAATTGTGTTGGGAGTGAATGAACGATGGGCGTATTCAACGGTCGCAGCCACTAGTTGCAACTTCGTCAGTGTACGTTCATTTTAATCTCAACTGTTATGGATCAATTGGTGTATAGGTACCTCCAAGAACCGTAGCTCCCGCCTTGAGAGCTGTTTGAGTGAGGGGCAGGTAGTGTGCTGCACAGAGGACGCTGATAATACCAATGTACGAGCCGAGGGTGCGGACTGGATCTTCCCACTAGTATGAACCGTAAGCTAATGCCGTAAATTTAACAGTAATTTGTTGGTGTATCTCACGCTGGTGTACTTGTAGAGGCTGTCTGGGTTGACTGCCGTCGGAACGATTAGTACCTTTGCTCCAAGCATCGTATCAACCAGCTCAGATTCTGCGTACCCATTTCTTTCAATGTGCTTGTGCGTTGTTGATTGGCATATTCCCCCTCTCCGGGTACATTGTGCATTGCCTTTCGGGGGCCGGAGAAGGCCTGGGACTGGGTAGAAAATGCCTGGGCCTGGGCGGGTGTCGAGGCAGCTGGAGTATCAAGTCAGCAAGATGCAATCGATTTGGCTGCGTCCGTACTCGGCTCACCATCTGAAGCCTTGCTCTCCACCTGAGGGAAATCTTTAGGCTCCACGGGGAACGCAGTATTCGCTAGACCAGCCATGATTGCGGTGGTCAAATTGAATTGTGGTCGTGTTGTTCCTGGTCAAAGTTGCCCCTGTTGAGTGAGAAGCGATGGATCGTGGTGTTGACTGCAATTGAAGGAATGATCTTGATGGTTTATCCGATACATTTAATAGCCATCCTGCTGTTCAACACGCCACTTGACGTAATTCCAAGCAGGTTTGAGCTTTTGACAAGCATGGACCGACAACGTACAATGCGCAGGCGATCACGATTTCCATGTCGTCATCCACAAAGCATATCCACGATTGGTCTTGGCTAGTCAATATCCATTGGGGGCATTGTCCAATCAAGCGACGGCCGGAGTTGCTTGGTTTGTTTTAGATATCCGCCAAGCAATTCGGTAGTCGCGGCAGGGCGGGTCATGGACCAAGTCCTGGGCAGGCATTAGAGCACGGACGTGGAGTATTTCGTCCGCGATGATGCAGTCTTACTGAGACATAGACGGCGCTCCTCCCTTGAGGCAGCCGGCTCTGTCATGATGACCGCATGAGCCAGGCAATCCGTAGCACCAACCGGGGCTCACCTGCGTACAGCCCACCCTTAGGCACAAACGTTCAAAACTAACCAATTTCATCATTCCCCTCTCTTGACTAACGGCTTGGCTAGTAATTAATGTAGTAAATTGGCTTTTGCATGTTATAACGCGACCATTGGCACAATTGGTATCTTTCATTGTCGCCGTTTGTGATAAAAATCATTACGACAGGACTAGACCACACAAGGTTTATAGCGATACTGGTCTTGGAGACGTTGTACAGTTGCCCATAGCATGGCAAATCATTGGGCCCAGTTAAAGCAGACCATCTAACCCACTATACATACATACCTAAGTAACTACAACCATCCAAGGTTCCGAACCAATCGAAGCACTCCATCCTTTATCGATAGTTCCCTAGTCTGGCACGCGCCCTGCAATTCTTATCCGCTGTTATCTCGCCTTGAATCTTCTCTGCTTGATCCCCCAACACCTATAACCTGGTTACCACGATCATGACTCAACATCGTCTTAACGGGCCCTATGGTGCTATTGTCTTAGAAAAGGAGTCAAGCGGAATAGGGTAATAAGTATATTATCACGAACCTAAGCTGTTAAGACGACTAAGTCTTGAAAATATATTGATATTTTAAAGTTGACAGAATTTCAGGCAATAACTCATAAGAAACAAACCATTAAACTGCTTATCTATACTCCAAAATGCATATAAGGAACCCATTGCAATGAACCCATGTTCTTATCTGCGTCGCAGGGAACGACATCTCTAGGAAGCCGGTCTTTTTTCACTTGATCTCGATCCTCCAAATGACTGATTTCATCCCCAGACATAGTATTTTGTTTTTGGATCAAAGAGGCTCTATTCCCGTGCATTTCATGCTTCTGCAACCATTCATCTCGAACGCTCCGGACCGCATTATGCAATCCTTGAGCAACCGACTTGTCCGATAATCCGCCGTCCTTCATTGCTTCATATGTAATCTTGGCAATATTCACACAAAGTTCATCATTGACTTCCCAAAGTGTGCCAATGACGTGACGAAAGCCACTCACCTGACACCCATTGATCAGATGTATGCCCTCATCAGACAAGCTCTCTGATTCATTTCGTCCAGTGCTGCATGCAGAGAGGTAAGCAAGAAACGGAAACTGCTTGCGGATATTTGTTTCCAAAAGAGTCGCTACTGTCAAAGGATCACTCCTTGCATCGTCTAGAATGAGCGTGCTCTTGGATGGATCAGTCCTATCAATGTATCCATGCCCGGCAAAATGAAATATTTTGCAGTCAAGTAACTCGGATAAAACATCGTTCTTGCGGCGTGGTGGTTCAATTGGTTCTAGGCCCATCGACCTGCAGAGATCATGAAGACCAGCGACTTCTTTAGCTGCAAAGGGCAATTTCGAATGCCCGTGTGTGTCCTCCATTGCGACTAGAACTGCTTTCTGGCTTGATGTGAAACGCGGCGGCAGTTGATCGCGACCATGTAGAATCGCCTTCACGGATGAGCTATATGACGATATCACTCGATCCAGGACTGTCTCCGAGTTGTCCCTAGAGTGGTATCCGGCTGCATGAATAGGCAATAAGCTGAGGGCTCCTGTGGGAATCCACCAGACATGTGGCCAGTCAGACCCGGAGGGAACGCTATCAAAACCAAGGGCACCCAATACAGGATTCGCGATCGTATCCCAAAGCCATTCGAGAACTTCAGAGCTCCCATATCTACCTTGCTCTGCATAGAATCCAACCTGGTTGCTGTCAAGCTCTGTCAAAGGAAGTAGCTGGATCTTATCTTGCTTGATCAAGACAGCATCACAGCGGATTTCACTGACGTTGATAATGACAACTGGGCCACTCTTGGCAGCCTCTTGCATTTTTTTCATATCCGGCACGAGCAAAAAGTCTTCCAACCCAACCTTGCCGCGTATCTCGGCTACCAACTCTTCAAATTCCTTTCCTGCCTCATAAAGCCGGAGAGACTGGGCATCCCAGGCTGCTTCGGGAATAGTTTGAAATCCGGTATGCGTAGTCGATCGGTCTAGTTCATCTCGAAGAGAAGCAAACTTCTTTGCTAGTTTGGGATGGTCCTCTTCCAATTCAGAAAGATTTATCCTGAAATCCTGAAGAGCTGATGCAAGCATGCTACGGCCCTGCTCCAGGAAGCTGAGAATTACGTACGGATCCATATCTGCATTTGCTGCTGCAGCGGCGGCGTCAAGCGCGATGCTTTGTATTTCACCAAGGATCGCTAGTCTGTCCGAATTGATAATGTGTCTAAAAAGAAGTTTTCCGATTAAAGATATAGAGGTTTGAGCAGCAGTGTAGGCTTGTTGCCAATCTTCAGAATCAGTGAGCATTCTCACCACATTTCGACCTGATCGTATGCGATGTCGTACTGATAGATAGGAATGACCTAGACAATATTGGTGATTTTCAAGGGCTCCCTGTAAGTCAACCTTTGATTTACCTTCCATAAACCGAGAGTATAGCATAATCCCAAGTGTTTGAGCCCACAACCCTCTGTCGGGATGGTTGCCTGGGGTGACATCTAGCGCATTTTGTGAGACCCCGATAGCCTCATGTAGATTGCTCACCGATCCAGTGTCTAAATATCTAGCGTGCAGCGAGCCCCCAAGGTTGTTCAAATAAGCGACATATTCTGGTCGATCTTGTTGAATGACATTAACAGCCTGCTTACAGAACTGAATTGCCTGGTCAATATCCTCTATCGAAGCAGACCTCTTATATTTATGCGTGAACAGAATTCCGAGGCTATTATACCACATTGACTGGTCTTGGGTCGTTTCGGCCGGCTCACTAACTGCTCGTTGGCTAAACTCTATGGCACTCTCCAAGTCATCCACTGAACCGTTTCTTGTGCTTTTTTGACCCAGTAGCGCTCCGAGGAAACCAGAGATCCAGATTTGATCCGGATGGCCTTCCAAGGTGATATGCATAGCCTCTCTCGCAAGTTTGATGGCATCATCCAGGTCGGAAATCGAGAAGGTGTGCGCATATCGTTCATTTAAACGTTGTGCAAGCTCCAACAGAGTCCTGGATCTGTCTGGGTAATACTCGGGGGTCGATTTGATCACTTTGTTACCTAGCCGGATAGCTTCTTCAAGGTCTGTTATATCTCCCAATCTGAGATATCTTTTGCCACGCAAAACCCCCAGGCTCTGCCAGCACCAAATATAATCGCCACCCGATTTGATCGCATCTTCGGTCACTTCAATCGCTTTTTCAAGGGTTTCTACCAAGTCTGTGATTTGAAAACGTTCGCCAAGTGCTTCTCCAAGACCAGCCAAGCAAGCTGCATAGCCGAGTTGATCTTTAGGCGTGACAGATAGTGCTTCCTTTTTAATCCGGATAGCGTCTTCAACATCAATCACTGTTCTCGTTCTTCTATATCTCCCGAGAAGCAGAGTACTAAGATAGTTAAGATAAGCTGCCCTAACACGAGACTCCCGTGGTGTAATATCGACTGCTTCTCACGCAAGTCGAATGGCTTCGTCGATATCCTGACATGATCCCATCTTGAAGTATTTGGATCCCAGTAAATGTGAAAGATGTTGCAGGCAACTTGCTCGCAGGGGATCAGAGGTTGCCAGAATTTGCAAAGCGTTTTGGCCAAGCCCCATTGCTTCTTCAAAATCATTCATTGAACCCATTCTGATATACTTGGCGTTGAGAAGCGGTATCATGCTGACAAGGTGTTTCAAGCGACCTGGGTCAGTCTCTAATGCTTTATTCAGACACTCTCGTCCGTAGCTGATGCCGTCCACTAGATCGGACAAGACGTCTGTCTGGGAATATCTCGCTTGAAGCGCATGTCGATGATTTGCCAAGATGCCGACACGATGCTCGGCATCTTGTGGAGTTAATCTCAAAGCTTCTTTCTGTAGTTCAATCGCCTCCTCAATGTCAGGAAAAGAGCCGGTTGCATCAAATCTTCTGCAGAGGTGACCCGAACAGTTGTTGCAAAAGATAGCACGGAGCGGGTGGGTTTCCGATGCTTCTTTGACAGTCTGTCGCCCAAGTCGAATGGACTCATCAAGATCATCCATCGAGTATGTTTTTTCGTAAAGTTCTTGGTAGAGGTTTCCAAGAATGTCTAGGGACCAGAGCCATTCTGAGTGATCGCCCTTTGGCATGGCTTCTATCGCTGACCGGCTAGCAGCAATAGCTTCTTCGAGGTCGATCGGCGTGCCACTCTGCTCAAGCTTCATATTGAGTAGTGATATATGCATTCTCCACTGGGGCTCTGAATTGATCTCCTCTCCATTTGAAGCTGTCTCGCATGCCAAGTGGCTGATTTTAATTGCCTCCTCAAGGTCGTCCATTACCTGGTACACTTCGAACTTAACAAGGTACAAGCATATGAGACGTTCTAGATACCACAGCCGTTGTGCATCATAATCGGACCACGTTTCCAAAGAGTCCTGTAAAAGGCAGATATTCTCTTCGAGGCCTGCTACGGATCCTGTTTTCCGATATCGGTTGAAGAAATGTGGCAGCAGCGTTCCCATACATTCCCAGTAGCTCGTGTGGGTTTTTGGTAGTGTTCTCACAAGATCAAAACCAAGTTGAATTGTTTCTTCAAGGTCAGCAAGGTCCTGGAGCTGGATATATCTCGCGGAAACCATCTTCATCAGAGCTTTAGCGTATATTTCCCATTGTGGTTCATGCTTCGCGGTTTTCATGACCGCTTGCCGTTCCATCTGAATCGCCTCGCTAATGTCAAATTCGGTTTGAGATACTGAATATCTCAGACTAAGGCTAACTGCTAGGTCGTGCAAGGAGTTGACATATAATGCATCAGGGATGTCTGCATTTTGCACAGCCTCTCGGTGCAATCGAATAGCCTCTTCAAGATCGGTAGGCAACTTGTAAATGCTGTATTTCGTGCCAAATAGAAGGGCTAATTTGTTCAAATATCCAGCATGGTCTTTTTGACTCTGAGGAGATGCCTCTATAGCTTCTTGCAGGAAGCTGATCGCTTCTTCAATACATCTCTCCGATCCAGTCCTGGAATACATTTCCTCTAGAAGACCACTTAGGAAGGCAAAATGCTCGACCCAAATCACATGGGTTTCTCTATCCTTGGCAAAGAATGTTTGAATCAGTTGAATAAGTTCCTCGAGATCTGATACTTGATTTTGTTTCAAAAATCTCTCATGGAGTAAACACTCAAGACGATAGAATGCGTGAAAGCGGTCCTCATACTCGCTATCTTCAGAGGAAATACTTACGCATTCTTTGAAAATCAATATCGTCCTGTTGAGGTCGGTTTCGGCTCCAGTTTGCTTATATTTTTCATCTAGCAGTTGTCCTAACCGACCAAGATCACAGAATCGGTCATCACTTTCTGGCGGTAGACAGTTGACTGCCTCTTGTTGAAGTAGAATGGCTTTTTCAAGATAAGTTGCAGAATTCAGATGACAGAATTTTTCATTAAATAGTCCGGCAAGATTGCTGAGATAGAGTGGCCGGTTTGTATGGCCTGTTGGCGTCGCATCAAGTGCTTCTTGTGTAAGGTTGAGAGCTTCATCGAGATCGGCAGTTAAATCGCTTATCGAGAATCGTTCTGATAGGAGCATAGCAAGGTCATCCAGGTTTAATGGCCGACGCGGGTGGCCTTTTGGGGTTTCCTGGACAGCGGATCGGCCTAACCGAATTGCTTCTTCCAGATCGGCCAGTCGTCTCGCAGTTGCGTCCATTGAATGATCAGATAACTGTAGAGCTAGACGTAACAGATTACAGAAAGCCAAGTTTGTCTTTCGAAGTCAGTGTATGGCTCAAGTAGAGGCTTCGATGTCTGCGTTGTTTGATGGAAATGGTGATTACAGGCAGCCCCGCTTGCTCTTTGGGCATCAGCTGACAGGAGGCTCATTTGCACATTCATTGATGCCCAAGTGATCTCGGCTCTGTGAATCAACGGCCTTGTAGCAGATGTTGGCGGGGCCTACTATCGATGAGAGGTGTACGCGCAATTGTTTGCATTAGTTATTTTTTCGTTCCAGCATCATCATCGACTTCCTTATCCAGTCGAGATTTGTTCTAAATAGTGGGCACGTGGCCGCCAGCCAAGTAGCAGGCGGCGAGATATCCCTACTCTGCTCAAAAGGCCTCATCCAAGTGGCGTCTAATAAGATGGAGGGACGGGCTTCTTTAAATTTTAATATGTATATGTAGGTAGGTACTATTAATAGAGTGAATCTAGGGCGGTATCTGAGATAAAAAGGTGCCAGCAGCGAGAAATCCGGTTGTCGCTGTTGGGACCTTTTTATCTATATACCACCGTATGAATCAGCGGAACACGCTTACTGCACGTGACTTCTGAATGCTGAGTTAGGCTCATGTTGCCTATAGTTATCAGGCATCAGTGTAAAATTTACCTCAGCTTACATTGGCATAACCTCATTGTCTTTCGAAACCATAATCCCTTTTCATGTATAGATTGCTCATAAATTAAAAATTATTTTTAACAGTCAATATACACAATGGCCCATAAAATAATACCGATAGAGCTCTTACAGGCCTCAACCGATTCACTGACAGCAGACGGTTCACAGAGTCTAGGTCAACTCTATACTCTGTTGACGACATGTCAAACTCAGTACGAAAAATACGGAGCCATCAAGGATCTGGACCAAAAAGTCGACGTGATTTACGGTATTTTAAAACAAACGCTACATTCTGATGAAAACTTCCCACAGCTGCTACACCGCCTTGCTGTGGCATATCTTGAAAAGAGTTCTCGCCAGGACATCCACGAGTTTTATTTAAGCATGAAATACATCGACGAAGCAGTTCGGGTGACTCGAAAAGCTATAGATCTTGTACGGAAAGATCATATAAGTTATGCCTATCTTTTAAGGACCCTGGGCCACTGCTATCACGATCGGCATCGACAAAAAGAGGCGATTGCCTTGTCTGAGATTTACCCTCTACCCGATCGACAGGATCCCGTACTTGACGCTATTCGAAAGACTTATCCGATACATTATAATGCGCATGAAACGCTTCAAACCAACAATGGGTTAATAATATCAAGCTCTGCCTCCGACTCGGACATTGAGAAGGCAATACAGGCACTGCAAGAAGCAGTAGACCTTCTCCCCCCCAACAGCAAGTTGCGAAAAAGCTTTTTCCAGGATCTCGGTCAAGCACATGACGATAGATTTGATGTAACAGGGGAGATAGTCGACTTGGAAGATTGTATCCGCATACATCTGGATGCCATTGACGAAACAGATGACAATGATCCAGCCAGCGCTCAAATGATGTGGAATGCAGCCTCCGCATATGAAGAAAGGTTTGAGCTGCTAGGAGACGACGTCGATTTCACAAAAATGATGGAATTTTATCATGAATCCCTCAATCACACTCTATCTGGGCCTACTTGGCGACTAAGGTCTGGGATCAAGATATTGAATATCCTTGCCTCTGGAGGACTTTGGTCTCGTGCATACGAGATTGCATGGGCCACTTCTGCTCTTGTACCTCTTCTTGTTCACCACTCTCAAGATCACGCCTATAAAAATCATCTACTCTCAGTCTCCCGAGGTTTGTCTTCTGATGCGACAACGACAGCATTAATGATGGAAAAGCCTGCATTTGAGATAATTCGGCTCAACGAGCTAGGAAGGGGCATAATTATTGGCTCTGTACTTCAGCGCAGTATGCTCAAGCGGCTACAGATCAATCATCCCGCAGAGTTTTCAGTCATTGAAGATTTACAGGCCCAGTTTCATGCAGCTCCCAGGATGCTCGACCAAGCCAGAAACCAGAGCGATGCAGAAAGGTTACTTAACGAGAAAACACAGGAAATACGTCAGCTTCCTGGATTTGAGGACTTCCTGCTACCTCCATCCGAGGATGATATTCTATCTGCAGCAATCAATGGACCCATCGTTCTACTTCTGCCAAACCCTGAACGATGCGATGCCGTGCTAATCAAACAAACAGGGCTTGTAACATTGCCCCTTCCTGGGTTAAACTGTGAAGATATTCCCAACATAAGAGCTGCTATGTTCGATCCAATGGTTCTCGAATGGTTATGGGACACTATAGCCAAGCCAGTTCTCGACGCGTTAGGGTTCACAGAGACACCTACCGGGGCTGATTGGCCTCATATTTGGTGGATTCCCACAAGCACCCTTGTCGGCTTGCCTATTCACGCAGCCGGTTATCACCATCAAGGATCGACCAACACTGTGATTGATCGAGTGATATCCTCCTATAGCTCGTCGGTCAAGTCGCTTATTCAGGCTCGGAAAAACAATCAGACAGAATCCGAGATTGATCGAACAGCAAACAAAGCCGAATATGGGGAACTTGCCGTCCTCATTGGGACTCGAAACCTGCCATTCGCTCCCCAGGAGGTGAATGAACTGGAGGGGATATGCAAAAGCATGGAGCTACAAACGCTACGCCCTCTTCATAACAGGGAAGCAGTCCTATCTGCATTAGAAAAATGCCGCATCTTTCATTTTGCAGGACATGGTCAAGCCAACTCTCTTGACCCATTGCAGAGTTGTTTGGTACTGGATGGTGGGACTCTGACAGTCGATCAGTTATTCGACTCTCACATTAACCAACAAAAACCTTTTCTTGCCTATCTTTCGGCCTGCGGAACAGGACAAATTTCACATAAGAGGTCCACTGACGAATCTATCCATATGATGAGCGCGTTTGAGCTTGCTGGTTTCCAAAATGTCGTGGGCACACTCTGGAATGTAGAAGATGGCGTTTGCCCCAGCGTGGCAATTGACACTTATACATGGATCAAGGATAAGCAATTAACCAGGGGATCTGTGGCCGAGGGACTCCATCATGCCGTAAGGAGTCTTCGTGATAAGTGGTTGTGCGATAGGGCGGAGTCTAGCAGAGGCAAAGCTCCCGGCGACAATGAGGTTGAGCTAGTGCCAAAGCTCTCTAGCCGGGAAGTATCCAGAGACATTGAGCTCTGCGATCAGGAACATCAACTATATTGGATACCATATATCCATTACGGGTTATAGTCGGCAATATAAGACCGTTGTTGTTGTTGTTCTTGTTGTTGTGTTTGTACTTTAATTATCCGTGTCAATCTGCTCGTGGCGGATATCATTAAAACTGGTGAAGTTAGCAGGTAGGTAGTATACAGTATTGCTGTATCCTCCGTGATGGAACCCATCAAGCGAACTCGTCGTGTTCCATGTGCTAAACCTTGACTAACCGACATGGCACAATGGATTTGATTTTCAAAAGATTCAAAATGTCGCAAGCTAGTGGTTGGACCGAGGCCTAAACTCATGCCCTTCTAAGTCGAAACTTATGTTGTGGAGTATTTCAATATACAGAAACTACAGCACATATTCACTATGTATGCAGAGATGGCTTTTTTTTTCAGAACCAACGTCGTGTAGCCAGTTTATTTGCTACACCGAATCTGTTCGATAAAGTAAACACTATATCAATCTGCGAAACTCATCAAGGTGTATCCAGTTCATGTATCCTCTGGTGTAACTCGTATAGACTTCAAGCACGGATCTGAATCTCAATGAAGTTATGCAAAGACCCTGGAACCTGGGAAGTATATGTAATCTCCAACCTCCCGTCAACCTTTGCCAAGAGCCCCTTCCAGTCGTCAATGCTACGCTCCAGCGAGTTGAAGGCATTCAGCATCTGGAAGTCAGCCGCACCCATCATGCGTGCAAGTGTGTTGAAGGGAAGCTGGGTGATATCCGGCGGCGCAATCGCTTCCACAAGGAGGAGGCGCGAGCCAGACTCCAGGTGTGTGACCAAGGGTCTCAGGATTTGGGCCGCGTACTTGTCAGGCCAATCGTGTAGAATAGTTTTCAGAATGTACACGTCGCCCTTGGTCTGCTGGGGCTTGAAGAAGTCGTGCGGCTCAAAACTGATTCGGGCCCGTTGGTCCTCCGGGACGCGCTCCGTGAATGATGCCTCCACTTCAGGGAGGTCTTGCACGACATACTTCTTCAGATTGGGAAACGCTTCAGTGAGGACAAGAGCGTCGTGGCCGCCCGAGCCACCGATCTGTGAATGTTGGCATGATATCATCCGCAGCGGGAGGGGACTAACTCACATCAACAACCGTCACGTCCCCAAGCTTAGGCCAGTCATAGCCAGTCTTCAACAAATCCTCAACCTTGATGGCCGACGCAGAAGCAGCAGCCTTCATGCTCGCAGCAAACTCGTCAGCTCTCCAGCCTTTGGGCTTGCCCTCGACATCACGGGCCATGTAGTCCCAAAAGTTCTCAGGTTTATCAAGATGGTCCACGTTGGCTGTACTGAACCCGCTCTCCGTAGGTTCTTCGCTAGGCTGATCCTTGCCGGCGCTGAACTTGCGGAAGGACTCGGGCATGTGGACAGCACCGGGTCGAGCTTCTTCAAAGTTGTGGCGAATCCAAGACCTGAGCAGAGGGTTCTTGGCTGGCGCGGCCGAGATGGACGTGTGGACAATGCTGTCTGGCGCACCAGGCGCGCTGGCGAAGATGCGGTTGGTGGTGGCGTACTTAAGGATACGGCGGACCAGGCTCTCTGGCAGGTTTACTTTGGTGGCGATTTCAGCGTAAGTCGCCGAGCCTCCCAGGGGAACAGCGCCCCAAAAGTCGAATTGGTTTAGGATATCAATGGCGGTAGCATCGTAGTTTAGCTACCTCAAACGTCAACCGACTTTGAAACAAGTATAAGGAGGATCACGGTCACCAACCAAGATGGGAACCAGGAAGTTTGAGTCCATTGGTCCCAAGGCGAGCCGCTGCAAGTCGGCCACGGCGTCAAGGAGCGTCATACGAATGCCCATCAGTTCTGGCATCTTGGGGTAGTCAGCAAGGCCGTCCTCGGCGAACGAGGGCGCGGGGAAACCATCTTGCTCAAGCTTGGCAGCGAGTGCGTTTGCGGTTTGGGAGATGGTCTCCGCCAGACTCTTGAGAGATGATGACTGGCTAGCCATGATGGTGTAGGCAGACTCGAGTGTATGTTGAGCAGGTCAATGGATCGAAAAAGCTTGTGACTACCCCTCTTATAGTTGACCCTCTTGGACAGGGCTATTTCGATAATATTGGCATGTTGCATTCCCGCCCCCACAGCCCTACACAGAGAGCCGTCAGCACTAGTCGCGATCTGGTCGTGATCTGACTGAACCTCTTCACCCCTCAATCCTAAGTCGTTGATAGTTGATTCTGGCTTACTCGTTCAAATAGAGGAATGTAACCATGTGAACCGGCTTCGAATCCTCTTTTACCGAAAGGATTGCACTCGCTGCCCAGGGAAAATTACTGGGTCTCCTTTCTTAGTCTCTTCTATCTCTGCCTGTTAGCAGGTGATTCGAGCTCGTCCTGGCAAATTCGGTGGGATTCGAGGTGGATTCGGGGAAGGACCATTGAATAACAACCCCCGAGATCCTCGGAATGACAATATGGGCCACCCTTGGGTGTGTTGGGTGTTCTAAGTCGCATCCAGAAAACGCATAGGAATTTCGCTTATAACTTCATATAATAATTAAACCAGCAAACCTGCTGATAATTAATCAACTCATACGCCCTAAGCTCCAACTCGCAACGGTCAGCGTAAGAAGGCTGCTATTGAAGCCATATCTAGAAGTGAAGCGTTCTCCTGTTTCACTTTGATCCTTGGTGCTTAATTTCACGGTACTTCTTTGAGCGTCTTATGTCACGTGGTTGCGTTTCCCGGCATCCGCGTCTTGAAGCGGGTCTAAAAGAGAGACGAATTCACGCTCTTCACCACTTCGCAGACGACTATGTTTTGAGGAGACGACCCAATGGCCACACTATCATACATAGACGAAGCCGACCACGGCGAGAGTGGCTACTTTGTACGACATAGCATCTCCGATTTAGTTTCCTTATTGCTGGAGCCCGAAAATGCCAGCGAGGGTGTACGCAAAATCGGCCGCCTCGTCAAGCTCCTTCTACTGTCTAACCAAATTGACCAAGCCTATGCACTCTTCTGTGCCTTGCATGAGCATCAGGAGGCCATACTACCGCTGTCTTCCTTGAGCGACCATGGGTTGGGGATGGGAAGTCAGCCTTTTGCCCATTGCTGGGAGGCCTACCCGACATACCCCTTTCCCGGAAAGGCACCGGAGAAGCCCGAGGGTCCGGACGCCACGTCCGCTCGGAGAAAGATACAGCAGTGGCACGAGTACCGCGAATGCACCCGCACTGGCTGGATGCTCGAACACTGCAACTTGCCCGAGCCAGCAGATCCACGCAAATGGCGGGAGACGGACGACGAACCCATGATTGCAATGTGTGCGCGGCTGCTGGCGAAGGACAAGACGCTAGGCCAGTACCCTAGCGAGCAAAGGATGCGGGAAGCTCTGGATGCGGCGAAGAAGCTATACGCACATCCTCAAGTTCCAATCACGGAGTGGAAGTTCAAATGGGACGGAAACAAGACCGTGAGAAGACACTCTTTCCTGCTCTATCGAAGGTTGGTGGTGGAGCTAGCCATCAGACTTGGAGAGCTTGAGACTGCTGCCGAGGTTTTGTCCATGGGACTCCGGCTCGACGGTTTCAACGATGTTGATGGGGGCCAGTTGGACCGGTATCTGGTTCTGCCAGGAATTTACGACGTCCTACCTCTCTTAGCCAAGAGAGGGAAAGAAGGCAATCCATTTTATATTGAGACAGAGGACGCCGATGCCATAGTCAAAGAGGTCAGAGCAGCCGTGGAGTTGCGTGCGCGAGAAGGGCGGCAATGGTCACTTGCGCCGGAAAAGGTTGGTTGGAAAGAGCTGCTGGATAGACTTGCCAAGGGGGCATGGGCAGTGAACCGCACAGAGTATGAAGAGCAAGGTCTCACTTGCGCCGAAGACATTCTGCATCCCCCGGCGACGGAGGAGGAAATCGCAGAAGCCGAGGCCAAGGTTGGCGAACTGCCACCCGATTTCAAGGAGATGGTCCGAGTCGCGAATGGGTAAGTCGTCACTATCTCAACATTCTCCAGTCTGCAAATCTGGCCTGGCTGACCCGCTCCAGCTTCCATGGAGGCTGGCACTTCCTCAGCGGCGGCATCAACGGTCTTGAGGACATTGATCTGGCCGATGATGACGTGGAGAACTACATGTGGTCCCTGTCCCTTGACCTACCTGGGGATGTTTATTCCAAAGTCATTGCCCTCTCACCCGCAACAGAATGCGATGGGTTCATGCATTTCATGGTCTCGCCAGCGAATTGGCGAAACCCGGTCAATGGCAGGAACTTCAAGGATGGAGAATATCCTTATTGGCAGTGGGCCGCTTGGCAATGTGCTGATTCTGTCTGGCACAGCTTCCGCGACTGGGTTGCCGGTGAAGTCGAGCGCGCCGAGGCAATGGTGAAAAAGGGGCGGACCATGGAGGATGAATAGGAAAGACACGGGGTTGTCAACAGTGTTTGGGAGGGCTGCTGGGTAGTCACGTGACCGTATATGTCCTCGTTCATCTCAATGTCTTGGCGCTATGACGTAGTCGAGTGCCAGGTAGTAGCTTCTCCAAAGGAATACATTCTGCTTTGTTTGCCCTTTTATTCACAATCATCACTCGCGATTGTCTCAATGGCAGACTTTTCAGCACGCCGACGACATAACATCAAACAAAACGAGCTTCTTCTCGACCAAATACTACCTCTAATCACCAATATTGAACCTCGACCTGCCGAGCCCGATACCAGCAGCAAGAGCATCAAACGAAAAGCCGATGCAAGTCGTGCACCTACGAGACAGTCCAAACGCATAGCCACAGCAAGCGCAAGGCCGGTTTACAACGCCGATCAGCATGTTGGGACATCTGCGCCGCGAGGGAAGGCAAAGACTAGCCGGAGTGCCAACACCAAGCGAGCTCCCTCAGCATCAGATCCAGGCCCTGGGTCAGACGCCGAACCGTCCAAGAATGTCGAGGCAATTGTAGCCGGATGGAGCGCGTGGACACCTGAAGCCGGGGAGCCTTCCCGTGACGATGCCGGTACGTTTCATTTCGAGTCGCATCCCGATTTTCGGCCGAACAAATCGCCCGAGGAGATCATTCGTGAGGGAAGCTTCGGTGGCTCCTACTGGCGGCCGCTGTTTTCAAAGCGTCTGCGCATCACCGTACAGGACGATTGGAGGGAACTACCGGCATCATGGACAGCCGGGCTAGACGTAGATACATATCTCACCAGCGCCGCGTACAGCTCTGAGGTGAACAAGTACGGTGTTTCGTGTGGACAAAGCATTGAAGAATGGGAGGCGGCTGGCTGGATCGCCCACGACTACGATGTCCGCGGCTGGTTCCAATGGTACTGTCGCTTTTGGATGGGCCGCCGTTGCGCCGATGACGGGCGACAGATCAGCCGTTGGAAGAAGTGCGTAGGGGAGACGGGCCGCTGGCGACGGACTCTGCTCAAGAAGTACGTGGCATTGGGAATACGCACCGTGTTCGCCGATGACGACGACGATGATGATGACGTTGGTGACGTGAGCCCTGTAGTGCACCAGACATGCCACCACTGGGCCTATGAAGTTCGTCAGGATGCGCTGGAACAATTTTGGGCAGAGGGAAAATAGGCACAGAACAGAACGTGGTCGACGCGTCACGGCATGTTTGTGTAATTGTAGCCGGACTGTCCTTGGCGCACGCGTCAGTTTTCCTCAAGACATGGCTACCCTATAGGTAGGCTGTTGTAGACAGTGCATCAACTGTCACCATTGTAAAAGGGTCCACGGCACGATTAATAGCATCTGAAATCAATCAGGGAAGCAGTTGATTTATTCTTAAGAATGAATAGGTTAGCATAAGTGTATATCCATGTAATGCCCTACAAGTATTGGCAAGAGATCGTTTCACTACACGTAGGTTTTTAATATACCTACCTACTTACATGTAGGTAGCACTGAACACATAACTTGGTTTTAACTATAGCTCGCCCGCCGAGACTTGGATGATCTTCAAGGCTACAAAACTCCCACTGTCTAGACCTGGATGTCCAGAGCAACAGTGGCATCCATGTGAGAATTGCCATAGAATACCTCTACACCACAGTTGCCTATGTTGAGGTACTCCTCCTTGCCGGCATAGCCTTTCTCCACCATCGCGTCCAGCCAGACCTTCAAATCTCCACTAAACTCACCCTCGAAGGGTGTGTCGGGGATCATGCTTCGTACAGTCTGGCCGGAGCCCGTGTTCTTGCCTTGGTACATCTTCCATGTCGTGCCATACATGTCAAAGGTGGCGGCAGGGCCGTCAGCATAGCCAATCGGAACCTGCCCGCCCCAAATCTTCAGGAAGAGCATGAACTCATTGCTGCTTGGCTCTTCGCCTGCGCCGAGGACAGGGGATGTGATGAAGTCGTAAATATTGGCGCCTGCAAGAGGGCCACGGTCAGTATCGCAGAGGTTTAGACAATATGCTAGAGTTGGTCTTACCCTTGAACTCTCCGTCAATTGTACGTGACCACTTGTAGTAAGCAGGAATAGACTTGACCTCGGAGAGACGCTTCTTCAGGTTCTTTCCAATACCAATGTTTGAGTAGCCCTTGCAGATGTCGTTCGTATCGGCAACATTCTCGATATTCGTGGTGCTGGTCCAATCAACCAGGTACGTCTTGTCGGATGTCTGCAGAACCTTGTTGTAGTTGGTGCATTGCGTTCCGACCATTCGGTTGGAATTATACATCGAGTTAGCGACTGTCCAGGGCATGCCTGGCATGATGAGACGATCGTCGTTCCCGCATTGCTCTTTCGCTGCGATGTTGACGTTCACCTCTGTAGCATCTGCGTATGGGGAGGAGGCAGTGGAACTAGGCAGTGAGTCATTGACCTGAGCTGAAGATTGGCTCTTGGTCTCAGTACTGGACGGTTGCTGCTCCGGAGCTGAGCTAGACTTGATCGCTGATGTGATGGAGGTCGAGGTCGTCAGGGGCGTTGAGAGGCTGGAGACGGGCGTCGGGGCTCCAGTCACCGTCACATACTCAGTTATTGTCACGGCTGGCTTGCACGTTCTAGCTGCGTGGGCTGTGATGGGCCCCAGAAAAAGGGCAAAAAGGAATGCGTGCTGGTACATGGCTCGGTAAAAGTCTCGAAGCAACAAAAGCTAATGGGCCCATCCAGAAAAGAGCTCGTGAATGCTCGGCAATATATCTACTGATCGACAACGGCACTGACTTTAACATACGACAGTATTTCATGGATCGGAAGTTTCGGACTATTGTGTTTCAGGTCCAAATTACCTAGGATGGAACAACCTTGCAATAATCAAGGTTTCCGTTGGTTCAAATATGAAAATGCCAATGGACCGTGCAGCTTACTCGATCCCGATAGGAAGGTATGCTCCGTACTATCATGGAACAATGAGCTGTAGACTGCTGCTGTTGTTTCAACTTTTACAACCCTTTTTGTACATCTTCCTTCAAATAGGACCTAGCATCCAGTATGGATTCTTCAAGTTAGCAGACTGCTTGAAGCTTAACCTCATAGCCTGGGCATTACCGCGGGCCCTTAAGCTCCATGGACGCTTTTAATCAAGCATACGTACCACCCTTAATTCTTCCAATAGGATAAACATACCTTGAGTTTCGCTACAAGCAAGTAAGATGGATCGCTTGCGAAAGAGGCCCCTGTCAAAGACACACACTTCATCAATGGCCAGTCTTCCGTGGGCTACCGAAGCTCCGCGGAGGTTCAGTGCGTAGTGAAATCAGTCAGTTTCACCCATTGTTGGCTTTTTCACATAGAAGGCAATTGAAATTGGCAGCGTAAGAACAGACGCTTGCAGACTGTAACCTACAATTTTTGTGAATCGGCAAGTTATGCCCCAACGAATCCAGGCATTTTTTACTTATGCGTACCGTGTGCCTTCTGCCGATTCTCGTCCCTATCCCACTATATCTACATAATGTAGTATGGTGCGAATAATTAGTAGTAAATCGGATTTTTGGGAGACAATTTCTGAGATTTATTTGTCAAACGCTAAGCGATTTGCAACTGGACCGCCCAGACTTCGGTTTTCTCATTCGCCATCCATCAGGGAAGAATGCCTTATTGGGCATGAGAAAGGTGACGTTGAATGCATTACCTGGCTGTGAGATATGATTGATACTTTTCTAGGACTTATATAACCTTCCTCGCGTGGCCAAGAGAGAGTTTGACATTATAGAACCCTACGTTCCAAAGGATGCTTCCGACCTGTTTTCCGAAGCCTCGATGAAACCTGATAATATCAACGACATAATCCTGAGCCACCTGCACTTTGATCACACTGGGGACGTTTCCCAGTATGCAGAGGCACAGGTGTTGCTTAGACCTGGAAGCACGTCTGTCGCACCCCCTGAATACCCAACGGTGGATGAATCCCCTTTCGACGGCCTGATCTTCGCCCATGCTCGAGTCAGAGAGTTCGAGAGATCTCAATATCAGCCTCTGCCATCAGGTGCCGTACTAAACGACTTCCCATTCTACAAGAGGATTGACTTCTTTGGAGACGGCACGCTATACGTCCTCGACGCGCTGGGCCATATGCAGGGTCGCTTGAACATATGAATAACCGCTACTTTTACCACGATTACTACTGATTGTCGTGCGGCACTGTTTCACACGGGGTGGGATGCATTGGGATCGTAATAGGGCGGAAGAGACGTGGTTTCGGAGACTGCACAAGGGTTAGTTTACATCCCGAAACTGTCTGCCCACCCGGTGCGTGGCTAGGGATCTGTTCCGGCTCCTCTATTCTATTGAACTTAGACATCCCGCTAGTCATGTTTTTGCGCCACGTGCTTCACACCACCGCCTATAGTCTCATAGCCCCTGGGTGCGTAGAAATGCGCTGCGTGTGGGGTTGCGGGGAGATCGGAACGGACGCGGAGGGGACGATGGAGACGAGTTTGGTTCGTCTGCTTTATGCTTCCCGATCTGATCTCTACTCATCATGAGACGCGAATACCACCTTCAACCAGTTCCAACCCCACGGGGTAGTCTCGGAACATATGCAAGCACCGACCCACAAAGTATATGAGGAGAGAGCCTGTATATAACATCCTGCCTTCCCCAGATTTGGAAGGATGGTATTGAGAGGAGCTATTCGCAGTACAATCTGGGCACTCACACGCGGAACTGACCATACAGAAAATGATTAGCGAGAAGCAGAAGGCCTCCCACGAGGAGGTTCGCCACATTGATGAGAAGGCTGGAGAGGTCCTACTGACCGAGATTGATCCTGAGAAGGAAAAGAAGCTTGTCCGCAAGATCGACTTGCACCTTATTCCGATCCTTTGCCTACTTTTGCTCTGCACATTTTTAGAGGTCAGTCTCCGGGATGGATGTAGTATACGGCCATACAATACATGTCGTTGTGATTTTAGTAATTCCTAACTTGAGACCCAATAGTACGTATTTTCTGCGGTTCTCTTCTTCGGCGTGCTCAATTTGTTGAGTAAAGAGTACACTTGGCGACAAAGCCAATTGATGCAGGTGTGTTTTAATATGCTCAATGCAATTACTGACTCGAGGTGTTCATAGTCGGTACGTTTCAAGATTCAACGGCAATACTCTTCACAACTAACAGAAAGCCAAGCATCAACATTGGCAATGCTCGAATTCAAGGACTCGAAAAGGACCTTGGCATGGTAGGAAGCGATTACAACATTGCCCTGTTCACCTTCTTCATAACATACATTCTCTTCGAAGTTCCCTCCAACATGTTCCTCAAGCGGGCCAGGCCTTCCGTGATCCTCAGCTTCATCGTTGTAGGGTGTGGCATTGTCACGGTCGGCCAGGGTGTCACTCAGTCCTTCGGTGGCCTCGTCGCATGCCGGGTCCTGATCGGTTTTCTCGAGGCGGGATTCGTCCCGGGGTGCGTGTACTTGATCTCGATGTACTACAAGCGCCACGAGCTCCAATGGCGCATCAATCTGTTCTACGCGGCGTCCATCCTCGCGGGCGCCTTCTCAGGTCTCCTGGCCTACGCCATCGCTCACATGTCGGGGGTTGCGGGCTATGGGGGGTGGAGGTGGATCTTTATAATCGAGGGTGAGCATCCATCGTGGTTTCGTCTCGGCTGCTATGGCTAACAAGAGATACCTTCCTGTGCTAGGAATTGCCACTTTTCTCATCGGAATTTTCGCGTACTTTGTGACGCCCGACTGGCCCCAAACTGCCAAGTTCCTGACCGAGGAAGAGCGGGCAATGGTCATGGCTCGGCTGGCCCAGGACACTCCGGATGCGAGCATGAACCACTGGAATAAGTCCACTGCCAAACGGGTTTTGGGCGACTTGAAAATCTGGCTTGGGTGAGTTTCCGTGCCTCTGTTCTCCTAGCCCACGCTGACCTCTCCGGCCTGGCAGTGCCCTCATGTACCTTGGAATCGTCACCACAACATACAGCACCTCCTTTTTCATCCCGACTATCCTCAGCCAGCTCGGTTGGACATCTCTCCGCGCCCAGTACATGTCCATCCCCATCTACATCGCAGCCACCGTCATTACTCTCACCGTGGCGATATTTTCGGACCGCCTCAAACACCGGTTCGGTTTCATCCTCCTTGGCTGCCTCATCACGACAATCGGCTACGGCATCCTGCTTGCCACACCGTACGTCCCCGTCGAGGCACGCTATTTCGCCCTGTTCCTTATCACGTGCGGGTGCTGGTTGACACAGCCCGTCACTGTGGTATGGCTTAATAACAACCTTGGTGGCCACTACAAGCGAGGTGTCGGTGCTGCCATCCAGCTTTCGATCGGTAACTGCTCTGGCATCGTCGCATCCAACATTTTTCTTCCAGCTCAGGCACCGAGGTATCTTCTTGGATACGGGCTGGGGCTCGGATTCGTGTGGCTCTGCGTCTTGGCCGCCTGTGTGTTCAACTTTTGGATCAGGAGGGAGAATAAGATCCGCGACGCTGGGGGCCGTGACGACAGGCTTGATCTACCCGAGGAGGAGCGGAACAATCTTGGCGACGACCATCCGAGCTTTAGATTCACCGGTTAGTTAACCACCCGGACATAGTGCTCGGCCAAATAGTCCTAGCCACCCGGCAGTCGAGTTGGACGTGAAGAGAAGATGCCTGTGGAGGCGGCCTAAACTGCAAAGCTTTTAGCTCCTATACGAAGCTGGGCGTTCGTTTATAGTCTTATTGGTATTTAATCAAACGATGTATTCACATAGCTTGGAGGGCTAATCAAAGAGCGTTAATTATATGAAACAAACTTCACATTCTCGAATGCAGAGGAGCAAAAACGATACCGAAACTCGCTGATTTTTCTACTTCAATAAACAAAGCTATTTGTTTTAGCTATATCCCTTTTCAGCTGCGGGCACAACCCACGATCGTAGCCGTTCGAACTTTTGGGACAACCAAAAACTAGCTATTTTATTGAAACACTAAAAGCACAGCTAAGGACAATATATTATTAGCTTATTCTTGCCACTGTACCACTACACACCACGTCAAAATGGTTCTGTCCAGCCAAAGGTCGACAGCATCTCCTCTGGCCACTTGTCGCCGGCAAAAGTTTGGCCCATAGGTTCACACTGAAGAAGATCGTCCAGCATGGCCCAACTTGGCCAGATAGGCTCGTCTACCGATGCCATGGGATTTCGAGGCCCTTGCATAGCAGTATCTCCTACTGAGATGCGTTAGCCCTGTCGTGTGATATGACTTTATTGTGGTGTGAGTTTTACCTTCTGCTGTGAGGTGGTGCATCCTTTGTTCTAGCATCTCGAGGATTCGTATTACGTGGGATGCGCATGGGAAGTGTGGCACGTATTGCTCGAATATCTTGATGCACTGAGACCAAGAAGTCTGGAGCGAAGCCGTTTCGAAATTCAACTCGGGGGCTGGACAAAGACGTGCCGCTACGAGTACTATAGCGCAGGAAAAGGCATCTAAAGTGTCGCTAGGTCAGCACAAGAGAGATTCTAGAAAAAGGAGAATGAGAGAGGCTTGTCTTGCAGTGAATCTTGTGTGAAATGGAAGTCCAGTAGGAACTGTCCATGTTCTTGTAAATGTGAGCGATTAACGTTTGTACCGTGGAGACACATAATGAGCAAGCTTTGAGGGCTAGCTGTTGTTCAAGGCTCTCATTCTTGTATGGCTTCTTTTCGCCGGGAGGGTTTGTCGAGACTTCCGCTACCAGCAATAGAATCGGCCGCAACAGAAAGATACGGATATACAGGAACCTTGCAACAGACAATAATTAGCCTGAAGTCACTTGGGAGGTTGGATCTTGGCATGAATCGACATACCTAGAATACAGAATCTTTGCCCCAAGAGCAATCTTGTCTTGAACGGGGGTGATGGGATTCGCTGAGTCAGGACTGATGACCAGGTAGCTAGGGAGTGTGTCCTGAAAATCATCCAAGGCACTGTTCAGCCTCATGACGGTGCTCAGTTCTCGATAAGATGCAGATGGAGTGTTGGGTGGTTGAGGCTCGTTACTTTTGTCAAAGTAAAAGGAGGTGAGAATTTCGTTCAGAATGTCGAAGAGCTTGCTCGAGTAGACGAAGCTGGACATTTGTGCAGGTTGATGCGGCTGAGAACCCTCGCCGTCCTCTAGCAAGTATTCATCGTCGATCTGCAGAGGCAGAGGAACCTTTGAACAGCCGTAGATCATTGTGGGCCGGCCAAAAGTTACGGCGAGTTGACTACACGCCATGGTAACTTGTTAGATCAGCTGTTGATTCACGCTGCACGAAAGACATACCGGTCAAAGAAGACACATGTGTGCCAGACTCTGCGTTCCATTTCTCTCTGCAACTGGTTCTTGGCTCCAGCCGTACGGTCAAGGTGAAGACCTAAGCTCTGTGCAGTTCTGATGGCCGACCCTACAACATTCCAGCATCGGTTCGCGTGCACGGTGGATTGGAGATATACACCTGTGAGCAAGAGAAGCTGCACGGTTGCAAGTGTCGGATAGTCTAGAAATTCGTCGGCAAATAACCTCCGTGATCGCCGGTAGAATGTATCCGCAAAGACACGCTTCCGAGTGGTTGTGATCTGGTCACTGAACTGGCAACTGATGGCGAAAACAATGTTCAACGTCGAGAGGAACGGAGGATCGTCTTGACTTTCTGATGAGTGGCTTGAAAATGCTTCGTCGTCACCCATCCATTGCAAGCGGTAGGACCTCATAAAGGTAGGTTTGTGGAGAATAGGTAGGAGAGGATGCAAATATTCCCAGAAAGCCTTGACCAAGCCGTCGGCTACTCTTCGTGTCGGCAGTGACACAGGATCCAGATCGCCATCCTGTGATTGGGGGCTGAGATAGGATCTCTCATGGTGAGAGCGGTCGTTGGGTTTTGTATTGGTCGCACGCAAGGGCGAGTCATTCTTGCCGATTGTTCGCAACATGGATCGAACGAATGCCATTGGAGATGACTCGCCAACAAGGTTGGCAATATCTCCTTCGGAAGATGGAACAATGACCATTGCGTCAGTCTCTATGGCTTCGTGGCACGGCGTCTTGATCGTCGACCCTTCGCCTGCTGAAAAGTCGCCTTGGATAGTGGAAATTGGTGAGTTGTCGCTTCTAGCAACCAGGGCCGGTTGTCTCGTGTCTTGTCCTGCCCCGTCATCAATCGGTTCTATAATGGTGAGTTAGTAGTCGTGCACAAACACATGCTTTTGATATTCAAGGCGAACCCATGACTCGTCTCCTTTCATACTCTTGAACCCTTGCTTCCAAGGTCGAGACATATCTGCAACACGGTCAGCCGCACATCCAGGCTTGGCACGGCCGAATTGCCTTGATGTTGATACCTACCTCCTGGTTTTAAGAGTCCCCTGCTCATACACGCAGGTTGATCCGGCACCTTTGCTTTCACACGTGGAGCAAGCGGGCTGTCGACCATCGCACCGGGTCTTGCGAGCGCGGCAGTAGTTGCATGCAAGCGCTATCTTGCGGCGTTTGGCCGTTGGTCGCGTATTGGTGACATCGGATTGCATTTGCGGGAATGTATCGTCAGCCATGGCGAAATGGCAAAAGGACTGGTCGGGACGGCGGCGGGTATGTACCATGATGATAGTCGGATGGTTGGCGGGCCCGTCCCATCTATATAAGCGCGTCTCCAGTCGTCTGGGCCGGGGTAGATTCGTTCCATCCTTGATAACCCCGCATTGCAGGCCCAGTTCAATGACTAGCTGCGAATTCATACAGTACTTGAGTACCTAGACAAGTTGGCAGGCAGACACAGTAGCAATAAGAGGATCCGTGGACAGCGCTAGCCCAGCGAGGTGTGGCCCCTTGTTTAGCTTTGCTTGGCCTGGGATTCTGATTCGGCTGGGATCGAGGCCTAGTTCTCCCCGCGTTTGAATCTATCCAATGGCTGTTGGTGAGAGCTGGCTGACTGTCCCCGATTGCCGACAAAGGTGATTAGCTCAGGCGCCCTTCATGGTCCGCGCTGTATCCGGTCAAGACGTGCAGTTGTGATCCTTGTCTACAGTTCGACGTTGTAGAGATAACAAGAGTTTTATGAGGAAATCTGATATTGCAATTCTGGGTACCGTAACATAATGTGTGGTATAAAGACCAAGAGACCTTTCATGCTACACACTAGGCGTTGAGTAAAGGGGCCCGTTCCCACTTCTAAATCGTTTTGAAGATGTGGATACTACTATTATTCATTGTGTTGAGTTGTCGGGCTCTGGCAGCTTCCATTGCTGTTAAACTTTATTCTCTTTCTCTTACGTATATACTACTATATAATAGGGTATAGCAATTCTCTGTTATACAATGTATACAAGGTTGCACTCCTACTGGCTTTCTTCCATATTCATCGCGTTGCCAGACCTCTAATCTGCGCATTGCTTGAGATGAAGGACCAGCTTCTTGCTCGCCGGACTGGCATTGAAAGTATCATACAGCCTCATGTCATCCTGTGTCATACTACTGTCAATTGACGCATCGAATCGGCGGAAGAACGCTGCGGTGAGCTTGCTGAGCTCCATCTGCGCTAGACTACGACAACAACTGTTAGTTGCCTAGAAGCACTGAATACTGTCTTGCTTCGTGGCTGAGGCTTACTTGATTCCGATGCACTTGCGAGGTCCCACAGAAAAGGGAACCCATGCCTCCCTTCGTTGATCTTCTCCCTCCTTTGCAAGCCAGCGGTCGGGGTCCCATTCCTCGGCGTTGGGAAAGGCCTGTTCATTCAGATGGATGGTATAGTTTTGGATGCCGACAATGGTCTAAAGTATGTAAGCGCAGGTTCTATCTCCGCGAGTGACAATTCTTACGCCTTTGGGGACCGCAACGTTCGCAACTACCGTGTCCTGGATTGCTGTTCGCGGTAGTGTTGCAATAATGGTCGGGTACCGCCTTAGGGTTTCGTTGATGACGGCCTGGAGTAAAGGTAACCCTGTGCACACCTGTGTCTATGAGCTAGGGAAGTCTATGGTTTCGGGAGGAGGAAAATGCCTTACGCGATAGTCGGGTACTGCATCACGGTCCGGGAAGGCTGCCCTGAGCTCTTCCTGAAGCCGTCTGCTCACTTCTGGCTTCTGTAAGCAGCCCCATAGGATGTAGATGAATGTAGTCGCCGTCGTCCCGCTGCCTCCAAACCTAATAAGATAACAGTGAGTAACTAGAACGGGCTTCGGGTATGGAGCACCTGGGTTTTCCTACATTCCGCCCATGCATTCTTCCGCTATTTGCGAATTGGTAAGGGAAACACCTGGGTCAGCGTCTTTGGGGCCTGTGGGACTGGAAATAACTTGGCGCAGGAAAGGCGTGTTGACTCCCGTGGCGCGGCAGTCCTGGATAATGTCCATGGCATACTGCATTTGAATCGCGTTAAACTTTGCTCGCTGTGTCCCTTTGGGAAGTTGCTCACCTTCTTCCACTTATTGACGCCACGGAAGCAGTTTCCTACATAACCCGGAACAAGAACACCCCACCGCTCAAGGACAGGAAGAAACTCTTTCTATTGTATAATGGGTTAATACCACGAGCCAACTGCCACGGTTCAGATCGAGAGCTTTCGCTTACAAACATGTAGGTTGGCTTCCAGGCATAGAAATATGGCATCACCTCGTGGGATCGCCCATATTTGACACACCCAGGATCGACATCAAACATGAGATGATCTAAATTGCGTAAGCGAGAGAATCATAGCGCTGGCCTTTCGATTGACTTACAAACGGTATCGAATCCTAGCCAGTGCACCCAGCTAAAGACATCAATGGAATGGCCCTGCACCGTCTTGGCCGTCCAGTGGTCTAACATGGCGGTAATCTTCGTATCGATATTTGGCTCGAATTCGTTCATAGAAGCCTGCGAAAAGCCCCGAGATAGAAGTTTTCGGCGCTGCTTATGCGCCTTTGGATCACTTTACGATAACACATGAGCATACCTTGTCAGTCTCACATCAAGTGAAAAAGAAATTAAAATCAACACCTCAAGGTCTCTTACCGGTAACTCAGAAGGAAGTCTTCGTGGAAGATTCGCTTGGCGCGCTAAACTTCGTTAGAAGGTAGCCTACATCAATCGATGGGGATGCCTGAAACTTACGTAAAAGCTCTCTTCTTTAATGAAGACGTCGGAATTATATATGGCACGGACGGCTCCAGGATCTGCGAACGATAACTCGTTTGGCCCAACTCTAACAACAGAACCTTGAATGGTTGCTAGTCAGCTTTGTGAACCGAGTGTTAACTCAACCAGGCTTACGAACCATATTTGCGGTGGGCCTCATGAATTCTCTCTGATTTTCGGCCTTGAAAGTTTCCAAGTCGGCTCCATAGTCTCGAGATACGAGCAAGGGGTGGCCCGGGAAAGCTCCTGAGTGGGTGAAAGAATAAAGAGTAGACTGCCGAAAGGGTCGTTTGGACGAGTATAAGAACAAGTCCCCCGGCGCATATTTTGAGTGCAAAGTCAACGCGAGGGTCTTGGGCGAGGGAAACGGTGCTCATGATTGTCATTTTGCAGAAGAGTCTACGATGATGCCAATGCTGTCGAAGGGCAGTACCGCTGCAGCCAGCCTTTGTACTGTTCTGTAAGTATTTAGTATTTAAGACCCAAATCACCGGGACTGGACTGGGGTCTGCCTCTGTCGGCATTGCCATAATCTATCCACAACGGGGAGATTACAAGATCTTGTCCCCGCATTTCGGGGAGATAAGCTTACCCCGCCCCCACGATTCGATTCCGATTCGGGGAGATGAGCAGTTCCGAAATGGACCTACACGACGGAAACTCAGTGTCTTGCTGGGACTCGCACTGGCTTGCTAGCCTTTTGCAAAGCCAGGCTAGGCCAATAATCACGGAATTCTTGTTCCCAAGGTCCCGCATGTGCATGTCTAATTGATAGCTCCCTTTGTGCTCGCTCATATGGCCGGATGGTAGCAAAATCCCACTCATGGTGCCAGAACCTTACATAGAGCGTGAAAAGAGTTGTCGTAAGCTGAGCGTTGAAACCGACAAAATCTTGCGCCACATCCGACTTGAAATACCGACACAGCCTGTTCTGGCGTGGAGTCATCGAAACCAAAGGTCATAGTCAGTGCCCCTGGGTACTATATACCAACCAACTCCTATTATTACGCTACTTTGCGTCCAATTTGGTCCCCTTCCCGTACGAAGACAATGGCTCCCCAAAAGGATCTTGACATCGCCATCATTGGCGGAGGTATTGCGGGCCTCACGCTCGCCATCGCCCTTCATCACCGTGGTGTACCCTTCACTCTGTACGAACAAGCACCCGCTTTCGGTGAGATTGGTGCCGGGGTGTCTTTTACTCCCAGTGCGGTTCAGGCGATGCAATGCTGCCACGACGGCATTTACGACGCGTTTGAGAAAGTCTGCACTCGAAACGAGTGGGAATCCAAGCAGAAGCTGTGGTTTGATTACCATGATGGCTACAACACTCCCCCCGGCCATTCATTCCCAATCTCCAACTCCCTGGGCCAGAGAGGAGTCCATCGTGCAGAATTTCTCGGCCAGCTTGTCAATCTCATTCCGCAACATGTCGCGAGGTTCAACAAGGTTCTCACGGGCATCAGGAGCGCTGCCAACGGCAAGTTAGTTATGGAGTTCCTTGATGGTACCACAGCAGAAGCTGATGGCATCATCGGATGCGATGGTATCAAGTCCCGAGTCCGGCAAGAACTATTTCCGGCTTCCAAGCCTTCATACTCTCACAAGTATGCGTATAGAGGCTTGATACCGATGAGCAAGGCCATCGAGGCCATCGGAAACGAGAATGCGCAAAACGCATGCATGTATGTAAGTGTCAAAGTGCTAAAGAATTCTACTGGTGGAAGAAATGTACTAATCGCACCTAGATGGGACCCGGGGGCCATGTTCTCACATTCCCAGTAAAGTCTGGCACGGTGATGAATGTCGTGGCTTTCCACACATCGGAGGAACCATGGAAAGACAGTGAAAGAAATGTTCGAACGGCAACCCGCGCGGACGCCCTCCGCGACTTCACTGGCTACGGGGAAGATATTACCAAGATCCTGCAGTTGACAGATGAAAAGTTGAATGTGGTAGGTCTAAATCACATGCTCTCTTGCTCAAGACCCGACGGGGGCTGATCAAATCTTCTCCCATCTAGTGGGCCATTTTCGACCTGCACGACAATCCAGTCCCTTCGTTTTATCAAGGGAGAGTCTGCATATCTGGGGACGCCGCGCATGCGACATCTCCACACCACGGCGCTGGAGCCGGGTTCTGCATCGAAGACAGCGCTGTCTTGGCTGCACTGCTATCCCACGAGGCGGTCAGCTCGCCCGCCGATCTTGAGCTGGCTTTTGCTGTCTTTGACGAATGCAGGCGGGAGAGGGGACAGTGGCTAGTCGAAAGCAGCAGGTTTATCGGAGACTGCTATGAGTGGAGAGCCGAGGGTGTGGGCAGCGATTTTGCCAAGATTGAGAACGAGATCAATACAAGGAACAGCATTATTGTTGACGTTGATGTCGCAGAGATGTGTCAACAGGCAAGAGACACTCTGTCGAGAACGTGCGGTAGCCTTGCGCGTGAAATCTCTGCTAATATATAACAAATGGAGCTTAACAATGGTAATATGGATTATCGTTTATTACCTATGTCAAAGTCATACACTCCTTGCAGTTTGTACTTTATGATGAGTATATGGAATTTTTCTATATCTAGCCCTTAATTCGTCTCGTGGAAGTCAAGCGTACTGAAAACTCGCTCACTTAGCAAATTATCCAAGGTGAAATCCATAAAAACGAGTTCAAAATAAATTGTATATCTTTCCATATCCTGGCGCCGCATTTACTGCTATCCGGCTCATTCCGCGCCGAGTGACTCGAGTGCCAGACACTCGTGTGTTAAGGGCCGCTTTCTATTGTAAAGGGTATAACAAACTGTGCTCAAAAACCCATATACGATACATATGTAAAAGGCCAATATAAGGAACTAAGACTAACCTTTAGTCAAGTACATTGTGTAGTCATCTCAGCTAATCAAATGTCTCCAGAGGCTGTCGTAGTTATTTCATATACTCCCTTTTCCCCAACCCCAATTGTTCAGGGGATCATCAGGCATGAGATTAAACATTACTTTCCTCTTGTTAGCACTGCACATGAATAAATGTATGGCCAGAATGAAGTAAAATGTGTTACCTTGACCAAATTGACCAAACGCTTCATCAAGCGGCAAGTCAAGGGACTCGATCTGAGAACCATTAGAGTCGACAAGATTATCAAATATTGGATACGATCCAGTCCACGAATTGTCGAAATTGTTGAAGTGTACATCTGATTCCCCCAGTTGCATCTCGCTATCGAATCCGGCTGCAGGGTCTGTTGTTAGAAGCTCCCCGCCATAGCTACCTTCAGTTTGAGTCAAGTTAGCGTGTCTTGACGGCGATGCCAGTCGATGCTTATCGCCAAAAGTTGAATCTCCGCCCTCATTCTGCCTCGTGCTTGGTCGAGCGTCTGTCTTGTTATTTTCCTTGAAAGACAGCTCCACCTCACGATGCAGACTTAGCTTCAAGAGATCGCTCAGTAGCTTTTCAGTGTGCCGAGCAATTTGGCTATGCTGACGCAGTGCTTTTGCACCCCGGATGATGCGAAACACACCTTCTCTGGCTTCTTGTGCCGTATTGCTGTTTGGGTGGCTGGTTGGAGGGATGCAGAGGATGACGCCGGCTGTAAAGAGATGGACGAATATGAAAGCCATGCAGAATTCATTCCTGAATTCCATGATGGGAATTCGGGAAATTCTGAGAGCAGCCTTGACAGATAGGTCGAACGACCGGGAGACGGATTCTGCGATGCTCTTTGATATGTTCTGCCGATATGCAAACGACACCCTATATTCAAGTAATGGTCGATGGGCAAGGATAGTCGCAGCGTCATGGGTGATCTGAAGTAGGCAGGCTTGCAACTTCACCTTGCGCAAGTCACGACTGCGTCTCATTCCTTGGCCACTGGACTCTACCCGTGGCGACGCATCCTCAGGGAAATCATCCGACATGTTCTCACTATCAAGTAACGAAGGCAATGACCTTCGCCAACTTTCTAGTTGAACATCAATATCTTGCACGGCAGCGATCAGGTGCTGCAACTCTTGCACAGTCATGGGGGTATGAAGCCGCAGGAGCCGGAACTTGGAGAGAGTGGCTCTTGTTATGTTGTATAGCTTGTACTTGAGCCAGTGGAAAGTCAAGGCTATTACCTCGCCGCCGACTCGGTCTTGGATTTCTGGCTCATGAGATATGTCAATGGTAGTGTCGTCAAGCTCCTTCAAAGGTAGCAAGTCTGAAAAGGCAGCATCAATGGATGCAGGACGGCCATAGATCTGTGAGGCAAACGTATCGGCTACGGTGAGATGGTTCCAACATCTGCGCCTGACCTGGTCTACAACCTCATCGCCAGTTTCAGCGCCGCAGTGTAAAGCAAGGGCGTATGAAGTCCTCGCGGCGAGCCCAATCGTGGCCCAAGCCAAGCTTGGGGAGCCGTGAAAGATGTAGTAAGCACCGAGCAATAGACACACTTGCACCGTTTCGATACAGCTGTCGTCTAACAGGTCCAGCAAGTGAATCCGTATCTCTGCCACCATTTGGTTGACCATGCCTCCAGGGTCTGTTGATATTGATGCAAGCAGCTCTTGCCCCTCGCTCGAGGTGTCTTGCAGAGCACATTTGAGACCAAGCGCAGCAACTGTCAACAAGACCACCACCTTGCTCTTATCTCGTCGCCTCCATGATGTAGTAGCAAGGATGAGGTGAGCTTGCCGGAGAAATGAAGGCTTATGGAAGATCCAGATAAACCAGTGCAGCCTCTCAAAGTAGACTTCGATCAAGGCATAGATGATGGGCGGACTTGGCATGCACATGGACTGCAGGGACCACAATGGCGAGCTCGGAGACATAGGTCTCGAAGCGTCTCCAGGGATAGCCGAGGTCTTGGGTGCATTCTTGCCGAGACTCTCGTACATGTCCATGGCCAGCGACATAGTAGATCGGTTCGCTCCAAATTGCTGGAACTCGGGCGATCCACCGGAGGTCTGGACAGACGGGGTCGGTGTGTCGCGCGGCGTCGGCACCGGCACCGGCCGCAAGGGCTCAGGATGGTGAGTATGCGCCGGTCCATTTGCTGGATGAGACTGTCCCTTTGTGGAACCTGGGTGATCTACCTTGCTCTTCCGTTTCCTTGCCAGAACAGTGCGCGGCTGACACTCAACGCCGGATCGGGTACACATGAGACATGGCTTCGAAGCATCGCACTTTCATAATGTCAGCTACCAGCGCTTGGCCGAGAAAAAAATCACTTGTTTGAGTAAGCACCTTGAGTTTCTGTCGCCGACATCGAGCACAAGCAGCAGATACGCGGCTGGCGGATGAATGGCAAGGCGGCTCATCCTCACCACCTTTGCCAGCTGCTTGCACCTCCATCTCCACAGACGCATGCATAAAAAGTTCCAAAGGACAGTCCGGTAGCAAGGCCCCACGAAGTGATCGGAGCAATGGCTAGAATATGCGGTGGAAGCTGGGGAAGCTGGGGAAGGAGGTTATAGGGTATGCCCAGCTAGCGAATGATGGGGGAGGCCATGCGAGCACAACTTCCGGTGGAAGGTGTTAATATAGCCTTGACTTGGCCTCTCACGGCTAGTCTCAGCTAGGATTGACCACCAAGACCGTAAGCAACCCCACAGAGCTCCAGCTCTCAGTGTTGATAGGGCAGTTGGGTTCCGCATCAACTTCCGGTAGGATCCAGATCCCCGCCCGCTATCCCGGATCAAGATTCCCGTGCTCTTTTATTACATAGGTAGTAAGTTCATGAAAGCGGAGTGGGCTCAATATTTTGTGACACTCTATTCATTGTGATGAGATGTCGGGCCTGGCATCTCCTATTGTTGTTTTAAACTTTACACTCGAACTCTCTTCCATTTTGTGATACTCTGGTCGGAACATGGTTTGGCATCACAGCGGGGACATGATCAATTACAGTGCATCTGCCAGCCTGTATATCAAAAGAAAAAAATCTAGAGACATCTAAGATTGAAATGTAGCAACTCATACCGCCAACACAAATCGTTTGCCCCAGTGCCTTTTCACTGATATTTCACTGTCTTTAGCCTTTCAGTCCAGCAAATTAACACGTCGTATCTCAACTATACATCGGTATGGATACTGTGAACAATTTTCCAGCTTATGCAAGTGATGATTATAATTTGGCGGAGATCTGTGCCTGCCGGGCCTTCTCGCGGTCTCGGAGGAGTCTCCTCAAGATCTTTCCGCTGGGGCTCTTGGGGATCTCCGACACAAATTCAACTCCGCCTTTTAAGTGCTTGTGTTTTGACTTGTGCTTGGCTACCCAGTCAAGAATTTCTCTTTCGGCAGTACGGTAATCGCGGCCGGCATCCTTACTTAGGACAACAACTGCCTTTGGTACCTCTCCTGACCTCTCGTTGGCCACCGGAATGACTGCACAATCAACGACGAGAGTGTGGCCGAGTAGATGTCCCTCGAGCTCAGCAGGGGCGACTTGGAACCCCGAGACTTTGATCAGTTCTTTGACTCTGTCCACAATGAATAGGTGAGCATCTCCTGTTTTGGGGTGCGGCCGGAACTCGCCAACATCTCCACTCCTCAACCAGCCGCCGCTATATGTGGTGGCTGTGGCGTCCCTGTTCTTGAAATACCCAAGAGTGACATTGGGTCCGCGCGCCCATATCTCGCCGGGCTTGTTGTACTCCTCAACATCATTCCCACTGGCGTCAACAAGCCTGATTTCCAGGCCAGGGACTACACAGCCGCTGGACCCATCGTAAACCTCACAAGGGTGTGAGGCCATGACCGTAGCCGACTCCGTCATGCCGTATCCTTGGCCCAAGAGAACGTGAGGATAGCGCTCTCTGATCTGCGAGGTAAGCTCTTCCGAGAGCGGTGCCGCGCCGCAGTACATACGGCTGACAGACGGCAGGTCGAAGTCTGCAGGATCTTTGGCCAAGGCCCCTTGCTTGATCAGAGCAATGAGAATCGGAGGCACCACGTAGAGCATGGTCATCTTGAATTTCCTTATGGCCTTGACCAGGCTCATCAGCTCAAACTTGGCCACTACTACCACTGTGTCGCCGCGGAATACCGAGCAGTGCGTGGTAAGAATAATAGAATAGATGTGAGATTGTGGCAGGATGCCGAGGATGATTTCCGGCTGGTTACCACTGCGGAGGGGGAGCTCGTAGAGATTCATTTGCATGATGTTTGCGATTATGTTTCGGTGGGAAATCATGACGCCCTTGGGCGGTCCAGAAGTCCCGGAGGAATAGCACAAATAGGCTGCTTGCTTTCGAGCGCGGCCCTTTTCCCATCTGGTATGCGGCAAAAGCGGAACCCGGCGTCCAATGTCGACCAAGTCTTCTAGATTCGAGAACGATTTGACATTGGTAGTTGGACTACCGGTGTCGGCCGGGATCGAGACTAAAAAGATGTTGGAAGGGGAAATTCCCGCTGCTGTAGCCGCCTCAAGGGCAATGTCTAGATGAGATGCATCGGTAAAAATGCAACGTGCCTTGCAGTCTTTCAGCTGATATGCCAACTCAGATGCCCGAAAGGCGACATTGGCTGGTGCAACAACGCCATTCAAACGATGCACTGCCCAAGCAAGAACGGGAGTGTGAATCTATCAGGCTCGTTTGTTAGTATTATGAGATTCCCTGACGAGGGCAAACAGCGTTCTCACATTGTTGACGGTGAAGACGCTCACCACGCGATCCCACACATCCCCAGTAGTGTCCGTTATACCCAAGTGACTTGCTATGCCAGCCGCCAGCCACTCAATCCTCTTCTTTGTCTCTTCAATGCTACTACCGCTCCCGTCAAGACTATCGATGAATGGCGTCGGGCAATCAGCACACTTCCTCGGGCGCAGTTTATCGTTGAATAGAAAGTCGCTTAGTGACTGATCATCTGGGATGTCGGCGTCGCTGAGCTGGGGAACCCATGGCGGTGCTCGGAAGACCATCATGTAGGCTATATTGGAGACGCAATAATCAAAGGGTGAGAGGCTTGAACAAATGCTCGAGAAATGTATGTATTTTCTTGAAATTCTTGACAATTATCTACTGTTTATCAATGTCTATGGCCAGCATAGGAGGAGTAGGTCCCGACACACCTCCGGTGGATATAGTGTATAGTTGAGAGAGCTCCACGGATTGCGGGGAAGCACAACTTCCACCGGAAGTTGACCAACATCCGTCTGGGGTACTGCTGACCCCAGATTGGCGCACCAAAGCGAGATGCAGCTAGACATATAAGGCCTTTCTACCCCACGGGGAAGGATGGTCGACCGCCATCTAAGGCAAAGACCTACTTAGATTTCTGAGTTGACAACATCTCAAACATGTCAGACGCTGTTAGTGCAAAGGCCGAGGCAACTGCCGTCGAGTCGAGGACGGAGAAGCCAACCATGAGCAACGACGACGGCATGCCTCCCGAGGTGGCTGCGCTGATGGAGCAATTTTCCGGCGAAAAGTACAAAAGGCTTATGCGCAAGTTGGACTTACACCTCATTCCCATAGTGAGCCGGTTGCACATTCCTGTTAGAGGAGGGAGAATTGGATAAGTGCTGACTGCTGCGCGTTCAGATCGCTGTCCTATACCTTCTTGCTTATTTGGATCGGTAAGCCCCACGCATACTGCACGATGCTAAAAGATCGTTGCTAACGTCGATGATGTCAAGGGGCAACATTGGTAATGCGAGACTAGCGGGACTCGAGGACCATCTCAACATGACCGGCGATCAGTACAACATTGCTTTGACAATCTTCTTCGTTCCATACATCGTATTCGAAGTGCCTGCAAATATGGCCCTGAAGTACTTGTCGCCGCGCGTTTGGAGTAAGCGTTTGATCCAGGATGACTGAACACGAAGCTGCTAAGAATCTCCCAGTTCCCCTTATTGCCATCTTGTGGGGCATCACCATGACATTGATGGGCATTGTCAGTAGCTATAAAGGTCTCTTGGCGGCCCGCTTCTTCCTCGGTGTTCCCGAAGCTGGCATCTTTCCTGCCGCAGCTTTCTACATTACCATTTGGTATACTAGACACGAGGCCATGTACAGGACCGCACTCTTCTACGCTACGGCGTCTTTGGCGTAAGCAAGCCCAACTTTAGACCAAGTATGCAGGACTAAGTGACATGACAGAGGCGCATTTTCCGGACTGTTGGCATACGCAATCACGCTGATGGAAGGCGTCGGGGGACTTGCAGGGTGGCAATGGATCTTCTTGATTGAAGGTCTTCTTACTGTCCTTGGCGGCGTGACCTCCATTTTCTTCATCTACAATGGACCGGATTCCGTGTCATGGTTAACCGAGGAGGAGAAGCAGTACCTCAAGTATAAATTGGCATATGATGGCAACCGCGCGGGAAGGGGATTGCAAGAGGATGGATCGAAGCGCACGTACATCAAGGCTGCCTTCTCTGACTGGCAGGTCTATGTCAGCGTGGTGATGTTTTTGGGCATTTCAGTCTCGACATACGGCCTCGTCTTCGGCCTGCCCACTATTATCTCAACACTCGTAAGAGCCTTCCAACATCTGGATTTTTCTCATCAACTGACCGTGGGTAGGGCTACACGAACCGAGCTGCCCAGCTCATGACCATCCCTCCATACGTGACAGCTTGTATTCTCACGCTTGGTGTTGCTCACTTCTCCGACAAGTACAAACAACGTAGTTATTTCATCCTCGGGGCGTTAGTGCTCGCAGTTGTGGGTTTCATCATGGCGATTTCTACATCCTCAAGTCCCCACCTTGCGAGCGTAACATACGCCGGCTGCTTCCTCGCTTGCTGCGGCTTCTTCCCTGCTTTCCCTGGTGTCATCTCGTGGCTTGCCAACAACTTGGCCGGACCCTACAAGCGCGCAATCGCCATGTCTCTACAAATCAGTTAGCCATCCCCCAGTCTTCACTCTCAGTTGAGAGGCAGTATGCTAACTTTGGATATATAGCTCTCGGAAATACTGGCGGACTGATCGGGTCCAACATTTACCTGGCCCGGGAAAAGCCAGCATATCGTATTGGTTACGGCATCTCGCTCGCTTTCCTCTCTTGTGCTATAATTGCTGCCATTGTTATGAATTTGACGCTTTCCTCAATCAACAAAAAGCGCGAGCGATATGTCGATGAAAACGGCGGTCCAGACGGTGTCACGGAGAAGCATGGAGAAGTCACTTTGACGGAGATGGGAGACCGCAGCCCGCTGTTCAGATACACTCTATGATAAGTTCTTATATGGGTGGTATGTGGGCCCGATTGTATTGTCAAGAGAAGCTTTTTAAGAGCAAATTGTGCACCTGCCTTCATGTTTGTTAGTTGCCTATCTAGTAAGAATATAGCTGTCAATCTACAGCCTGAAAGTTTGCAGAAATGAAAGATCATCAAGGCTTAACTCTAGAGTCAACTGTGCTTATTCTAGCATTAACTATCCCACCCACTTCCGTTCAACGCCACAGATGAAGTGTAAGAGTCCGCACATAAACAGCCGCGATGTCAGAGCATCCAAGCCATCGTATCTTGCTTCCCTAATCTGCACTGAGTAGCTGTTTATTAACACTAGAGTATGATTCCGCAAGAGGTTGGGAGGTTTATCTTATGGGACAACTGTGGCTTGTCCTTCTCCATAAGAGGATTCTGGAGACAGTAAAGCCTGGGCCTAAGATTCCAGATATTTCTCTCACGTGCTCATTTGTATCATTTTCGCTAACACAGACTTTTCCTGGGCGAAGCCTTCAGGTATGCAGAGAAATAATTGATGTGATCGTATCCGTGGATCTGAACAGAATCTTTAGGCGAGAGCTGCCAAACGGCCAATCCAGTAATACAACCCAACAGAACTAATGCCCCAAAGTATAATTGCCACGAATAGAGAGACTGTGAAGGATAGAACACCGAGAACCTGTTTTATAATTTTAGCGGATTCGCAACTTGTTTTTCCATCTAATGGGAATGGTCCTCCACTCACCACTACCACCGGAGCGCTTAGCCTTGTAGTCAAGTCCCAGTATACAAAGATACCCAGTCCAGCAACAAAGAGATAGAGACTTCCATTCAAAAGAGCTACAGGGGTCTGCCACAGAATGGACTGGGAAGCTCGTAGGTGCTGCGGCGTGTTTTGGGGATAGCTACGCAAAGCAAAGCTCTGCGTTGGCGGTTTCCGAAGAAGACTTCGTATCATTTCAAGGGCCTCTGGGTGACAATCGAGACGGTGAAGAGCCGTCAATTGCTGGCTCGCTGATGCGATTGCGCCGAATAGAAATGCAAGAGAGCAATACCAGAAAGCCTTTACAAGACTAACGCAAACGTGCACTTCAGTGTTTTGCTCACCAACAAACGCGGGCCAGCCCAGCGCCGTAGCTACAACACCTCCAATAATTGCACTCTGCCAAATACAGTTATTTCATGTCCCTACTGACTGTTCCCCTTGCCCCTTCGTTTTGCGCGATGTTTTTAAAACTTACAGTCATAACAATACTATTCAGATGTTTGTCCGTATTCTCAGCCCATTTTTTTGTCAATGCATCCCGTGCTGTGGCATCGGGCTCGTTCAAAAACTCATTTATGGGTGAAGAAAATGCCGCCCAGGCAGATTGGTGAGGAGTCCATGGGGGTTTCTTGCTGGAGGCTGTCGTATCATGTAATCGCGGCTCGTCCATACTTTGGACCATAATCGCAGGATTCGCTTGGCATTGACACTGGCATGGCTCCTGTGATGGGAGATGCTGAGCATGTGGCGATCCGGTCGACATATTCAAGAATCAAGAAAGTGTATATGTTTGAGAAGGGGGTTTTATGACGAAAGAGGCTCTAGAGGGAGGAAGAAGTGAATGAGACGTTGATTTTATGGCCAGTCGTAATGGGGTATACCAAAACCAAAAGGCCCTGTGTGTGGCCAAGCCCTTCGCCTCGTCGCCTTCTGACCCCAGTGTTGTGGTTCGCATGCAATATCTCAGCTTACGATTGGGCCAGCAGATATGCACCGCCACGTTAGACCTGACATATCCGCCTAACTATTAGTGACATGACGATTAATGCTCTCAGTAAGGCAGCATTCAGGTCGGATTCCGCCCATTTCAAAAACGCCAGGTATTTCTTTGTGCCTCTTCACGAAAATCGCCTTCCTGGCCCCCGCAGCCACGATCCTCGGAGGATTTTCAACCCTCCGCTTCTTCCCCTGCTTCTCTCTCCCACACTTACCTGCCCTGTCAAGGTACTAAGATAGCCTATCATCTCCTTTCCTAGCTCACCATTGCAGAAAAAACCAGCATGCCCATCAGCATCTCCCCACACATTCGATACAACTGGGCAGCGCTTTTACGCTCATGGCTCGTCCAGAATCGCGTACTCTTTCTCCTGCTGGCTGGGTGGCTGATATGGACAAAGCCTTGTAGAGAGGTATTGAAGAGCACATCGCAACGTCTAACCGCCAACTACGAGGGGCAACCCTACCCTGGTTTCCTGCTTTGGGTTATACTATCCATGGCCAACACCTATTCTTTCTACGGACCAAGGAGATTCAATCTCCCATTCTGGGTGTGGCTCGCCGCCATGCTGCTGCTCCATCTCCGTCTCGTATCAGCCCCCGTGTCTTGGCAGATCATCCAGATGGGCGATTTATCGATACCCTGGTTTGCAGCCTCACACCTCATCTTCATGGTCGCCACTTGTCTGGTTGTGACTGCCAACACTCTTGAGCCTGGTCGGAGCAGGATCCCACTCGAACAACCGAGGGTGGAGACCCGACCTCTACACGATGTCATTCTCGTATCCAGCACCGCCTTTGGACCGTCCTGGCTACGTCAGGGCTTGAAGAGGTGGTTTCCACGCCTGCCAATGTTTCTGAATACGAGAGTCCCCTGGCTTGTCAGTGTCGCTCGAGGTTATAGCCGCATCGTGAGCGATTATTACATCCTCACCTTTCCTCTCATTTTCATACTCGCCATGTCGTTGCTCCTTACATTCTGGAAACTCCACGACCTACTCGGCTTCTGGTCCCTTGGTGGGTTTCAGACCGCCCTAGGACTGTCTAACGCCGTCTTCCGCATCTCGTTTGATGGTCATGCGCGGCTGTATTCCATCGAACAGCTCTGGCTCCATCAGGCACTGAAAATTGACGGACGGTACTACGAGCTGACCTGGATGCACTTCTTTGCCGATTCCACAAAACTCTCTGATTCCGCAGTCGAAGAAGATGAAAGCTACGCTCAAGGTGAAGATGACGCAGACGGAAATGCGACATCCAGGCGCACAATCCTATCCGAACGGTGTATTGGACAGACATACATGACAAGGGAGGAGATACTACAAACTGGTAAGTTTGGTAGCAAGATCAGTGACAGTATCATGAAATGTCTCGATTATCATTTTACTTACTTGTCAAACTCAAACAATTACAGGCAACGAGTTGATCAAGACCTCACCAGGATACGATCTATTCTCTTACAACTGCACCTGGCTCCGACACAATCTATTCCTCCGCATCAAATATGACGGCTCAGCGGAACAGAAGAACCCCTTCCTCCGCCGTAGCTCCTTGGCGTCTCAGCTCCCATACTATGACTTCTTGCCTCTGATCGCCAGGTACATCTACGCTCTCGCTTCCGCCAGCGATGAGTCTTCTTACTTCTGGCAGAATCCCGCATCCGGTCTCCTCTGGATCGTCTTTGAGCTCTTGATGCTCTCCATGGAGGCCCGTGCAGTGGTGGTCTGGTCATCTACAGTCCTTTGTCGAGTATACCGATCTCGAATGATTGTCCCCATAGCGATCGGGATTCTATTCTTGCAGCACGCGTATCAGCATCTTAATGATGGTAGGCTGTTCTCCTGGTACTCACCAGTATACGGCGACAACATGGGCGCTACGATGGCATTGATATATTACACCATGATGCCGATCACCACAGCGTGTATGCTAGCATCGCCCCTGCTTGTTTTTTGCTGTGATTTAGAGATGACTCGCGCCTCTCATGAGAGATTTGAGGTTGTCACCGATGACGATGCCGACATCGACGGGATTTATTATCCTCATCACCCTCCTACAGAGACGGGATCAACAGCGTCCGCCGTCACCCCTCAAGTAACCGTCAGAATCAGATCAGAGTATGGGGAACGCCTCCCAGGGGAGACAAGTAAGTATGGGATGATGAGCCTTGGCGAGTTCTTCATGTATGAGGGGGGGAGACCTGAGTCATTGAGGTTGAATCTTAGTTTCATCTTCAGCACGGCTTACATGTTACTGATGATGATAGTCGCCTAGGGGAGTGCGGAAGGATATGAAAGCGGGGAAACAGAAACGTAGAACTAGAGGGAGAGGGAGAGAGAGATAAGTTATCTACTTTTCCTCTTATGGGTCTACTAGCTAAAACACCCTCAAACGTACTATAGTAGCTTTAGTAGCTATTTTTATTTTCTATAAAGTTTACTAATATTTTCATAAAAAACTACAAGGTATGAACTTTTACACCTACATTCGTATAGTGCACGTAACTGTCTTATAGTTTGAATATTCTGGACTGCCGTTGTTGCTCATGTCAATCTGTTCCAACTGTTCGTTGATGCACACTCTGCGAACATGGCCCTACCTCAGCCATGGCTAATTCACTTGGCACTGCTGTGGAACCAGTGAAGCTCTATATGGTTAATACTCAAATGCGTTCTCTTCCTGCGTGGTGTCCGGAACTAATCTCGGTTTTGGTCCAGGTATTTTTTGCAGGCAACCTTCCAGTCAACTGCCATTAGGAACAATTACCGAAATGGTTTCCTTCATCTTTCTTTTCTTCTCAAGCCAGTGATATCGTTCGACACTTTTCTGGATCCCATTGTTCTCCACCCATACACCCATGTATATATGCATCTCCAACAAGCATGTATACATTCTCTGCAGTTTTCCGTAACACATATGGCACCGTGGCACCTTCGAGCAGAAACACCTGGTCGTCTTTCTCCAAACTGCCATTAGACAACCCAAGAAAGCCTTGGCTTGTTTTTATCATGCTCCGCCCAGAAGTGAGCATTGTCACCATATTTTCCGACATCTTTGGCGGGGATCTATGCCCGAAACCAACAGCTTGGAGGAGCAACGTCCACGAAAGCACAATCATAGCTACTATAGCGTCATACAGCCACAACTTGCGAAAGAACCTAGGACCCTGCAAGAGAGAAGCTACACGAATCCACGATTCCAAAATGTCCATGTCATGAATAGGATCGCCAGAGCTAGGAAACGTCGCCAAGGTGCCTCGCGTCAAAATTGCCCGGAAAACATCAGTCATAGGTTCGCCAGTAGGCCCGTACGTCTTGTTCGTGAAGGCACCACACATCCGCGACCAATCCGCCCATGCGCTCCGGTCGGCGCTGAACGTCCAGCCAGAATCGCGGAAACGGTGTCCTGTCGTCAAAGCGCCGATGTCCGTGATCCAATCCAGCTCATAGCCTCGGAGCTGGATTCTGCCCCCCTCAGACGCCACGATCGGGCTGCAGCTCGAGTCTCGGCTGGCACAGTGGCCGAAGTCGCGGATGTAGTTGGTCATGTGTATCGCGTGGTATCCCTGGTGCCAGGCTGGCAGCCACGAAGGCCAGTCGGGGTCGGTGGGTGTCGGTCTCACGGCCGCATCGCTCAAAAGGTCGAGGTTTCGGGATTTATTCATGACGGCCAGTGCCGTGTCCCAGAAGACCTGGATCATAGGTTTGTCGTAATCCACCCGGATGGTATCGGAATCTGATACGATTCCTTTGAGGGCAAAGACTCTGTCCCGCTCGTCTGTTACCTGCGCGTGGCTGTGATGGCAGAGGAGATCGATTAGTGGGAGACGCTTATCTGACGAGATGGCAGCGACAGTCTCATCAAGGTCGACAACCGTACTGCCCGACCGTGAACCAGACATCAACTGAAAGAATCCAGCAACTCGCAAAACCTCGACAAAGTCCCACGCCGGTGCCAGGGAGCTCCATAGTATTTCCCATTTACCACAGCAGATGACCGCTTCCCGTGCCAATGCAATCTCTTGGATGATCCATGTGCGAGTGAACCATGGTCGTTTGACGACCCCGTATAATGCTTTGTATTTCTGATAGTCCTTTTCAACAAAGGGAATACCATATTCTCTGATCTCCTCACGCCGCAGCTCCATGTACGACCTCACATCTCTATATCTTTTCATTCGCTGTTGAGCTTGCAGCAATCGAGGAACGAAATCCTCCACAAGGCCACTACCATCGGCTTCTTCCCCGAGCCAAACTATTACTCTGCTTGCCTTGCGATAGATGTCTTCCATCATCGACACTTGGACGCTTTTTTCTTCGTTGTCGGACTGGTTGATGCACACCGCGTCCGCCCACAGCCAGCGGGACCTATCCCGAAGTCGAAATCGGACAAGTGCATCTAGAAGACTATCTGTGATCCAAAGGAGAGAATCATTAAGACAATATATAGGTTGAGGATCGGTGGGATCGCCCCAACAGTATGATATGGCTTCATACTGGCGATGCTCTGGATCCAGGAGCGATATCGTCTCGACCCGGATTTCGATGGATGCCATGTCATCATCAGCAGGAAGCAATTCGATCAGGCGAATGCTTTTCGGCTGTGGGTCTAGCAATCGCTCATATGTGTATTCTGGATAGGTCGAACGGATGATTTGCATCTCCTCCCTCCACTTGGCCATCTCACGCCTGTTACGCCTTCCGATCCACAAGCGGGGGCCGAGCTCGAGGACAACTAGGACACACACAATAGAGAGCACGATGGTGGTGATTTGGCCTGAAGATAGGCGCATCGTGCCCAAGGTAGGGCTTTGAGGCCGCCACTGCGGCTCCGTCGTGGGCATATACATGGCCGGTTTGGAGAGACACATTCGCGTGCACGGACGAAAAAGGTGTATTTCAACGCACTTGTTAAAAAACCTCACGTCGTGCACGGGCCAGATTCTCCGTATTTGGACAAATTACATGCAGCCCTTGTTATAGTGCCCCTTGTTACAGTAGTAGACTCAAGATGGTGCATTTCCATCCATATGAGTAGCCAGTTCATACGTTGCATTCATATTAATATCATCAAATGATAGTTTTAGCTTGTTCATTTTGCTAAGCATCATATTAGACTCATTTTGATGCAACGTGGGCACCTACTCATTGTCATGCATGTTGGTTAATCACGGCAACCTCGCTAAAAGTCAGCACGCTGCTCCTGGGGCTATGCTCCTGTAAGATCCACGCAGGAGGTAACTACAGGGCTGAGGTAATCGCCGACTTGACATGCCGATCGTACGGACTGCCGTGGTTGGTGTAAACGGGGTCAGTCCTTAACCGACGTCGCCGACCTGAGAAGTCCCAATCGGGACATCGCGAGAGCCCACCCAAATGAACCTCGCCCATTCGCCAAATGAACATGCAGCTTACATGGCTTTACATGACCGCCAACTCGGAATCACCGACTAGCCCTCATCAAAATGGGTACTCTGGAGAAGGCTTAGCACCGTCTCAAATTTGAGCTTCTTCACGATCCAGTATAAAGACGTCCAAACAAACCCTCATCTAGGTATCCAACAACACAATTCACTCAGAACATCCAATCCCATCACAAAACATCTTATCCCGTTACAAAAAAAACCCTTGACCTAGCCCAATATGCACGTCAAGTATCTTTCTACCCTTCTTCTCGCAGTTTCACAGAGCGCTACAGCTCTCGTCACTGGCACCAGAGCTATCTCCAACGTTGCCAGTGTTGCCCCTGCCCTCGAGGCCAGATGGCCATGGAGTGTTAACAAGCGCACTGCTCAAGTCGTGGTGGAGAATCAGACTGGAAAGACCATTTACGGCGTCGGGCTCGTACACAAGTACAGCGACAACTACGTGAACAGCGAGGATTGGGCCGAGCTGGCACACGGCGAAACGTCAGACCCTTCCCTCACGGTCAACTATCATACTGGCGACTGGACAACCGGCAGAGACTGGTGGCTTGTTACTTGGCTCGGTGACGATGGAAAGTCGGTGCTTTACACGGACCCCAACAACGGTCGATGCTGGATCGACCAGTTGGAGCAGGCAGCCACCAAGATCATCCCCAAAATTGCCGCTGCCATCGCCAAGGCCCAGCTGAAAGTTCCAGGCGCCAACAAGCTTGTCAAGGCAATCACCAAAGAGCTACTGAAGCCGTTAATGAATAAGGCTGAGACGTGTGGCTTCAAGCAGCACATCTTGAGGGATGACGATTCCAACTCTCGGATGACGATTACACTCAAGAAGGGTGGCGAAGTCGTCCTCAAGTCACCTACGGGAATTTCCTACACATCGTGGAAATCTAAACCTCTTGCTTAGGGCATGAAGTTGATCGCGCTGACTACCGGGGTTCTCTCTGGTTCGCATTCTTCAACAAGTTGCAATTATAGATTTCTTTAGCCGCTACTTTGATATTAGAATGCTTGGGAAAAGGTTATAGAGGGTTTGGGGACGTATGATTTATTGCAATTAATGAATAGTAGCAGAATATATTACATTTCCTTGATTGGTGCCATTTCCTATGCTGATTTGACGTTAAGTCTTTCAAGGTCTTGTAATTGTGGCCATGGGTTATCTCCTTCTTCACTAAGCGAGTAGAATGGCTACGCATCCGAGTCTTTCTGTGCAACTTACATTACTCTTTGATTCTCCCCTAATTCCCCTGAGCCCACCATTGAAAGTCTTAAAACAATATGTCAAAGTTGATCGCATATAGGCTTGGAGTCGTCCCCAACTGATCAGAGGCTTCAGCGCCCGTAGGTTGGTAAAGCAGACCAGATTTCTTAGTTAGAAAGCTGCCGTGTTCTGAGGACTTAGCCGATTAGTCTAAACCCATCGCTCCCTGAAGCAAGCTAACATTTTCCGGATTTGGCCGTTGTGCACATTCATATTACATGGACAAATCAAGTTGTTGGGAGAGAGTGGCATCTTATTGAGAAACGGGCCGATATTTGCTCCCTATCAACCAAAGCAGGCGGTCGATCTGAAGATTGAATCTGTAATCAATTCCAGGATGGCTATCTAAGCGAATCGAAACCAACTAGTGAGTTTCATAACGTCATTTAGAAATATCGCTAACTATATAAGCGCGAGATAAGTAATACGTGATTATGCAGTTGGCCGTTGATGCATCATTACTATCTTACTCAGCTACGCTTTGAATACCTAATAAGTCTTAAAAGTTCACGGAAACCAACATAGCTTCCCCCACCTGCACTCGAATTACTGAGCCAGGACTTCTCATATAAGAGCCGCCGCTCGGAATCAATCCACCATACTCAGTGTGTACAACACGTCCATTATTCTTCCCCTATCAATTTTCCATTGTTCAGTTCAAAATTCTTACCGTGCTCATAACTAGACTATCGCCCTGTCGCCCATAATGGGCAGTTAGTTTACCAATCTCCAAAGAAGTTGAATATCCTGTTCTAGTAAGGTTCACTACCTATAGTAAGGACTTCAAAGAGCGTTCATCGAGAGAGCTACGTCCTGCGGGCCCGAGGAATCTGTTCTTTTACTTGGAGCTTGAGGAGTGTGAATCATCTGCACGATAGTGTTTCTTTCAATCGGCGATAGGGGCGCTTCACCTGCTACCCGCGATGGCCGGTATGGCAGAATTATCCCCTCTCATCTTAGTTAGATACAAGCCAGATCCAAATCGCAACCCTGCTGCTTCCTTGATCCTTACAAGTGATGGTCCTCACGGCTCATCCAACTTGTACTTGGCCCGTCACAGATGTCGCACGATGAAGATAGCGAGTAACTGTAAAGAAACTAAGATGGATGAAAACATTCTCACCGATGGCTCGGCTGCGCACCCTAATATGGGCGAAACATTTCTGGAGTTTCGCAGACCTCGGGGGAAGCGACATGGTCCCATTTCCGCAATCAAGAAGTAACAGCTCAACAAAGCACGAGCCGGTGGTCATATGTGCCTCAACTTATATCTCAGCAAGGTCAAAGTAAGTGCGCCATAGATTTCCACGCTCCAGTGAAACGCCTTGAACATCTCTTTCCACACGTTAGTGCGTGGAGCTTCCCCTTGTGAACGATGTGGTCAAGGTCTCGAAACCAGATACGTGAACACGTACAGATGACTTCTCTAGCACATATTTATCTCTTTCATCAATGAACTGTTAGATATAGGATTACACTATCAATACCCTCTATCGTGCGCAAAGGTAGTTGGTAATGATCAGCTTATCAAATCGCCGGTCCACTCCTTGGCGATGGTGTCCGGACCGGCAGCCACGGTCCATCCGAATCCTCCGCGTCACGTAAGCGGAGTCTCGGCTCGGCTCCAGTACTTCGAACGCGAAAAGGTTAATTAAGCTCAGTATCAGGGAGCCGCGTCTTGCCAAATGGTAGAGGAGGTATTAAATTGGGGCTTGCTGCCGCTTACCAACTCGTCGTTTTTCATTCAAAAGCCGTGCGAACCGATCGGACCTTAATATTTCATAGTGCGCCGGCATGAAGCAATATGAGGATTAGCAATAATTTGTTTCAACTCGGAGTACATTGATTCACGCCCAGCTTAGCAAGCAGTGCCACAAATTAATATTCATAGCAGTTCAATATAACTTAACACTAGGCATCTTATTATTTAAGACCACCCTTGATGCAGTGGCACAAGCTTCTATCACCTCTCTCATATCCTACTCTCCAAAGAACATCAAGTCAACAGATCAACAATGGCAGATCCAAGTTTCAAACTGAACGCACTTCCGAAGGGCTCACTCATCCTCGTCACAGGTGGAAATGGCTTCATTGCGTCCCACATCATCGACCTCCTGCTCCAGCTGGGTTTCAGAGTGAGAGGCACGATTCGAGCGAAGAAACCGTGGCTGGACGATCTGTTTCAACAGAAATATGGACCTAGCTCCTTCGAAAGTGTGGTTATCCCATCTCTAGAGGAGGAGGGTCCCATTGATGCCGCTATGCAGGGTGTATCTGGTGTGGTTCATGTCGTGAGTTTGGAGCATAAAGCATGGCATTATGGTGGAATCTGAGCTAACCAGACGCCTTAATTGCAGGCCAGTGATGTCAGTTTTGAGCTCGATCCTGCAGCTGTCATCGGCAGAGCGGTTAAGTTCATCGAGACCATTCTAGCGGTTGTCAAGCGACACGATTCTGTCAAACGCTTTGTGTTGACTTCATCGAGTTCAGCCGTCATCATACCAAAATCCAATCAAGTCGGTGTCCGTGTGGATGAGAAGACCTGGAACGATGAAGCCGTCAAGGCAGCTTGGGACCCTCAAACTCCTGAAGAAGGAAAGGGGTATGCTATATATGCTGCGTCAAAGACGGAGTCTGAGCGAGCAGCTTGGAAGTGGGTAGAGCGAAACAACCCAGGATTTATCTTCAATACAGTGTTGCCCAACTATACAGTAAGTGTTCATCAACCCGTGAAGCAGAAGCTCGTGAGACTAACTCTCATGCCCATCCAGATCGGGGAGAACTTGAGCCCTGAAATACCAGGATCGACCAGCGGCTGGGCTCGAAAGTTGCTCGATGGCCACAGGGACATCTTTTCTATTTTCATTCCTCGTTAGTAAACCAAAGTAATCTTTCCAAGAATGGGGTGACAGATCGCGCTGACGTGTGAAAATGCAGAGTATTATGTGAATGTCACGGATGTGGCTCGCTTGCATGTCATTGCTCTTCTAGCACCTGACGTCGAGAAGCAGAGGATATTTGCATTTGCTGCGGCATTCAATCTCACCGAGATTATTGACAGATTGCGAGTTCTAGACCCCGAAAACAAGAAGATTCCCGATCCGCCGCAGAACGAAGGACACGATTTAACTGAGGTAGTTCCTGCTCCACGGGCTGAATCACTGCTCAAAGAATATTTTGGGGCATCTGGCTGGATTTCACTCCAAGACAGCCTTGAATCTTGTGTTCGTGGCCATTAGGTAGACACCCTGGCCGAATCACTAGCTGGCCCTTGTTAGCCTGGCTTATACGAGATCAATAAACTTTCCCTCGGGAGAGATCGTGTTCCTCGATATACTATACTGTTGGTTTTCAATTTTTTTGCACGTTGATTCAAGCCGACTCCTGATCCAATGAGTATCTATCTGATTACATCCTATTCTATTTGGGTGGTTGCCTCAATTCGATGCAGTCGCGCACAAATCCCTCAGTGGTTACTTTTCAACTTGGGATCAAATGGCGATATGGGAAAATCGAGTGATGGTTATCCCAGATATCACGAAGCCTAGGATCACACAGATACTCCTGGGGTGACGCCATAGAGGCTGGTCACTCCGTACCACCGCTTACATGAGACGGTGAATATTCTCGGACCATTCGGAAGGTCCGAAAGGTCCGCTTCGAGTGGGGCCGTCCTTTGCCGAGCTCATCCTCCTACCCTATATCATTGCTTCTTCTCTGAGTCGTGTTTCGTCTTTCTAAGAACACGTATGTTTAGCAGTTCTAGGACTTAATACAGGCGTTGCGTTCTAGATATATATATGAATCTTATGTCGTGCCAAAGTTTCTCTACCCCCTTTAACTTAAGCGATGATGGAACTGCGATTACATGGTCAGTGACTTGCAAAGATTGGTAAAAACAAGAGACTAAAACATGACCAACAGCAATTTTCTGCAGATTGAGAAGTCAGCTTCATTGGAAGCTATTTTCGCCTTTGAGTCATTTATGTACTAAATACTCAAATATTTAGTCCATGTCTTTTTATGCCATTATGCCGTCTGGGGCTTGGACAACATCATGATGGAATTGAAGATGTTGGGTATCACGTGATTCAAAAGAGCTTACGCGATCACAATCAACAAACGTCGGGTGGTTGTCTCCGTTCAAACTCAGGGAACAGGAGCAGGAAGGATTCATTCCAAGGTCGTCGCTTCGAAATATTCACTATTACAACGCCATATTATAAATAGACCCGTGCAACTTCGCCCTCGAATTCTAATAATGAACCCAGGTGCAACTTCAGCTTCAGCAGAGCAAACGAGCGGAGAGCAGAATGAGCGGAGCGTGATCCTAGGAGTGAGTTGGCCGACCACTGCCGTTCCCTATGGACCTGATCTAACCGGCAAGAAGTCTTGCGACACGTGCCGCAGAAAGAAGATCCGATGTGTGCCCACCGAGCAAGGCTGCGTGCATTGCACAAAGTTGGCAACCGAGTGCCATTTCACACCTATCAAAGTGAAGAAGAAGCCACGCAGGCCTGCCGGGTCAGTACCTCAAACCATATTTGCAGTCTTGCCTTGCTGAATAAGGAGTAGATATAGATACATCTCCGAGCTGGAGGAAAGGCTCAAGAAGATGGAGTCTCTCTTGATGCGCGACGACTCATCGACGACACTACCCAACGATGAAGTCGGCATATCAGATGACTCTGCAGCGCCCAGAACGACATCTGGGGACTTAATACCTGATAACCGCGTTGAGAGTGCCACTACCGGAGACCTGAGCATGTGGATGCAACCCGGTCACGCGGAAGCTAGTACTGGGTTTCTCCATGCTCTACCATCTTTGGGCGGCTCCGCGGCTCCCCTGAATGATAATCCATCGCTCCACTTTCCAGAAGAAATTCTGGACAGAGCCCAATATACCAAGTATCTCGTCCCTAACCTCGGACCGTTCTCCATGCCAGCTCTTCAAGAGCTTCCTCCAAAACCCGCGGCCTTGCAGATGGTCACGGAAACATTTCGGAACTTTAACCCGATATTCCCTTTATTTGACGAGGAAGATTTTATGAATGAGTTCGACGCGAAGTATCTGAGATCGAGCCCTGACGACCCTGTCTGGTGGGCCTGCATCAACGTTGTGCTTATACTATCGCATCGTTTTCGTGCCCGACGCTGTATAGATCCAACCTATGACAACATGCGGGCTTGTGGTTATATACACAATACACTCAGCGTTGTGTCACAGTTGAGCATCACTTCCGGCAGCCTCTCTGCCGTTCAAGCCCTTGTCGGGATAGCCATCGTACTTCAAGGCACACCGAATCCTGGCCCATCCTTGGTCCTCATATCTGCAGCCATACGACTAGCACAAACCATGAACATGCATAGAGGTTACTTACCAACCGACAATATCAATGAAAGACAACGAGAACAGCAAAGGCGCGTGTTCTGGATCGCCTATATCTTCGACAAGGACATAAGCCTCCGAAGAAGACAGCCCCCCGCTCAAGACGACGATGAAATGGATGTCCCGCTCCCAACGGGAGCCAATTCCCAGAATCTTCAACTCTCAAACGGCTGCCATAGCCTATCCATACTGAAATCTAGAATCTCGCTGGCGGTTATACAGGGGCAAATTTACAAGAAGTTGTATTCGATCCATGCCTCTCGGCAATCTGCGTCGCATAGGGCTGCTGCCGCCCAGGAACTTTGTTCGCTCTTGTCATTCTGGAGGTCTGCAATCGATCCCGAGCTGTTTGATTTGCCCACAACATTTTGGCGAGAGCCAGGAGGCGATTATTTGATGCAAAGATTCGTGTTACGGTTCACTTATGTTTATTGCTTGACGTTGATCGACCCGCACTTACCTCCCACAGCACAAGTAACACCCTGGGACTCTTATGAAGTAGCGTCGAGCTCTCAAGGCACATGTATCTGGGAATCCAGAAAGGCCTTGAATTTCCTCCAATTTGCTCCTCCAAGGGGCTACGACTGCATTTGGTGGGTTTTCTAGCACCGACCCAAGGACTCTGCCCTTTGATTTTCTGACCTGCTGCAGGATTCTTATCCATCCACTCTTTGCTGCGGCTTCCAACCTCCTTGTACATGTGTCCCGGAACCCTTTTTCACCGGAAGCACAAAACGACCTTGAGCTTGTCCAGCCCCTCATACGTCTTTTGGAGGCTCTGGCGGCAGATCAGAGACGGTGTTCTCGATCTGAAGAGTCTCGCCGTTTAGAACGTCTGTGTAAAGAGCTCGAGGGCGAAGCGAGAAGGGTTGTCAATTTGCTCCGTGGGGTGGGAGATATCGCTACTGAGCGAGTATGATGGATACCCTAATTTGCAGCCTTGATTTAGAGCGAGGTAGATGAATGGTCAGAATGGAGCAATCGCATGAGGTTCCTTACAGCTTCACTTCAAAAAAACACGTTGTTATTTGAGCAGCAAGGGCGGGCCTGAGCTTAAGATTGGGATATCCTTAAAATCTTTGAATCTTTATGGTAAGACGTGTAGTGTGATCAGAAAGTGTTACTAATATTCCCCTTGTCACTAGATGTCAACACCCGATTATCCCTTTATATGCATGCCCCGTCTCGTTGCACCGAGGTATCATCTCTCACCTCTCTTCGCGACCTGCTGCCGCCACTATGTAGTATTGGACAATGATAGAGGGTTTTGTCAAAGATTTAAAAATAGTTTACACCGTATATACCCTGTTTGGCCGTCTAGGAGTCAATCTTACACCCGGTAGACGTTTATCCTTGGGTTTCGAATACAACTTGGATCTGCTTTTGTCCGTGATTTGAAACTTCATTATTTGTCCTGTTGTTAGATCATCAACCTTTCCCTTGCCCAGACCATACCTGGGCTTTGCCTCCACGACTCGTCCAGCCACGACATGGCCTGTGACGCTGTCGCGACAGCCCAACCATCCATAAACCAAGTTTTAGGTGCGCTGCTCATGATGGCACACCAGTGTATGAGGATAATCACTGCAACAGGGTGTCTCTGCTTTTGCGTGAGAATCAGAAATTCATCACTGATAGCTGCTGGCCACTCGATGAAGTCGCGCCATGTCCGAGGCCGCCCTGAAGTCACAAGCAGCCACTGATACAAAGCATGAATAGCATGCTCGCATACAGCGTGCGTCTTAGTTGAAAAGCTTAAAATGTCCCCGTCCAGAAGCGTATGAAGGTTGAGGACGGCCATGTCGTCTCTTTCATCGAGAGGTAATGAAACTTCGTTGTTGCGGCGGATCATCGACGGAAGCATGCTACTCATGAGCCATGGTCCGATTGCTCTCGCCAATGGGGCCGAATAGCGCAGGATGAGCAGCGCTCTGAAGGGATCGGGGTTGTCTGATTGGGGCTGCGCTGTCCGAGTTGTTTGAAAATGAAAAGACATCAGCCCGATCCCGAAGATCATAGAAGCAAGCCAGTTGGCCTCTGTAAGTATGGGAACGACTCTGCGAAACTGGCGCGAGCTCTCGACCTGGTGGAAATATGACCGCTGCTTGGCGTCATGGGTAAGGGCATCGAGAGAAGCCATCATGTGTCGCAAGAACACATGATTGGTAAGCTCATGCGGCAACATGGTGTTCCAAAGAGGGAGTTCGCTCTCGAAGAGGCAGAGGGCTATGCTAGGGATACCGAGCGCAGCCGGGACGGGGCGACGGACAAGGGAGCCAACGATTGATGGAAGTACGGATCGACCCAGAGGTACGGAAGCACGTGCCTGGTGTGATTTATCTTGATAGTCGCAGTATTCTGCGCGTCGATGGCAGTGATTGCAAATGGGGCCTTGGCCGTTGCATCGAACTCGCCGTTGTTTGCATCTCCCGCACGCGTTTCGTGTCTTAGCATGGGATACTCTTGAGCCACCGGCCATCGCCCCAGGCTAATCGTGGTTTGAGTATCCTGCGGATTTCCTAGGCGTCCGTATACGCGGGGCATAGAACTCACCCTCGCCCGGCGACTTGTGATAGAATGAAAGATGGGGAGCGGAGCAAGAGATGTCAGAGCCAGCTAGATAGATACACATGACATCGGACCGGGGATGCCGCACTCCTCGCTGGATTCAGGTTAGTGTACGACCATCCCTGCTCTCTCCCGTCCATGCTATCCCGGGAACGTGTTGATCCTCCAGGTGAAGCCCGAAGACATCCGCAGATTCCTCCTATGATTGTTTATATTGGGCCATGGTAGGGCCTTTACTTTCCACACGACTATTGACTTGTAGATTGACAGTTCCTTTCAAGGACTAGCGTACGAAAATCCTGGAACGGAACCAAAATTGTAGGACATAGCTCGGTGATCCTGTAACCAGTCATGCCCCTTACTCTAGCAAACATCAAGTATAAGTATCCAACGGTTTACGCCGTAATCTAGAAACAGCTCCAGGCAACACCTTAAAGATATCCAAATCTTGGACATGTTACCGCTCAATATTCTCATAAGCCTTTGTGGCTATGTTGCTACCATTCAGGCCTGCTCCCTCCATGACATCGCGCCCGTACCATCTTCGGATCTCGCCCGTCGTTCTGTGGTGCCTGGGAAGAAGCTCTCGACAGTCATCAAAAATGTTCGTATCTTCAATGGATGGCGGATGACCGGCCCGCAAGACATCTCATTCCATGGAGAGACAATTTCTCTTGGCTCTTTCCATCCCGAGGAGCCGGAAGTCACCGTCGACGGCACGGGGAAATTTCTTATCCCTGGCCTCATTGACAGCCACTTGCATATTTCCAAGGTTTCTGATCTGGAACTTCTGGTATCCTATGGAGTCACTACTGGCGTCCATATGTCTTGTCAGAGCTACGAAGCATGTCACACTTTCCGCAATCAAACAGACCTCACGTCTATCATCTTCGCGGGCACCGCTTTTACGGGAGCTGGAAACTCAAGTTCCAACTTGCCACAAACAGGTGTACCGTTTCCCGACATTGACGAAGCCACAATCATCGCCAATGTCTTCAACAACGGTTCCGATATTTTCAAGGTCGCAATCAAGGACGATGGTCCCACTCAAGATGTCCTGAATGGATTGGTTCACGAAGTCCATAAACTAGGACGTCAAGCCATGACGCACGCCACCACCAGAGAAGCGTTTACCTGGGCCGTCGCTGCCAAGACCGATGGCCTCCAGCACATGGCCGCCGATGGACCTCTCTCGCGGTGCATTATTGACCAAATTCTGAAGAATAGTCAATTTGTCACACCGACAATGAACATCTTCAAGCAAGCCTTTGAAAATCCCCTCATCCTCAATATTCTTCGTCCGAATGGGACGGGCAACATCACCTATGAGGCCGTAGTCAGCAACGTCAAGCTCTTGCACGAAGCAGGCGTGCCACTGCTTGCCGGCACGGATGCGGTCGGTGACGTTACACCAATGGTCAGTGTTCCGTTTGGCTTGACGATGCACTGGGAACTCCAGAATCTAGTAGTTGCTGGTCTGTCACCATTGGAATCTCTTCGAGCTGCGACGGTACTGCCAGCCCTGCATCATAGACTGGAGGATCGTGGAGCAATTAACCATGGGAAAAGAGCGGACTTGGTGCTGCTCAACAGCAATCCTTTGGATGACATTGTGAACACACTGGATATTTCCAGGGTCTGGGTCGCGGGAATCGAATTTGAAGACATCGGCGGGAAGTCGGAGTGAGAGAGCGGGTAACAAGAGACAGTGGGGGGTAGAGCTTGGTTTACGATTCTTTTGCCTTGGTGCTGAAGGGGGGATGAATACGATTATGAGCAAACGGGTTCCAAAAAGCAGGGAACAGGTCATCTCGTTAATAGTGCATGTCCGAAACACAGATACGTATCTTGTCGTCTCCAGTGTCATTAGCAAAAGTTCATGAATTACTTGTGATCTTCATACACTTCCATACAGCTAGCTTAAATACAAACAAATACCAATTACCCCTACCAACAGTCTATTCTTTGCTCTGCAATCCAACCAATCCAAGCGAGACCTTCCACAATTTGGCTGCACCAGCCTCGTCAAAGGCCCATGGCGCATACCCATCCCCCAACTGCCCATCTTTCTCGTCCCATGGCTGTGCAATCTGACAGTTCTCTAGGTATATTCCTCCTTCATTCTCAAGTGCGTTCGCCGTGGCTGCCCACACCGTAGTTGCGGCACCCTGCTCCGGGGACTTCCAAGCTCCCCGCACTGCGTCCCCTGCAAACATCTGCAGGGCCTCTTCAGACATGTGCTTCTGCAGCCCCGTGTCGATGCCCCCCGGCATGACGGACGTGGCGCGGAGCCCCTTGGACTTGAACTGACGATCGATCTCGTTGGCGGTCCAAACCACGGCCGTCTTGCTCTGTCCATAGGCGGCCCATTCGTTGTAGGCGCCCTCCAGGCTGAGGTTGTCAAAGTTGACGGTCCCCATGCGATGACCCACGCTGGTGAGGAAGACAGCGCGAGAGTTGAGCTCGGGTGTGGCGGAGCGAAGGAGGGCATGTTTGAGGAGATTGAAGAGCAAGAAGTGCGCAAGGTGGTTCACCCCAAACTGGGTCTCGAATCCGTCCTTGGTGCGGCCTTCTGGGCAAGCCATGACTCCAGCATTGGCGATGAATAAGTGCAGGTGATCAGTCTGGGAGAGGAACTCGCTCGCGCAGGCGCGAACGCTGTCGAGAGAATCGAGATCAAGTTTGAGGAAGTGAACCCGACCAGAGGATTTCAGGCTGGCGAGTTCTGATTCAGCCTTAGCAACGTCTCGGGCCGTGAGGTAGAGCGTCGCTCCTGTGGCGAAAAGAGCACGGGCAGTCTCCAGTCCGATACCAGATGAACATCCAGTGATGAGAATATTCTTGCCGACAAACTTGTTCTCAAGTTGTTCGTCTTTGATAATCTGCAGAGCGGTGGGCCGCGCATCACCCGCCCCATTGGGAGACTGGTGTACTTGAGCGTATCTCGAGGCCATGTTTGATGAATGTAGATTATGTACTCCGTAGTTGGGTGGGTCTTTAGTTGTGAAGGATTTGGGTATTGAGATGTTGATGTCAGTGAATTGTTGTGAGTGAGTGGTGTCCAAAGTCTTTCGGTTTATCGAAGAGATGCAAGCCATTATATACACTTTCCATCGCCCAAGGAAGTCAAACACCACGATGAGTTCCTGCTCCTTGCGCTTGCTTGGAAGCCACCGTCAATCCGTCATACAGCAAAGCACAGATCGTGCGCTAATGCAAGTGTCAGCGTCGTAGCATTCGTAGTGGATATCAGACGAAGCCACTCCTGGTCTAAGGTCGAAGCAAGCTATACTCGAACGGTAACTAATCATGCAAGTGTCAGCAAGATCAATCTTGAAAAACCGGCCTTCTCATGCAAGTGTCAGCCAGTTCTCGCGTATCTACACCATGGACCGGTCTTGCACCTGGAGTTAAGTCGGACACAAAGGCAGATTATTACACGAGCAAAGGCAACCGGACAAACCCATTGGTGAACCCCTGTCTATTCATAACTTTAGAGCCCCTTTGCCCCTCCGCTGCCGCCAGCTATTCGTCGACGCCAAGAATTCGTCGCACCCTTTCAGGGTCCACGCCCAGTGGCGGATGAATTCCTCGGTGAATTCCCAGCCCGCGGGATTCCAGGCCTCCCCCCAGACAATCATCCCGGTTTTCCCGTCCGAGTTCGTGCTGCAGCCTAGTATTGCCGTACAGAGCGCCAGTTCATCATATTGGTCACCGGCTAGGAGCAGGTTGTCCCGCATATTGGGGAACGGCAAGAGGTCGATCCACGGATGATGTGTCATCGTCCTCTGCAGCAGCGTTGGCCGCAATGAGATCGGCATGTCCTGCGCTACGTAACCTGCATCGGAAATTGGCGAAATGGAATCGTCGTCCAGTGCGCACGCTTCCGGGAGACCCAGGTCTCTCTCGTTGCTCACCATGGATCGGAAGACGTTGAATTGTATCAAGGTGAACAGGCAGTCTCTGCCCGGTGAGCCAATTAACAGGCACATCCAGTTTTCGAAATTTCTGACATCCTTCTGGATATTCTCTGAGTGGAATACAATATTTTGAGTAAATTTGACGAGTCTGGAACGGTCAGCCGGGACTGATTTCATGGCGAAGTAGAACATTTGCCAGAAATCAGGGCCTAATTCTGTTCTGACTACAGCCCTGGAGGGCATTTGGTTGCTGAATGACTTGAGGCCGCGCTGAGAAGAGTCCAGCTGATTTTGCTTTGCGCCAGCCCTCTTGCGATTTCCTGCAATTCCGTTAGTCTATCAAGTTGAATGGTGCGGCGCATGCTGTTTTCCCTACTAGCAGCCCTCTGGTTCACTCGATTCTGAATTCGTCGCCTCTCTTCCTGCGCCTTGACTCCCTTCCAGTCATCTAGGTCAACCACGTGCGCCGGCAACCCTTCCAGGGCTATCCGGAGAGACTGTTGCCCCATCACCGCCATGAGTTCGGGTTAGATACAGGTTGGGTCGGCCGGGATGAAATGATGACAGCTGCAGATGAGGGGAATCCTTGAGTATTGTTGATGACAGTTGCAGGTGAGAACGGCGCTTGGGAATTGATGACAGGTGCAGCTCTAGCTCGTTTCAAGGTGGAGGCTGCTTGTGCCTTTTGTTCCGGACTTGGTGGCTAAATCCGCTTCAGCCACCGGAGTTTGACCAGTTTGAGTAATCCTCAGATGACCCCGGTTGATTGGTCAGAGTGCGAGCCATGAACACATCCCAACATTCACTTTGTCAAGCAGGAATAGAGTGCCAAAGGGGAGTTGTCGAGAATATCCCGCCCGACCAAAATGGATGGACCGTGCATATATCAGACCGCAATTCAAAATCTTATAAAGTTTCCTCTTGCCTCTATCTCAAATTCCATTCCACTCGCCCACCATCAACTCATTTTGCCATCACATCAAATCATCAATTATCATTTACCTGACTTTGATCAAGTTCACTTTTGCCAATTTGACCAAGATGTTTTTCAGCCTCGTTGCTAGTTTGTCAACTCTTGCATTGGTCAGCCCTGGCCATTCCTATCCTTCCAATGCCAAGCACCATCCTTCAGCATCTAGTGCTTTACCAGCTTGCGGACCGGTTGTCCAGTCATGCCAATGCCCTGAAGGAAACTTTTACTCATCGGTCACTACCTACGGATTCTATGCCGCCAGCGCCAAGGATGTTGCAAGCATCACCGCGTCATCTTTCAGTGACCTAAGCTACATCGGCCTCAACGTCACCAACACCACCGGCCAAGGTTTTGAAATTGGGTCCTCTCGCACCTTTTCCCTTGATTGGGACGCTGCTTCAGAGCCCATTTCCGTCAAGGAAGTTCTGACTACTTACAACAACTACCCGGAGAATGGCGGGTTCAACATGACCTGGGAAATGGGCAATCTGCCCTTTTACTATACGCGACCGAGCGGCGAGGAGGCGACTGTCGGCGGGTTCTGGAGCTACGAGGAACTGAGACAAGTTGGCGATTACTCGTTCTTCCTCTGGTCGACCTGGTCTTGTTTCGGTGACGTGTTTGGTAGGTCCAAAGTATTCCTCCCTACAAAGCCTCAGTTGCTAACGGCACTACCAGATTTCAACGGTTTCCATGAACTCGTGTTTCACCGCATCGCGCAAATCTTGAAGGAGCAAGGGAAATCGGACGGGAGCATCGTTGGCCTGACCACAACTGGTTGATCTTTGCGTGTCGCAGTAAGGACTGTGGAGGCGCTTTGCCGGGCCTGGGAGGGAGTGGGAATATATGTGTATTTAAGCCCAATATAGAAGGCCCCAGCCACCCAATATCGACTCTATCTACGCTATATATATGGAATGAAATGTTCTATTCTATTCTTCTATCCCCACTTTAACTCTCCTCCAGTTATGAAATTACCCGAGGTAGAAGGTTATATCCTTACACGCCAGCCAGTGCCCAGAGATCGTGACTCTCAAACGTTGACTGCCTTGGCCTTTTTGGTGCCCCGAACCATCAGCCAAACATCACGCCAGAAACCGACAGGCGCGTCTTCCAGTGAAGCTTCATAGGCATCAATGAGAGGAGCCTCCCATACCAAGTCGATGTCCCCAGCCCTGATGAACTTGGTCTTCTTGATGAGTTTCCACCCCAAAAAGAGGCATGGTACAAAGAGGGGCATGAAGTATGCCGTAACGAAGCCACTGACGCTAAATGGAACCACCGACCGATAACCATAAAAGACGATGATGATCAGCTCCGAAATCAGAGCAAACCACGCGCCGTAAGGCTGGAACCAGCCTTTGTAGGGCAGCTTGTCGCGACTGAATCCCTGCACCTGGCAGGCGCGGTAAAATCGAATGTACGTAATAAGAGCGGTGATGAAGTAAATCAGGGTTGCACCAGTAGCCAGATTGATCAGCCAGGAGAGGACGGTAGATGAACCACTTCCGAGTTGCAGGAAGGCAAGGAATGGGAATATCATGGTAACCAGAAAACAGTAAATCGGGATTCCAGACTTGGTGACCTTTCGCAGGAATTTGGGGGCATGTCCCTCCAGAGACAAGCCATAAAGACACCTGGTAGCACTGTAGAGAACGGTATTGCCGGCAGCGAAAATTGTAGTCGCAAACAAAGCGGTGATCAAGTGGGGCAGGCCGTTGATGCCGAGATTTTCCATGGCAATGATATAAGGCGAGGCGGCGGCGCTTCCAGTGCTGCCATGACCCTGGCCATACAGTTTCTCAAGGATCTTATCACGGGGCGAGACAATGATAGTGACAGCCAGGCATCCACCGATGAAAAAGACCAATATGCGAGCAAAAAGAGCCTTGTGAGCCTGCTTCACATAGGTACGAGGGTGCTTAACCTCGCTGGCTGCAATGCTGAGGAATTCGGGTCCTACAAGAGTGAAGGACGCGGTCCACAGAGAGGCAAGAAATCCCTCAAACTTTCCACTATTCCCAGTGCTGTAGTATTCGAGAAACGCACCAGGATCTTGCCAGTGTCGGAAACCGTAAGCATCGTGTTGGGGGTTGCCGCCGCACATAGTGACCAGTGTGAACATCATGAGGATGACTAAGAGCAGTGCTTTCCCGCCGCAGAGCCAGAACTCAGCTGCGCCGTAGATTCGAACCGCAAAGATATTGATGACGCTGTATGGGGGAAATAGTCAGTGACACCCTGTTCGAGCCGAGTTTGGTTTCTTGGAAACTTACAAATACAGCACGATACAGACCGCGCATATGGCTCCTGCCGGGATGTTGGGGCTCCAAAATGATAAAACCAAGCTTAATGCTGTAATCTCAAAGGGCACAATGAGACCAAGATAGATGTAGAAATTCCAACCACCGGCAAATCCAAGAGCTTTGTCAACCCAGTGGCCGGCCATGCGAATGAAACCACCGCTAACTGGCATGTATGTTGTCATTTCGGCCATGGAGTTGTTGATGTTCGCGAGGATAATGCTGTAGACGATGAAACCGAGAAGGAGACTGGCGGGACCTGCGGAATGTAGAGTACCGCCAATGCTGACGAAGAGCGCGGTACCAATACCACCTCCAATACCAAGCATAAAGATGGTTCGGATTGACATCTCCCGGTGAAGTTCACTGGCTGTACTGACACGATGAACCTCGCCGGTGCTGGGCTCGCCCCCCTCAGCGTGCGAGGCCTGGGCAGGCTTCTCCATCGAGGTGCGTAAGGAAGGCCCTTCTGATGAAGAGGCATTTGTTTTCTGGCCAAGCATTTTGGTTTCGTTCGTGTCTTGACTCTGGAGTAAAAAGCGAGTTAGGAACAAATGAATGGAAGAAAGGAAGTATGAGGTGAGAGAACAAGGCTGGGAAAACTAAATCGAGATTCATCCTGGCTTATATATATATTGGCCATGAATGGGTGGAAATTTTCAATGGAGTCAAGAACGATCCGAGTGTAGCCCCATGGGGTATCTTGAAGTACGGGGTAATGGAACCGAGTTTTCGTGATAACAATGAAGAATGACGGGGCTGCCTCAGTTGGAACTTGCCCAAACTCTCATCAGCCTTCCCGGATAAGCCGAGTTTGAAACGAGTCAGCGTCATTGCAATTATCCACATTTTGCCCAGTTAATATTTCATCATATTACAGTACGGTGGACTGTTTCCATTTAGGGTAAACATATGAGCGTTTGTGGGGTATATTTAGTCAACCCTGAGAGCTAGAACCAGAAGCCGTCGGATGGGTAGCCCTCCCTTTAAGATTCCAGACCATAAGATTGCACTCGGAACTCAGATTCGCGTAGAGGGCAGCTAGAGTACTTGAGAAGAAAAAATTATTCAGGGTTAAACTTTCCAAGTACGATCGAACAAGTAGAAAAAACAAGCCATAGGCCCAGGTTACTCGGTAACCTATTCAGGCGTTCACGATTGACGTATGTAGCCGGGACCCTGGCACGCGCTACAAAATTGCTGTTTCATTGGAAGAAAGCGTTATTAAACTTAATGTAACAGGCGGTAAGCGAACATGGTCGTTGCTTGTCGTCCATTCTGTTAGTACGGCCTGTCCACAAAAAGCACATGGCATAAAGATCGTTCAATGAGCCTATTATCCTAGGCTTCTCGACGTGCAATATACCATAGAAATATCTTACTGAACTTAACAATAGGGATGCCTTTCTGGCCTCTGCAAGTTCTTGTCCAAGACGAAAAGTAAACAGGCATAGCGCAAACTGTCATTATTTACATCGAAAGGGGCGAAGGTCAAGCCCTCCGGGTTCTGCTTCCGAACCCTGCAAATCGATCCCGAGCTCCACAAAGTTTACGACTGAGAAGCTTCTACATCCATACACTACCGGTAGGCTACTTCTATGCAAAATCAGGGGGCACCAATTACCGCACTGATGGACATACATACAGGCAAAAGGTCTCAGAGAAACATATACCGTTAGCTGATATGTACTAGATATCCGTGTAAGACAATGATCGGCCTTGGTGTCCAACGTCGAACACGGGTAGTTCTAATGGCCGTATTTGACACCTATTCTTCCTGAAGTTGGCCTACGAGATGGCTGTCCTCATGCTCGCTCCACTTGGGAAGCCCATCGTTTGGCAAATCAACTACTCGCTGCGAGTAAAAGATATGCATCGTGGGCTTGAATGTTTCTAGACCGATTTGTGTATGGACGCCCTCAATCAGTGATGGAAACAGGAGGATCATATTCCTGCCTTCATCCATGATTGGAGTCTTGCAATAGCTGCAGTGTACCTTGCAAGGAAGTTGATGCTCTGCTGTCTTTGAGGATGAGTTAAACCAGCTCAATCCCTGGCAACCGTTGGTGAAGTTGATATCTTCTTTTTCAAAGATCGCAGCCCATTGAAAGGGCGCCTACTTGGCCGCGGAGATTAATAATTAGCATATTTTTCAGCACTGCTGTACTGGGCAACGTACTCCATGTAGCCTCTGGCATGTTCGGCAGTGACAATATTTGCTAGCAAGGGGCTTGTCCCGGCTCAATTGGTATTGCACCCTTCCACAATGACAGCGACCACGCCATTTTACCTCGAACTCCTCAGTACTTTGACGAACGCGATATGGCGCGCGGTGTTTCCACTCCTTGTCTGCCCCTCGATCATCAGCTCTGCTGTCTTCGTGCCGTTGAGGGTTATCATCTGCCATTTTTATGATGAAATTTTCTTGCTTTTTGTCCGACCAGAAGTCAACTCACCCCTTGTGCATGCCATCCAACAACTAATGAAGCAAGATGGGCAGCTGATGTAATGGTGACGAAAGAGGTTTCATTCTTGTAAATCTGGTGCCATTAGAAGCAATCTCTCCCAAAAGGTCAGTCAACTGACATCATGGACAAGCGGGGCCCAAGTCTAACGAGAACAAATGGTCCAATTCATAATTAGCCTGGGAGAGCAGAGATTGTTAGAGGTTAAAGCACCATATCCAACTATTTAAGCCAAAAATGGGTGGAGGTCTCGTCTCACCTTGGGCCAGACTGGTCAGTGACAAACCTGATCGCCCGAACCGGTCTCGGTCGGTCATTTGACGACAAGCATGGCAAGGCCGGTGCTTCCAGATGCATCAGAGATGATATGAGCATGCTTAGAGTCCCCTGGTCCATCCCGGTCGGCAAGTTGAAATAAGTCACATCAGAGCCGACCTTCCGAATCCACCTCGGAGGTTGTGCATGCGAAGCAACAGGAACTCCGGGACCATCTCAATAAACTCCTGTCATGGATACTTAAGTACTCTGGAATAAGCTTATTTGAGCGATTTCGTTTGCTCCTCAACCCACGTCTCCCAGCCTTCGCATCATCAACCTTTCAACACCACGCAAAATGCGCTACGTTGCTCAGAGCTTGTTTTTCCTCTCATACGCCCGTGTAGCGTACTCCATTGACCAGACTTTTGCCTGGAACTCTAATGCACTCATAGAGTCCCGGACACTCGACGAGATTCATCAGGCCGCATTAGCTGAAGGCGGAACAGTCACATTATGGCACGGTGGAGGCAGTCCTGACCAGCAGCGTCCGATGAAGGAAGCCTTTGAAAAGAGGTTTCCCGGCATGACGCTCAATGTGACAGTCAGGAGCTCGAGCTACCTCGGGCCAGACTTGGATTGGCAGCTGGCGACCGAAAACGTCCAGGTCGACAACATCATGTTACAAACTGCTCACGATTACCCCCGATGGAAAAACGACGGCGTTCTGCTCCACTACAAGCCCCTGGATTTTGAGAAAGTTTACAACGCCTTCAAGGATACGAATGGTGCATGGGTCTCCTCGGCCGTCAATGGATGGAGCATCCTGTACGACAAGAACAAGTTGGGAGGCGCAAACCCCCCCGAGACATTTCTAGACTTTTTGAAGCCCGAATTCAAGAACAAAATTGTTCTTACTTATCCTAATGAAGATGATGCTATTCTTCATACTTTTGATCTTATGTAAGATGATATCGTAAATCTATTTGATGATTATTGCTAACAAAAGCCCATGCAGTATGGAAGTCCACGGGCTAGAGTTCTTTAATAAACTCCTCGAGCAGAATATTAGATGGGTGCCCGGAGCTAACATACCGCCAACTCTCATCGCTCAGCCGAACAACACCTTTGCTGTGACTTTTACTACGACTATTGGCTTGCAATCACAGGATCCGTTCACAGTCGTATACCCAAGCAGCGGCGCGCCATTCACATCGTGGGCACAGCGCTCCGCAATTCTCAAGGATGCACCTCACCCGGAAGGCGCCAAGCTCCTTCAAAACTATGTGGTCAGTTCAGAGTACCAACAAGTCGCAGGTTCTTGGAGCGTCCGCAAGGATGATGATGCTCCAACTAGGTATTCACGCATCTTCGACACGGTGAACACAGACCCAATTCACTTTCAGGAGTGGATGGGAGATCGTCAGCGTGTGGAGAGGTTACGATTTTGGTTCCAGGACAAGCTTGGGTACCCCAGGGAGTAATGGAACGTTCCATCACAGACCAGAGATATGTACCAAGCGTGGTCAGGTGAACCTTGAGTCTTATATCTGTCATTTGTAAAAACACTCTTTGCTTTATCACTCGGTTGATCATCACCCGTGTCGAGATGCTAAGTAGGGCATCTTCATTCTTATCTTTTACTATATAGAGTGCATCTTTCTCATATACTCACTCGTTTGATCATAGATTTCTTTAGCCTACTAGAAATTCAAACAACGATCACTCCACTTTGCGGTATCTCCTCTTCTCTTGAACTAGTCTTCTAATGTTGCGAATATTGGGCATCTGGGTCGTATAAATCTCATCGTCATTGATCATTAGAGAATGTGGAGTGAAGACTCATAAGGAGGTCGTAATAGCGATTGTAGAGGGCAGTTTTAACTTCACGGGCCATCAAGTCATATGACTCAATAATTGCTCTAAATTTATCTTATCAACTGCACAAAGCGTGATTCATCCCTTCCGGAGGCATTTAAACGGGGGATTGACAGCGATCTGCTGAATTTCTTCGACTGGGAATGACCAAACCCTATCATTCTCATCTCAAGGCCAAGTATCTGTGAGCCCAAAGATAGCATGTCATTCAAATCCAGCCAAGAAAGGAAACTGTTCATCTGATGGAAAGCTGGCAAAAGCATGATCCAAATCGGAAAACATCGGCACCTGGTTTCCAAACCAATATGGGTCTCCAAAAGATGCATCTTCAGGTCCAACTGATTCAAAGTCGGCAGGACCAGGTCCCAAGCTAGCCGGGCAGACTCCAGTGATCGCACCCTTGGTATCGCCGTCCTTGTCCAGGTTGGCATTTCGAGCCCCGGATGCCTTCAGAAGAACAACCTCTATGACCTGTGCAGCTCTCTGTGCATCACGATTAGGCTTGTCAGCATCGAGCAGAATCTTTCGACATGATCTTAACAGCCCCAGGTGCTCTTGTAGCTCAGCGTCCTCGCTAGGGAACTCTTCTAGACGTCGCGATATCCGCCCATGGCGTATATCTTGGTCGATATGGAGGCATAAGATTATGGAGGCGAGAAGAAAGTCTTCGTGCATGAGGGAGAGAGCTCTCCAATTCGGAACGCTCATACCATCGATATTAAATGAGATTTGGGAAACCGTGGTTTGATGCTGGAGTATTCGCGCTGCAGCTGCGACGCACTTGATGCGTGAGGGCAAATATTGCGAGTTGGCATGAGCAGGGACAAGGAATCTTCGGTGGAGAATAATTCGCGCTCGTTGCGCCAGTATATCGCCTTCTATTGCCTGGTTCGTAGTTGTGGGGTCATCCATCACACGAAGCTCAAAACGTGGTGGAGGATCCAACCAAGCTGGACGGACGTCAATTTGCCTATCAAGAGCCTGATCTAACCCGAGGACCTTTTCGTAAGGGAGGTCTTCGAATGAAGTAGTGCAGTCTGTGATCTGACCAAGAATCTTGCAAAGTTGCTCCCTATAGTTTAGGAATGATATGGCTGAAGGTTCCTCGGGATTTCGGAGAGGTGGTAAAGATGTTATATCAAGTTGCAGATCTTCATCTGCAATATTTGATGGTAGTGCTGTGTCGGTTCGCCGATCGCTTATGTGACGTGGGAGGCCCAGATACGAGGCAAATAAGATGTCAAGCTGAACCAGATACGACCACGACCTCCGTCGTACCTCACCTTCAAAAATAGATATTTGACTGTAGTGCGAAGGGTCCCGGTGATAGCCGGCTCGCATGGCCAGCCGTATGGTCAAGCTGAGGATAAGAGAAGCCCTGAAACGATATTCCCCCAGCCAAATGTGTTCACAAAGCATGTACATTATCTAGGCATCAAGTTAGAAGAAATACGCCGAACAACTTTAGCTCGATACAATGCACACACCATAGCTTCGACAGTTCGAGGCGCGGGCTTAGCATAATCAAACGTCCTCAGACATTCCGCTGCCTTGGAGGCAAATTTTCTGCAGGCAGGTTCTGGGTAGGGAATTCCCTCGATTGCCGATCCAGATCTCAGGAAATATTGCAAGCTTAGAGTGATGATGGAAAATAGAACTGAAAGCCACGGTAGAGACACGCGGCCTGGCTTGTCCCAGAAAAGCTGATAGTCTTTCAGGAACACTGGGAAATGAATGGGAAGCGTCGGTATGTCCGAACCGTGGACGAATAAATTCACTAGCCGGTCGACTACGGGCTTGGCCGGTAGACAATTGACTAATTCTTCGTATGACCGGTTTCGCGAGGTCTCGAACAGCAGCGAGGGTCGCAGAGTTCCTCCAGAAGCAAAGGAAGGTTCATGTGAAATGTCCTGCATGGTGCTCGTCTGTGGCACGTCGAGATTGATCTAAGCGTCATAAGCAAATTATTGAAGCATTCGCGTACTTTGAGAGAACTTGCATTTCGAATGAGAGCCTCCCAATTCGCATTGTCAAGGAAACGTGTTTCCAGGTCATTCGCTGACAGTCGGCGGCTTGAATTTGAGCTCGATCCAGTATCGTGGCGAGAGTCAATCAGAAGAGGACTCTCGGTTTCCCTTGTAGGACCACCAGTATCAGCATCTCCATCCGGCAACCTGGTAGTAGGCTCTCTAGAATGCTCCGAGCGTGAAGAGGTAGTGTGGTCATCGCCATCTTGTCGTGGAAAGGTGAGTGAACTGCCCTTGATGGTCTTGGAGACATATACGCAACTACCAGGAGGTCGCCTCCGACAATTCGCACATGGCAGTTTTCGGTCACATCTCAATCTTTGAATGTGGTTAGAATTACGTTGCAGATCTGAAACCGGCGCCCTCACTTTTTCGATTTACATATTGTGCAAGACACTTGTGGCTTCGGTCGACTGGTTCTTCGCCTTTGATCCATGTCGCGCAGATCGGATAATGGACTGAATAGAATACTGCGCGTTTGACTGAGTCTAATGCAATCGGGGGGAGCGGAGGAAAACGGCTGATTCGCTGGGTTATAAATGCATATTTTACGCTGCGATCGGCGTCATGCGGAACCCTGCCAGGAGAACTGGTAGGCGTCGTATATGCAATGCAAGCTTTGTCTCGGCCCATCCCGACGCAAACTTGGTGAAAAAAAGCCAAAATCAAGCTTGCTTTCGCGGAACGGCCGGGGCTGAGTTTCAACCAGTTATAACGGAGCAGTGGACCTTCGGTACTTGTTGATTTAGCATAATGTTTGTGCAAAAAGTTCCATTGTTAGTCATCGCGCGCGCGCATCTGGCGGGAATAAGCGTTGACTCTGTCTTACAGAATTGTGTGAATCTCCAAAACGTCTCGAGGAGCGTCATGTTGAGACAACCAACTTTGTGACATCAACACGGATTCACCCCAATTCGAGACGTCACTCCATCTCACAATTCAAAATTTCAAATACCCAGGTTGGCTGATCTGTTAATATGTAGTCTCATTCATGTCCTCTTTCTTCCGACCCGATTTTCAGAGAAATTTCTTCAGTGTCAAACGAAAGCATGCTGAGCTCTAGGGTAGTCTAGCTAGCTGCGCGTTGGGTCTTGAGTGTGGTTGAAGTTATGAAAGGAATATGATCCCTGAACCTACCTGGCTATTTCAGAAGCTTCATCCACTGGCTGTGGAGAATGGTTATTTTACGCGATCGGAAACCCTGCAAGTATCTTTGTCACCGCTGGCCATCAATTAATTACGTAGTGGGTCGATGATGGCATGTCGGAGTAGGTTTCCATCGCCATACATAAATTGGGGGTCATAATATTGCACTACTCATAGCAAATTGTGCAAATTATGCAAGCATATAAAAAGGTCAGATGTATTTGCTTTAGTGCTTTAAGAATAAAAATATTATCCACCTCGAGCGCTTTAGGTTGCAGGTCTACTTGTGAGTTGATATGACAGGCGCTATATAAGGGTAACCGTGGAAGACTAGGCAAGGAATTTTCCTTTTGGCTAGTTTGGCCTAATCTGTGACAGTTGATCTATTGGGTCCTCCGGACCACTTGGCCAATATGATTAATTAGATGAACAAAACTACTCATAGCGGTAGCACAAGAAGCCGCCCATTGTGTCCACAATGTCAACCATTTGAACTCGTCCGTCACCAATTACCCCATAGTCCAAAATATCAAAGACGGTTACGTTTGGAGATGCGGGAACTATGGCAAGTTGTTAGAAAGAGAGCAGCCCTTCTGATAAAATGCTTTTATCTTACCATTATCCCATGTTTGTGTATCAGAGGTTTGGTTCATGCGGGAAGCCAGGTCTTGCTCTTGCCAGATGGACCACAGGCGATCGAGTTGGCCATGATGAAAGAAAAACACAGGGTCTTCAGGAGACACCCAGAGGTCGGACATGCCGCCAAGAACGGTGCCGTGCCCTGCAAAATGGATGCCGATATCGAGAACCTGGCGAAAATCTCCGATACTTTTCTGAGACATAAGATTCTCAATACTTGCCGTAGTTAAGAATTGCTGGGATAATGCCTCAACGAAGTCCCTCTTGAGGCAATGGGGGTTATACTCGAGACCGGTCGTCTCTTGCACTGGGAAATGGGGTCCGAGATTTGAGGTTACGTTGACAAATGGCCCGTCGGTTATGCAGCCACCACCAGAGCCTGCAGGAAACAAGACTTGTGGCCTACTCGGGACAGGGATAGTGAGGTTCTGCGGCTCATGTGGGACATACTCGCCATTTCCGCCGAGGGAGTAATCGGAACCGTCGAAAAGAGGGTGCTGGGTGTGGCTCTCGTATTGCTCAGTCCAATCCCAGTAAGGCAAAGCACCAGTATAGCCACAGAAATCACGCAGAGAGCTCTCGTATGACCAGACGAAATACCTGTGCCAGGGGATCAACCATCCCTTCCTTGGAGTCAGCCATCGGTGCCTAACCTTCAGGGTTAGGAATACTCACAGAGAAATGAATGTATTCAGTCTGGTTGTAGTGGCAGGCACTAAAGTCATCCGCATGATGCCTAGCACCGGGGGCAAACGACTTAGGAGACAATGGTGGCGTTTCGTAAAGACACTTGACGGCCGCGATGTACTCGGCACGTTCGTCCAAAGTAAGGTTAACCCTGCTCACATTAGCGGCTTCCTGGCACGATAGGTCTCATTTGGATGAAGATAGCACGAACCATGACCTTCGAACACGGATGTTATCTTCCGTGCAAGCAGGCTGACCATCGCGCCGGAAGGGGTTGTTCTGTGCACGTAGAAGTGAAGATTCATGGTAGACTTTGGCAAGCCCGTCAAATGTTCCATTTTGACAGAGGCCCTGCCGCGCTAGGGCAAGAAAAAATACAGATAGAAGGGTTGAAAATCGCATATTGTTGTTCGTCTCTCTCTGGTGTGTTGCTGTGTGTGCTGTGTTGATTCGCTTGCACTGTTTTTTGCATGTAATAGGAAAACCCTCACGATATATATTTGAAAGCACTCTTCTCTACGACTACAAAATTCTTTCAACCCCCCTCGTAACCCGAATACTGTGGCACCATCCGTAGCAGTATCGGTGGATGACTGGCCTGTCCAAGCGACCCGAATGTCCGCATTTATCTTCGGGGTTTGAAGAAGTCGTAGAGCCCGACCCCCCGATGCCACATCGGGGGGTGATTGACAATCACCCACGGCCAATCAGAAGACCCTTTTCTTCACAAGATGTGCATATGCTACGAGATCAGCGACTGACGAGTCTTTATAGTCTAACTTCTGCACGATTTGTCACGATATTACCCTCTCCACAGGTGGCCTGCAGCAATTTTGAGACATTTAATGTTCATACATGATAAAGCTCGTATTTTATGAAGTGAAACCGGTCGGGCTCTTTGGTTTAGTTAAATTAAGACGGATATAGGCCAGCCCGAAAAAAATACGATTGGCTTGGCTTGCTCGCTGCGCAGTAGGCTGGACTGATCACATGTCGGTACGCAGTTGTTCGTGAGAACGGTCTCCTAATCCTCTTCCATTCTTCCATATGGAAACATGAACTATCATTTGATTTCAAATTTAAACTTAGCTGTCAGCGTGCGTAGATCACAGAATGTCTGAAACACCGAATGAATATCTATCAATTCCATCAATCGCCCGAGGGTCCCAATCTTTTCGCGAATCTCCTACGCTAATTCCCACAGGCTCGAAAGGACCTTAAAGGCCTCTAGACCGACCTGATGCTATATCCTAAGCATGATGCATGTAGTTTGGGCTTGGATGCTGGAAGTAAATATATGCGGTCGAGTAACTTAGGCGGCTAGACCTCTCTTCCATCTTCTCACAACATTACGAACGGGCTTATTTCAAGCAGAAGCAATATTTAGCCAGGGATGATAATGTTGCTTAAAATACTAGCAAAACATTCATTTTACAAGTTTCGGGGGAGAGAAGTATCTGAGAAAGTACCTCAAAGTCTGGTCTACTAAACTTTGATAGGCCGATGACTAATGGGTACTAACTTAGGGGATGTTTTTTTTTCCTCTCATGCACGAGCATTTTCTCCATTGCATCAGTCTAGGTCACCGATTTCTACAATTCAACCAAGGCTCTGCGTAAGGCAACATCACAGCAGGATGGAGCCCGCTGGGCGAAAGAAACGGTTCGCTCAACGGTCCCGGAAAGGATGTTTTGAATGTCGCCGGGATCATCGAAAATGCGATGAGAGTCGGCCTGCGTGTGGTAGATGCTGTAGTCTTAGACAAGGCTGTACGTATGGCCAACGGATCTCATGGGGTGGTCGGTCCTTCGACCGTTCATCATTTGGCCAATTGATGGCTTCGGAAGAGCCAGCAGACGAAACCGAGGATCGAGTCCATATTCTGCATTCACAAGCCGATGATGCTAGTCAAGCGAAGCGGCCATTCATCTATGGTACGGTTAAATCGAATGCCAATACCACAGTGACAGCCCCCAAGAAGGATACACCCTTACCATTTGATTACATATCCCTCTTTCCGAGACTATCATCTCCTGGAAAAGTCCTTCTCGACTACTTTGTCCACGCTGCAGATTCATTTTCCTGCGATGATGAAGTCAAAGAACAGTTCTGCGGAACTTTCATCCAGATGGCACCCAACAACGACCCGCTGATGGCGTCAATCCTTGCTCTGGCCGCTGCGCATCGAGTGAATATTGGTTTAGAGCAGGACAAACAAGAGCTGGGCGCTTTGCACCTTTCCGCTGTCAAGCAGCTACGCATGGGCTTGTCAACATCTCCGGATGAGCCCCTCATGGCAGCTGCTTTGATGTTGTGCTATACCGAGGTGATATCTGGAGGTGGCAACGGTTCGTCCTGGAGGCTACATCTGGAGGGTGCCGCTTCTCTCTTCGCGGCGCGTCGGCCTGCATGGACTATCCATACCTCAGATCGTACGAGAGCGTTCATCTGCCAATGCTTTGTGTCTCTTGTCGCTCTCGCCAATGTGTCGGGCCTTCCTCCGTCATGTGCCGTCTCCGAACGAGCCCTCGCCATGGTTGGTCAAGATGGCCCACGCCCGTACATAGACAACTTCACCGCATATTCGTCCGACCTGATGTCGGTTCTCCTTGAGTTCGGCCAGCTGATTCGAGATCGCCAGCAAGTCTCTGCACATTGCACAAGAGATACAGCCGTGAGGATAGAGGAGCGCTCTCTCCATTTGCTCAATCGACTGGACAATATGACAGTGGCAGCTGACGCTGCAGCGAGTTTGACTAACAAAAGTCAGCGGCATATCAATGAGTTGTTCCGACAAGCGACGATATTACAGATCCATCAACGTATTAGAGGCCTTCCTCCGTCATCTAAGGAAATCCAACGGCTCGTTAATACCATACTGGCCCTGCTGTTGACCTTCGAGATTCAACCTGGCCCGGGCTTCGGCGTTCTCCTTTTCTACCCGGCGTTCTCCGCTGGTACAGGCGCGGTCGAACAGAGTCACCGGCAGCAGGTACGGGACTTACTCAATAGTATGGTCCAAGTAATGGGTTTCATGAATATACGCCAAGGTCTCAATCTTCTGGAGACCCTTTGGGCACATCGAGATTGCTATGGTGAAGATTACACCAACGCTTCCTGGGAAACCCTTGTCGGTATGTTCCCTTGAATTTATCTTACGGCACTATGCTGGAAAACTAACTGCAACTAGCGGAAAACATTGATATCATCCTATATTGATAATTGAAGGCCCAAATACGTGAATACCCTGACTATTCAACTGGTATCACAAAAACAGCTCCTAACAGAAGCCGCGCACGTTCACTCGTCGCCCCAGACCAGGTGCAACCTGTCCTTGCTGAGTCTATACTGGCCAAGCGCCGCAAACACTTGGTTGGGCTGCTGAATCTGTACAAGGATCCTAGCATCCTCTCGAGATAGGAATCCCTCTGCTACTGCCGCCTGAACCCAAAGCAGGAGGCCGTCCCAGTATTCATTGATGTTCAACAAGACAACACCCGTGCGTTGGATTCCCAGCTGATTCCAGGTGGTCATTTCCATGATTTCCTCAATGGTGCCAAACCCTCCAGGGAGCCCCACGAATCCGGATCCCGGGCCACCATTGCGGACTTCTTCTGCCATCAGACGCTTGCGTGTGTGCATATCAGGAACTACCGTGACTGAGCCGTATTCGACTGATGACGATGGTCCCCCGCTACCAATGACCCGCTCGACCTTGCCCGCTTCATCGTGCAGAGAAGGGCTGAGATCATTGTCGTCGCCTTGATATCCTTGCTCAACGCGAAGCAGTGCCCTAGGGATGATGCCATGCACGGCCTGGGGACCTGAAAGAGAGACCAATTCCTTGGCTAATTGCCCCATCAAACCAGAGGTCCCTCCACCGTACACGAGCCGGATGTCGTTTTCGTAAAAGTGTTGTGCCAGGTCGCGCGCAGCTTTCAAGTATGCTGGATTGGATCCAGCCGACGCGCCGCAGCTATACCTATCAGCAAAGGAGTATTGGTGGAATGTCTCTGATAGAACTCACAAGACACATATCACAGCTGTCTGAGTATCCTTCTGAGAGGAAGAGGCTGGCATTTTGGGTAGTCGAGGTTTGAAATAGCACAAACGTGTTGGGAAGGGTATCGGTAGTAGGAATCAGTCTATTGGATTGGATCAACCAAGAAACGGGCTGTCGTCCCCTTTAAAAGCTGCCGGGAACACATCGCGTTGCAAGAGCCTCGTGATCGATGTGGAGAACCCGGGAATCTTTGATTTTCATTTCAGCAAACGGACCAATGTCCTGTGCTTTGCAGACTGTACACAAGAAAGGCAGAAAGCTGACAGAATGGCCCAATTTTCACAAGAACCAGGCGACCTGGGCCAAGTTGATTTATGGCAGATCCTGCATAAGCCTGACTCGAGCACTTGGCGCACTATTCAGAAATAGGAAACTTTAGACCAACCTTCATGACGGAACCAATCGACGATCATATACATGTACCAGCAATATGCGAGCACAGCATTGAACGGTTGGGACCCGTTTCGCATTTCTGCCCTCTGATTAGCCCTGGGTGAGCTCAATCCGGGCCAACTTTACACGTCATGGCATTCAAATGTTGCATTATGGAGCGTGGAGATGCAGCGACCCATTTGACTCACACAATACGTACCTAGTTACTTGGCTTTTGGAGGCGAACTGCTTCTTTCAAGGAGCGCGCACTAACAGAGTGGTAGTTGGAAGCGTACAAGCATCATGTGCAAAGCTGGAACCGGAGATGGAGACACAATCTAATACATCGGGCTACGAGAGATGGCCATAATTGGTCCTAACAACCACATCCCCCAAAAGCTATGTACGTGGGAAAACGGCGTCTAGTAGAACGTGAGCGAACCGTGTCTCTCCGGGAGATTGAAGCATGCGCGTGACCCTATTGCCTTTACCAGGAGTGAACCAGCCATCTGTGTCTCCAGGGACCTCATCAAGAGTCAATTCGTCATCGTCATGGTCAAGCGGTTTCGCCATGCCCCTCTTGTCTGTGATTAACTCTCCGCGACTCCATTGCCCTACAGCCTCGACTCTAATATCCTCACCCCGAGCGCTGCGCTTCCAGCTTTTGTCCTCGGACGTAAGGATATACCACAACACCATGGGATCGTGAAGCTGCAAGCTTGGCTCGCTAGTAGACCCGAGAGGCTTGAAAGAATTGATCTTTTCAAACGTCCGCGACATGAAGTGCGCCATCCACTGTGCGAGTGGACTGCCGCCCTCAGCCAGGGGCTGCGATCTCTCGTCAAACTGAGATTTCGAGAGACGATGAGGTGACGTCAGATCCAAGGGGAACAGCTTGAGCTCGACTCTGCGTGGAAGCTTGGGCGGATATGCGGGCAAAGACGAGGGAGGCAGGGTGGACTGGGGACTTGGTGAAGTCAAGGCATAAACCCGTGCCGCCGCGACAGGATCGGCATAGGTGTTGAACTCGGCAACGGGGGTGATGTTCCCGGGCACATCAATGGCACCGCCCATGACGACAAGCTCCTTGACCTTGATAAAGGTCTCTGGATCCTCGCTTGCCGCTAGCGCAATGTTGGTCATTGGCCCAAGTACTGCAATGGTGATAGTGTCTGGGGGATTCTCTCGCAAAATTCGTAGAATCTCCTTGTGAGCGGGGACCTTGGATGCAGAAAACAAAGAAGGCGTGTCATCGGCACCCTCCTGGAACACCTTGTCCCACATCTGGGCCGGGGCTAGATGGGGTAGTGAGTCGTGGACGCCGTGAAGGCCATCTGCACCATCTACTCCTGATATTAGTCTCTACTTGAAGCTGGCAATGTGGGAGAGTCTCACGGAAATGATCGGCAGCAAGCACTTCCTCTTCTAACGGATGATCGGCGCCTATCGCGACAACTGGTTTACAACCCAACAGGGACGAGAAGCCTATGGGCTTGCTTTGGGCCTCGCGCCATTTGATTTCCAAATCAATGATGTGAAACAAGGCGGCGACATTCTTGAGGCAACTGAATTTTAAACCTTTTTAGCATAGTTCAGCTCAGGGGGTCAGTCTAGGTTTGGACTCGCCTCTTGACTGGGACATTACCATAAGTCACCGAGATTAGTAGAACTTCCAGCTCTTCTGGTAGCGAGGACAGAGCTAGAATTAGAGCCAAGACATCATCGACGCCTTATTCAAGTGTTATTAGCGTATTGACAGTCGAGGAGTGCGATACAAGCTCACCTGGATCAGTATCGATAATGACACGGTTCTTTGGAGGCATGGTTGCTCTTGGTGTATGAGAACTGGTTGAAGGAGTAATAAACTCAGAAAGTAGAGAAGGATACCAAACCAGACCTGTTGCAATTTATAGAATTCATGTGTGGTATATCACTGCTGCTATAAACGCCCTTTCCTAGGGTGGCGAGAATTAAAAGTCTTGAAATGGGCCAATAGGAGCCGCCTGGTCTAAACTTTCTCTTTAGAGCCTAGCTCCGGGAGAAATACGCCGTGCTGAACTGACATGTTAGTAGCTGGAGAGATGGTGGGCCGTCAGCGGATAGAGCAACATCACACAATTCAACTGGAGGGATCACACTGGACACTTTTTCATAGCGTTTATCTGGACGTTTCTCGCATATAAATAGCTTCTGTTACCTTACAAAAATTCCTTTCCAACATTTTAAAATACGACCATCTTAGTACCACTTGTATCTTTTCCGGTCCCATACTCTATGACCTACTGGTAGATCCCTGCACCACTGTTTTGTTAGCATACCTTGGACTAGCAAGCTCGAGGCAACTCTTTTGTGTCCTTGCCATATTTCTGCAATCTCAATTCAATTGATCTTCACCGGATAGATGTGCAAGTCCACACTCCATTCATTCCTTCAGGCGCTGCCCAAGTGTGAACACCATGTCCACATCGAGGGCACCCTCACGCCAGAGATGCTCTTCTCTCTGGCCGCAAAGAACGGCATCGAATTGCCATCAGATGACCCAGCCTTTGCTTCACCCAGCTCTCTTCGTCTTCGATATCAGAAATTTACGTCGCTAGATGATTTCTTGCGCTACTTTTTCATCGGGTTCGAGGTTCTGCTCACCACATCGGATTTTGAGGTCTTGACCTACGAGCATCTTAAGAATGCCTACAGCCAAACCGTCCGCCACACTGAGGTCTTCTTTGATCCGCAGGTTCACATCGCTCGCGGGGTATCTTACCAAACGATGCTTAGCGGAATGAATACCGCTAGAGAAAGAGCTGCCCGTGACTTCCCTCAAATGAGTGTCGCATTCATCCCCTGTCTCGTGCGACATCTGCCAGCCTCCTCAGCTCACGACTTGGCCTCTGAAATTCTCAGTCACGGCCACCTTGAGGACGCCACATTGGTCGGATTTGGCATATCGAGCACGGAAGCTGGAAGACACCCATCGTTGTACTCATCGGTGTACGCAACTCTGCGCCAAGCTGGTGTCGAGAATCTCACAGCCCATTACGGTGAAGAAGGTCCTTCAGAATATGTGGCAGCGGCAATATCGGACCTCGGCGTGAAGCGGATCGACCACGGGCGTCGAGCCATCGAGGATCCGTCGCTGGTCCGACGGCTTGTTGATGCCAAGGTCATGCTGACAGTCTGTCCGATATCAAATGTCGTGCTTAGAGGGGTTCAGGAAATCAAGGATCTCCCTATTCGGCAGTTTCTAGACTCAGGAGTTAGATTCAGCATCAACAGTGATGATCCCGCCTATTTTGGCGGCAGTCTTCTCGACAACTACTGTACAATTCAGGAGGCATTTGACCTTTCAATGCCAGACTGGAAGGTCATTGTAAGGAATTCCGTTGAGGGGAGTTGGTGTTCAGACGACCGGAAGATGGATCTCATGAATATGATTGATAGGGCATTTGGTGAGCTCGCAATACCCAATGAGTGAGTGTGGGTTAAATTCGATAACCATACACTCATTCTCAAAAAGATGGCAGTGAAGGCAAGAATGGGTATAGATTATTAGTATCAGTTAGTGATATCACTCGTGGGAATCTATTGTATTCAAACATGATTTGATTTACCAGCTTAACCTAGCCCTTTAATCCCGTCTTAAATACATCATAGTTCTTAAGCCACTTGTCACTAGGTGCCAGAAGAGGTTTAAACGGTGGCTTGTCCTCCCGAGATACCAATTCTATCAAATCTCTCACATATCTCAGCTCAGCATCCCCCTCGCCCTGGCTATGGAATCGGAGGCCAAAACCGCTCGCCTTCACTCGCTGGTCGTACTCTGACCGCATTTGTGTACCGCTAGGCAAAGATGACAGCCCAGACAGGATCTGTGCAACAACTTGCGCCTGGTAATCAAACGTGGAAAACGTGACAACATGGTACGGCAGGCCGACAAAGACCAACGTTGGATCGTCGATGTAGAACATGTCTTTGTATAGGTTGTGAACCATGTCGCCCTCCGCCCCGACCAGTGTCGTTGGCTCGACAGACGTTGCGGGCGTTTCATCGGAATGAAATTGAGGTAGAAAGGGAAATGAGAAGAGGTAGCCGGTCGCCAAGATGACATGACCAAGACCTCGCAGTTCGGATCCATCGCTCAGCGTAACATTGATAGCACCCTTTTGATACCCCTGACCTGAGTCAACCAAAGGTGTTGCCGAGGAGAGCTTGGTGATGCCCGCAACGCGCCTAACAGACCTGGAGATCAATCTCTCAGGAAGATCAAAATCACCGCCACGAGTGCTTTGGATAACGCTAGCGGCGGTGTGCGACAGTTCTCGACTGATGTCCATCGCAGAAACTCCGCCTCCCACGATCAAAACGGAACTGTCTCGATAAGCCTCGGGTTGTCTATACTGCTTCGAGTGTATGACACGATCCGGATAAAGGTCTTTCAGCTCTGTAAGTCCTGGAATATCGGGAACGCGAGGGAGATTGTAGTGCCCAGAAGCTACCACCACCGCGTCAAAGTCCCAAGATTTGTCAACAACTTCATTTGAGGCTCCGTCCGTAACTAACGTCTTTGTCGTCAGACGCCAGCCCTGCCCATCCTCACTTTTGACCGCGCTCTCCACTCTGGTCCAATATTCCGTGACTTGAGCCACACCAGATTCAGAGCTGAGTTCTTGCAGAAAGCGTTTGACGGCCGAGTGCGGGACTAGATTAGGAGTGTCCTCTGGCCAGGATTTTATACTAGGATACATGAGACTTGTAGGAATATTTGTGTATAGACCCGCATAGCACGCGCTAGACGGTGCGAAGAACGACTCTCCATTTCGGAACTCGTGAGCATTGGAAAAGGTATCCTTGCCGGCGGAGAACTTGCTCTTCCCGGCCCTTTCAAGACGAGGGGTCAAGTTGCCATAATCGTCGGCAGACGGGCGGACGCTCGGGTAGCTTGGGCCCGGCGAAGGGGTTTCTTTGTAATTCCAAATCCCGCCTGGCCCCCCTGATCTTTCAAAAACCGTGATATTTACACCTTGTCGCAGGAGGTGGGCTGTTGTAGAGATGCCGCTTATTCCAGCACCGATGACAGCAACTCTGATATTGGGGCCAAACGGTGAGCTTTTCACAGTGGTTTCGGCTGTCATTTTGGCTAAACAAGAACGAAAATGAAGAGTTTAGTGGATGAGTGGCTTAAATGATGTAGTTCCAACGAGATTTGTGATAAGGTTGAGAGCATTTATCTGTTGATTTAGTGGTATAAGGCATACAGCTCTAGCAAATGCAACTTTAATGTCTGGTGTGCTGTCTAGAACCATTAAATATGAGGACAAAAAAAGAAATCTAGACACTGCGTCTCCGATGATGTTATTATTTCCTTTCATCACGCAATATGAACTATTGGGTCTAAATATGGGACTTGATTCATAAGGCATTCTACATCTTCTTCTCAGCTTCTCGTTTCTAACCACTCAAACCCGATGTCGGCCAGTAGCCTCCCACATTCAACATTCACCACTACGCTCCATAGCCTTCCAGAATGATGAAAACCGGTGAGAATTTTCCCTCATGCAATGGGGTAGATTTGAGCGTCGTTTGTTGTAGAACACGAGCAGTAAAGCTATGTTGGCATGCCAACATGATTCTATATCAAAATGTTGTACTCCATTATGTATGATGCGTAACCCAGGGCCAGGCTCTATGCTAATGAGATTTGAATCATTTCACGAATAGTATATGTAGAATGGTTTAATTCTCATCTTCAGCTAGATTAACTAACTGTAGTTTTTGGTCATTGAGCCAATATCCGAAGATGATAGCATTGTTAGGTACACATCAAAATCGTGTAAGAACATTTGTATCAGTAAAAGAGACAGCAATTTGCACATTCAACACAGAACCATTTTTAAGCGGCCAGTTAATGAGGACACATCTCACCAATAATGATGTATCTATTCACATAGAGATAATTGAAAGGTAAAGTGTATTCCTAAGGAAGGATATAATGAAGATAAAATCAACGAGCCAGTATATACTCGACAAATTCCCAAGGGTGAAAGCTCAAGATTATTAAGTGCTGAGTCGATTATTCTTGAGCAGCAAGTTCGCGTCAGGTGTTGCCAGTTAATTAGCCGGTGTATCTCAAAGCTTCTGATCTGCCGTATCTCGCACAATCTTCTTCCCAAGATACCCGAGAAGCAGAACCCCACCTGCCTGAGCTGCTGCGCAAGCCGACGAGGTGATCCAACCAACGCGGAAATATGGCACTTGAGTTCCGGTGTTGAAGATCAGCAGAGGAAGCCAAGCATTAAAAGTAGCGCCCATGGTTTGAGCCATTCCCAGGATCAAAGCGCGTTCGTCCGCCAGAGAGGTAAACGTTTCCCCGAGGAGAGACTAGCAAGTTTAGAAAGTTAGCTTATATCTAACAGCTGGAACTCTAGAGATATGACTTACAATGATGAGTGGCCCGTAAGAGTTTGTGGCGGGGTTTACTAGGTAACCGAAGAAAACTCCAGCCTTGGATGGAGTGGTGGCAAGCACCACGCAAGTTGTGAAGTTCAAGAGCACAATAGCGAATGCGACAGAGACGCGGTCGCGTAGCCTGTCAGAGATGAAACCAAACAGGATCGCTCCTACAAGGCCAACTGCATATGCTGCGGTTGGAATACTAGGATACTTAGTAGGTTGCGTGCATCGCGGAAAAGGGGTGTCTTACATGTTGACTTGCTGGACAGTATACTCATTAAGAGTCTTGAGGTAGATAGCGAAAAAGTCCGATCCGTATGTGGCGGTGCAAAAGAATCTAAGATGAAGGCAGTCAGTAATCGAATACGTCGGATATAAAGACATGGGACTTGCATGTAGTTTATGACAAAAACCCAAACAAAAGGGCGGGAGAGCGCACTCTTGAACGTTTTCAAGGTTACACCTTCAAAGGGCTTTCGGCCGACCTCCTCAACTCTGGACTTGGCAAGGGCTCGTTCTTCCTCATTGAGATAGAAGACTCTGGTATTGTAAGGGCTGTCAGGCACCGCGAAGAAGCCCCAGACTGCACCAGGAATATTGATACAGCCGCAAATTATAAATAACCATCGCCATCCAGGTAGTCCGTGCACTCCATCGAGGCCGGTGTATACTGCTGCTTGGAGGTACCCTGAGAACATTTGCGCAGCGAAGGAGGCGGAATAGAAGATGGTAGCTCGAGTCGCGAGCTCTGGATGGTAAGGCCTGTTAGCAGATAGAAATACTGGCGAAGTTTAGTAAGATTACCTTTAGGTGTATACCAGCTACCAAGCAACGTCATTCCTCCGACATAGAAGGGCGACTCGGCAAGTCCCAGCAGCAAGCGCAGGACATAGACGTGTTTGTAATTCTTGACAGCAGCAAAGCAGAATGTGATGATGGCCCAGCTGATTTCAACAGAAGGTAGCCACAAGGAAGGACGGACATATGTGAGGATCACCTGGCTGGGAATCATACCCACTGTATATCCTATCGTCCAAAGAGTTTGAAAGTAATTGTACTGGTCACTCAAGAGTTCCAAGTCCTGTGATCGTAAGCATATTTGTTCCATTCACATTTTTGGACCAAGGAGAGCACAAACCTCTCTCATTCCTGACACATAAGCATTGCCTGTAGGCTGTCAGTGAGAAGTGTGTTGCAAAGACAGGACATGGTCAAACACTTGGAAGGTTGAACATACGTATATTCGAGGCGTCTAATAGCCGTAGAAAATAGCCAAAGCATGCCCATGATCTGGCCTATATTAGTCGTCTAGCCGTGGAGAAATGGTATTCGGTCAACTTACAGTATGAAAAGGTCCAATTTCCACAAAAGCTTTCTTTCTCCTGTTCTCGCCGATGTGTTCCACCACGACTTCTTAGTCGGGGCCGCTGTCTCTACATCTGTCGAGAGGATATCGGATTGGCCTTTGTCAGTCTCGGCGACTGCGACGACCTGAGGGCTTGGTGTCTTTGCAATTTGAGACATTGTATTAACTTGCTAGAGAGTAAGAGCGATAATTCAGATGATGGTTGGTAGCGACCATGCTTTGATATATATATGATCTAGGGTTGCGGACATTGCATGGCGACATCAGTTTAGAGGCGCTTCTCACCCCACCCAAATGCTGGTAGTAGAAATAAGCGGCAATACCGACTCTACGATCTAGGCTTGGCCTTATCTAGACATTGTGTTATGTGGAGTTACGCGTCAAGTCTACCGGGGCCACAACTTTTCATGTTATCCTTTTCCTTCCCACTACTTGCCAGAGAACCGGTAGTGGGGACAGAGATGCCAATAGTTGATTTCGATAATGAGGGATTAGTTGGTGAGCGAGGTGTGGCTTATTGCGCAAGAGTGTTTGCCCATGATGCGCAACACAATGATGAAGAGAAAAAATAATGATCTTGATTTGACCGACCGGGGATTGAAGGCAAGTTTGGAACTAAACTTAAGACGGTAACCATCCGCGCCGCCTGCATTAGGTGTTTTATACCACCGGAGGTGGATACCGGCTGATGGTGCAATATCTGGTCTAAGTGATGTCAAGGACTGTCAAGCGGATTCAGGTAATCAGCCTCGGAAACGACAAGGGACAGCCAACCTCACTTGGTTCCGACTTCGGTACTGAAGCGCCGGCATAAACCATTCATCTTTTCTAAAGTAGAGGCAAAAATATTATTTAAATGTCAACTGACTTGCTAACATTAGTTTGGTTTTAGCAACATCCCCATCTTCAGTCGATACAATCTATAGCCATGGCTGCCGCTACAATTCAACCATACGAGCTGTACAGCGATGCTCCTGGTTTCTTATTGAACAAACCAGAGTGGGAAGAAGCAGACGCCGCACATCCCGAGACATTTGATTTTGGAAAACAGCCTCAAGGCTGGCCAGTCAAGTTTACTGGTCCAGATGTTTGGACTGGCGATCATCTCGAAAAGCACCGTACGTTGATTTCTACTATGCACCACTTGGCATATGCTAATCTACTTCAGCGGACTTGTACATCAAGACTCTAACTCAGGGTGAAATCGGAGAGATTGACAGCGCAATCAAGGTAAGTCTCCCGGTGAATGAATGGAACTGCAGGATTAATATGATGGTAGGCTTGGAGACAGCTCAAAATTCCAGTCTCTTCTATCGATAGATCCAACTTCAGACTTCCCACGGTTGGGCCCATTTTGCGCCAACTTTCAGACAACATCTATAATGGTGTAGGCGTTCAAATCCTAAGGGGGTTTCCCATCCAGAGATACGACAAGGAGGAGCAAGTTATCGCATTTTTAGGCATCAACTCCTGGATCGGAGACCGTCGGCTCAATCAAGGGGCCGGGCGAGGAGTCTGCCATATCAAAGTCTGTAGGCTTGCTCCCATTCAGTCATGTCTCATGCACTAACCAATTTTTCAGAGTATCACACACCTCGATCCCTCTCAACGTGGCAAAATCTATGTTTCCGCCCAAGACACTTGTACATCAAGACTCTAACTCAGGGTGAAATCGGAGAGATTGACAGCGCAATCAAGGTAAGTCTCCCGGTGAATGAATGGAACTGCAGGATTAATATGATGGTAGGCTTGGAGACAGCTCAAAATTCCAGTCTCTTCTATCGATAGATCCAACTTCAGACTTCCCACGGTTGGGCCCATTTTGAATTGTCAGCGTGAATTGGCCATGGAGATTGGGTACTGCTCTTGAAACCCGAGCAGATTAGGTTGGGGTTCGGTGGAAAATCTCAAAAATGTACTCACTCGGCCGTTTCTAGATCCCCAAGATTCTGCAAACATACAGAAAGAATGTACTGACTACATAGAGTTCTGTCATTGGTATTACCCAGGCTAATGGATCTCTGTCGAAAGACTTCTTCCATCATTTCACACGCAGTGCTCACATCGCCGATTGTGAAATAAGCACTTGCAAGCTCGAACTTCACCATTAGAGTCAAGGCGTCCTTGCTTCCAACCATCTCTTCGACAGTCTTTTTGACGGCGCTGCCTTGATCTCTGACCTGATCTTTCAGTTGTTGTGCAGCCAATACCAGGGTCTGAGTCGCCATGACCGAGGCGAGACGAAGCTTGTTGTTGGTCCGCTGGTAGATGGCTATCGCCACCTTGAACAGCGGAGCAGCGTCCTCAGGTTTATTAATGTCCAAAAGTTGCCAACTAAGATCATTGTGTGCGCGGGCATAGTTGACAGCCTGTAGATCGGTCCAGTCCTCTTCCGGGATTCCTGCCAGTTCTTCCTGACGAAGTTTCCGCACGCGTCGTGCAATTTCTAGAGCTTCTTTTCGCCCGGTAGCACCACAGTAATTAAGCGCCGCTGCTAACAACGCGAGTAAATTTGGAAGACGTGTCTTGGCCTCGATATTATCGGGGTGGGAGTCTATCTCGTCCTCGCAGATGTGGATGCCGGTCACAGCCAACTTCTGAGATAGACTGTTGTCTTCCTGTGTCATCGCATAGTAGCTCGTATCGTCCAAGATGATCATAAATGCCATCGACCCCTCTATTTTCGGCTCCGAGTCCACAAAGTTGGAGTGCAGCCTTTCAATCTGCGGCAAATATCGAGCAAATTTCCAGGCTTGGCTTCTGTCTCCTCTGGAAATAGGATTGGCCTCTGGTATCGCCTTGCGAATAATAGATACGACTTCCATGAAGCGAGTAAACCTTTTATCCGGCTGGGTGTCTAATCTCTGGAGGATGCAACGTTGCAGGACTCGATGAGTTCTCAGAGAGTCATCGGCGTGCTGGCCGTATCTCTCTACGAGGTTTCTCTCTCTCAGAACTTCAACTGCGTTGTTGAATCTAAATCACATTGATAATAAAAAAGTGAGCCCGAGTTGCTTTCTTAATTGAGCTTGAACAAAAATGAAAAAGGCCATGGCTTACCTTGTGCTATCCCAGTACCCCCAGCCACTATCTGTGATTCCCGGATGTGCATTATCTGAGGGTTCAATGAAAAGGTCTGTAGGGATTTGGTCTGGGTCGAGAAAAGCAATCCATTCAAGCAATATGTTGGCGTCGCTGCTGAGCCTCTGAAACGCGATGTTCCAGACAGTCTCAAGGGTATGCGCGTAAGCCCTTGTCAACACGGATATGTTTTCCCTATCCGTTTTCCAGACAGAGCTTGATTGAAGCCGCTTTGAGAAACCTTTGGTCATCTCTTCGATGAGACACTGAGACCTCGACACGTGGCCAGTGAAGTGGACAATGGCGAGTGCGTGGCCCCCTAATATTCTTGAAAGATCTTCAGCGGAGGCTGCCTCTGACAAGCCCCTGTTGAGATACTTCTGAATTAGACTGGCGCCTTCAGATGGCCTCAGAGTGCGCAGTAAGATGTTGTTTGCAGTCAGGTGGCTAATAGAGGGGTTCTGTGACGTGACAATCATTGCGCCGTGGAACCCCGCTGGCCAAAACTCTCGAAGTACGTTTATGTCCTCAGCATTGTCGTAGATGAGTAGCCAAGTTGAACCTATGAATCTCTCATTAGTAGTAGTTCTGAGTTACAACTTTGAATGTTTGATCGTACCAGTAGATCTGAACCATTTGAGGCCTAATTCTATCTGTCTACTTGGTGTTTCGTCTTTCAAGTTTGGAATATCGAGTTCAGAAATGGCCTGGATGAATGACTCTTGAAGAAGAGCCCGCGTTTGGGAGCGAAGCCAGAATATACATGTATAGTTTTCACGAAAACGGTAGGCGTACTCAAGGGCAAGCTCAGTCTTGCCCATGCCACCAATGGCGTGGACAAGGCACGAACAAAACGTCCAATTGCTGCTGGATTCACCCTCAAAGCTTGGTGCCAGGATAGAATGCAATAATGCCAAGGTATCCTCATGTCCACTAAACCTGCTATTTCGAGGAAGTGAAATGTTCGTCTTCAGGCTCTGTGTTGGTAGGGATGGTCGGAGAAGCGCGAGGATTTCTTGATGGCGTCGAGAACCCTCTTGTACCTCGGCCAACTGGACTTCTTTTTCAAATTCGGTATTTGCCGCCGCCAGCCTTTTAACCGTCCGCTGGTGCTCTGAGGTGAGCATGGTCCACTGGATTTTCACGGCAGCGACTGTGACCCTCGTTAGCTTATGGTAGGAATCGTTGGAATTTAGAAGAAAGCCGGAGGTTTAAGGCATACAGCACTGTTTAGACAGTAGACACTCCAAAATGACGATGCACGCATCAATTACAGTGCGGTAGACTTCTCTTAGTGCGGTGTGCAGTCGAGGAGTGCGGAGGATTGTGGTATATTCATGAGCCCTTGGCAATGCAGTCGACATTGTTTCCAGCATTGATTTTAATTCGTCCCAAAAGGTGGCAAATCGGAGAACCGCCTTCAAAGAAAGGCTGGAGTGTCAGTACTCGAATTTTCAGATATGGAAGTAGCTGAGTAAATGGAGACTGACCATGAAAACGAGCGTGAGACTGCCCCAAAACAAGGGAGCGACTGTTGGAGTTCGGGCTATGGCATTACAAGATATGATGAAGGGCTCCATACTCGAAAAGATTTCGCGAACTCGTGGCATACGCTTTGAGTGCCCATGGGCGTTATACGAAGTGGTCAGCGAATTGAGAAGCTCATCCGGATTGTCAGAAGCTGCTATCAACTGCTGCGGTGGCTGATCCTGCCCGGCGAGGCGCTCGCGGAGGCTGGCTAGAGCATTTTCCTTTTCGCCGATGACTAAGTTCCAAAGTTCTGTCTGGTAATTCTCACCAGTATCTTTGAAGGCGTCAAAGTCCTTTTCTCTGTCTTTGCTCATGTTGGATGACGAGGAGCCTGAGGCTGCTTTGTGGCTAGCTTCCTCATTCTTTAGCTTGCCCAAGCAACAAGCGAACAATTCCATCGGGATTAGGCCAAATATTTAATGCCCCGCGAGGTGTGAGACACGGAAGAAAAGATGGACTTTCTTGCGAGAAATGACGAGTTCGTGACGTATGTCGTATGCACCTATGTCTCAGCTGGCAGCTCCGTCCAGATATCTTAGTATTCAGTGAGCAATGATCCCGAGCCGTGATAGATCAAACACACAGTTTGCGGAATATGTTGAATAATGGAATTCTTGACCAGGAGTAGGAATGTCCAAAAAGACATCCTTTCAAGCAGGCATCCTGTCAAGCCGAAGCGAGGCGAGCACTTCAAGCCAGGTGCAAGGCAGGGGTGTGAATCAATCAAGTGGGGACACGTCTTACATTGCATTACATCCCTGAGATGGGAGGGTTGCTTTATGTCAAGGGGTGGGCTGAAATATTGCGCTGACACATGGGAAAGGTCATATGGCTTCGTGAAGTTGTAGGGAAAATCGGGAGTTTGAAAAATCAAAGTAGAGACAAAGGCCGAAGAGGTTGTCTTCTCGAGAAGAGTCGAAGATCAACCTTTCTATTTAAACCTGCACCGCATATGATTTTCACTGTGGGTGCAACTACAACCCTGTATATCCAAGACCTTCGAAAACAGACGCGTGGGAAATACATCTGGACATCAACCCATACGTTTGCACCTAATGAATTACAAAAAACACTGCCCTTTTGTTATTCATTAAAGACGTAGACGAGAGGAGCCCTTCAAGGTACCCCATCTAATAGCACTCAAGATGAGGTTACAACTAAGGCCCTTAATTCAATACTCTCTCGCGGCTGAGATGATGGCGAGACCATCTCTTTCATAAAAGATGTGTGAGGGCAGCCTTTGAAAGGTGGTCAGTAAAGCTCTAATAACAGCATCGTAGGAATGGAATACTTACATTTCGCTGGAACATCCGTTTTAGAGTCAAAATTCTTGAAAAGTATCACTTCGTCTCTTGTTTGGCCGTTGAGATAATACCATTTATAGCCTGGACTTTGAAGTGGATATAGCGACTCGCCTACATAATACTTTCTAACGTGATCGACTCCGAGGAGCTTTTCCTGTGGGACTGTACTGCCATCGCAAACCGCCAGAGGCCAGGTCTCGATCGCGTGTCGGATAGGGCGCCATATACTACAAGAATCTATTAGCTAAAGTACCGAGTCAAGGCTTCATCAAAGGTCTCACAAACTTTATAATACGGATTCTTTTGTCTTCCAATGTGCCTAGCTTATTGCCAAGAATATGTCTAGCTTGCTTCATTGCACCATATGGGCTCTGATCTGGTAATGTTGTGAGATATAAACTTATTTTGTAGGGATGTCTTGTTATTCTTACCTACATGAACGGCCTGAACGGGCTTCAAGACCAGACATGGGTCATTCAGGTCGATTACTGATCCAGGCTGGGGAGTTGGCAGGGAGCTCGAGCGAAGCTGGTTCAATTAGCCGAAGAAGCGCTTTTGCTTGTGAGAAATATGTACCCTCCAATCGAAGACATGAACTTCTGTACCTGGGTCGGTGCCTTTTAGAAGTGTTTCTATTGCTGGGATGTATTCCCTTTTGATAGTGTTCTCGTCGAATTCTGTCGTTTCCAGGGTGTGTCGCACTACCTGGAACCCATGATTGTCGAGATCGAATTGATCTTCATAGCCTCGGATATCGTGTATCGTCTCAGCGTGGCCTGTCATGAGCTGGAAGTTGCTCTTTTCGCAACCATCTGGGACCTCGGACAAGATCTCATACGGTTTCTGTCGCAAGAATAGGTCAGAGTTCTGTATGTAGTTTAATTGAGAAATCTCATCTTGAGTCTTTCCATAATTTGGTAGGGCCATTGTAGGTATCAAGACGTCAAATTTTGGAGAAATATGTGCAATAGTCTACGATAGAAGTATTGAAAAGAATTGGGAAGAGGAATTAGCTCGAGAACGAGGAGCGGGGGGCTGGTGGGTTTAAAATACCTCTCCCCTTATATTTTCTATCAACTGCTGCCTAACACACCACCTCCTAGGTCAGACTAGAGATAGCGTTTTTCATCTTAACATTTTGTTTTCCTATCTAATTTTTGGCTTCCGGCTTCCTTCTTCTTTTTTAAAATATTCACTACTGTGTAAAGTGGACAGTATATTCTATTCAATCTACCATGGCAACGGTGTTGCTTCCAGTCTTGCTATATACACAATGTCCAAATAGCTAGCCGAAAGGCAATATTCCACCCATAGAAGCCGCTGAATCAATGAGAGGGCAACAAATGCGTCCAACACCTAGATCCAGGCTCTGTTTGAGGATAAAGTCACGATACGATGAAAGTTGGTCCGCATATGCAAGGGCTTCGCCCGCATAGAGAGCACCTCCCGAGGCCCCCAGCAATCTCGACCTTCACTAGATCGGCACGTCTTTCCTTCCCAGGCACCGTCTTATTTTCTTCCTCGGGGAACCACTTCTTCCACGGCTGTTCTCTTTGTTCGTTGAGCTCAGGCCCCGTTTCATTAAGCTTGACTATTGGTTGAGACATCTGCGCCATGAATCATGAGTAATGACTCTTTGTGAGAAAGTCGCTTGGGTGGAAGCCTACTTTATTTGAGCAGTACGTTCATATAGATTCAATTTCTCGGGGTGTTTCTGTTGGTATCTTGGAATTGTTTACCCTCTCACTTCACGGCCTCAGCTGCAGGAGCCTTGTACTATATAGCAGGGTAGGAGTTGGCCTTGTCTATAGAATGATATGATGAGGGGATGAATTGAGCCGCATACATGTGTCCTGATTTTATTCGTCAGTTTACGAGCTCTGATTTGATCAACCATGTTGTGTTGGCCACACCAGAGCCGTTAGCATCGCTTCATGCAATACAACCGCAATCGTAATCCATAGTCATCCTCCCGTAGGGTAGGGAAGCAGTGACTCAGGTATTAAATCCCTCAGATATAACATGTAGCAGCAGCAAGCACCGAGGCTACATGGCCAAAGTACCGGACGTATCTATGCATGTGTACCTTGAAAAACAAGAAAATCCTAGAACATGGTGAGAGCGCCTTATTTCAAGGATGCACGTCAGCTTACGCCAAGAAGGCTAGACCAGCTAGACACATGCATGTAACTACGCACAAATGTGTAGCCACACCGAGACTGCCTCAAAGCCCGACGTGAACAAGTGTGTTACCCCGATTGTCAAACGCGTGACACCCTTGTTGTGGATGCTAGCAATTGTGAGCCCACCACCCACGCTAAAGATGGTTAGAATGAATGCCTCCACGTCGTATGCGTGGGTTGTATTTGCTGGGGCATTCCATGTCAGAGCAACGATAAAGGCAAGCTTGAAAAGAGCATTGTATCGGATATTCCTGGCTTCGATGAAAAGGTTGTCTGTTCCAATAACCAATCTAAGTGCCAACTTTGATACACTACGTAGTACGCTTGCTGGAGCTGCGACGTTCGCGATCACCAACGTCAGCCATTGTAGATAAGACCTATCCTGACACTAATACCGAAATTATCGACATTGCCTGGTATTTAACAGCTAGGTATGATTATTAAAGCTCATAAGTAGGCTGTATCAAGTTATACCGAACTCATGCAACCGTTCCTGTAGTTTTCGCAGGTCACACGGTAGGAATTAATGTGTAGGAAGAAGCATTAGTCCTACTTATATCTCATAGAACGGAGTCGTGTTTCCGTTGCCTCGGCTAGAAGGCACAGGAGCAGCCGCTCATCGTTTGTCAGTTGTCATAAGCTAGTACCCTGTACTTTTAGTATCCTATTTACGTTGAGAGGACGTGGCCAATCCTTATTCGTTCAATTTACCTTGATTGTGTCAGCTTGACACACTTTGGAAATATGGTGGCTTTGTAGCCGTCGGCTCTTGTTGATCGGCAACCCAACCTCATATTGTTGGCTGAATAGGGGTAATGGTGTTTCCCCTACCACCCACATGGCCTTGTCCCTTAATTGCTACTCTCCAAGCTTCAGTCTGTACTTCATACTCGGAAAAAGTGCTTGCGGATTGCTTTACTGTCTTGCAAACTGGTTAGAGCTCTTTGACACGAAGGTTTCCGGGAGCGCTACAGTGCCACTCGCTTAGATACTTTGAGACATTTTGTTTTGGATACATCTAGTCTATAGATCATGTCTTATACTAATTGGCAGCCAAGGGTGAGTATGGCGAAGCCATTTCACTTTGCCAGCGAGGATTGGCGATCATAGACAATATAAGCGTCGGGATAACATGTTTCACATTTAGCACGACATGGTTCGGATACATTGTGGTGAGAGATCAGTTGCTAGAAACTGATGAAGCCGCGAAGTTCAGAAAAGAGGCTATAAGGATTTGACATATTTTATTAGGGGAGGAGTCTCTTCTAGCATCCGGTTGTAGCAACGCAAAATTTGACAAGATTGCGGTGTATTTCAACCGCCACGCAAAGAAAGCAGTAAGCGTACACTAATCTTGCGTAAGTAAAAATTAGCGAGTGATCAACCGAAATCGCCCATTGCTAAAATTCAACCGTGTGGTTCTCATGCCTTTATTTAGCATGCATAGGACGCAAAAATTGGGAATACGAAAATCAGGACAATGATGGGATGTAATAAACATGCGGTTTCTTGCAAGTCCCTCCCTGGTGAGTTGAGTTTAAATAAAAGCGAACCAACTTATTCTCGCTTGAAGACATGCCCCTCCGCCTGCGTATCATCGAACCTCCATCGCAACGAGGTAACGGTTTTACCTTCCACAATAAATTCGATTTTGTAGAACCCAAACGGTCTGCACCACTGACCACGGCTCACAGTCTGATCAAATGTCTCGTTAAAGACAAACGTGTCATAGTGGTGGTGATGGAGCGTATACTTTTCTTCATCTAGACCTTGGAACTTGACACTAAGGTTTTCTCCATCTTTAGATGTATCAAATGTTATCTCAAGACAAAAGGTTTTGGTTTTGTGCCAAAAAACGCCAGTATATTGCTCAAGGTTTGAAGGCGGCTGACTTGGTTTTCTCTCCTCATATAGGGCTTTCTGTACTCGGTCCATAGCGGAACGCCCATTCGAAGCTGCCATCGTAGCATATTTTGTGAACGGAGTCTCAATCGTTCCTTCAAGAAGGGCTTCGAGCAGGACCTGTGCAGCCCAGTCGGTGGCGTCACAATGCCCGAGGGCATTTCCCAGGGCAATCATACCAGTATCCATCTCTGGGAGGAGATAGATGGTGGAAGAGCAGCCTAGATTATTACCATTGTGGTGGAGAACAAGTATCCCGTTGGTTCTTGTGCCAATAACAGGCCACGTATCCAGCAAGCCAGCATTTCCGCTGACGATATTGATGTTGTTGGGTAGCTGAGTACGTGCCCACCCCATACCATATGACCTTTCCCGGAGGGTTGGGGGAGAACCATGAAGAGGGATGACTGCCTCGAAAATAGTGACAACATGGTTAGAGGACAGGCCCAGCTGGATAGAGCCCGAATCTAGGCCCTTCAAAAGAGCACTATAGAAGACCACGAGGTCGCGGACGCAACTTCGAATGGAGCCAGCTGCGAAGGCAACTGTGTCACTAGATATGCGCGGGGTTGGAACTTGCCGATGCTGGCGGTTCGAATAAGGCACATAGGCCAACGAAGTGTTTCCATCAGCCGCAGGCGGAATGTTCGTGAACGTCCTGCTCATGTTTAAAGGTTCGAAGATACGTTGTTGAATAAATTCTCCGAACCCCATGCCTGACACATGCTCAATAACGCACCCGAGGGCATGGCATCCGAAATTGTTGTAGAGGAAGTCTTGGCGCGGGGGGCTGCTTGGATCAAGGGATGCGAAGATCTCTAACCCTTGAGATTTGGTGACGAGGAGCCGGTTGTCAGATCCGATGAAGAGTGCATCCGATCTGCAAAGACCACTGCGATGGCTAAGCAAGTCTCGCAAAGTGAATGCACCATTATCTCTACCGTGTAAATAATGGAGGTGAGTGTCAATGCGGTCGTCCCAGGATACCCTCCCATCTGCAACGAGACAAGCAACAGCTACAGCGGTAAAGCCTTTGCACAACGAACCAATGTTGAAGACCGTATCGAGATCTGGACGGAGGCCTTGGCTCACATCTCGAAATCCATGGAAGCTCACTGCTGGTGGCCCCTCGGGGTTGAAGATGCCGATCGCGAGGCCTGGAGTCCCGGAGATTTTGCAAATTTCGTCGATAATCGCCTTGGCTTGGCGAATCACATCCCTGTGCGACATCAGCGAAGCTTCATCCTTTGGGATTTCAGGCTGCGTTATTTTGAACTTGGATTTCCTAGCAACTCGGCAGTGTTTGCAAGAAACTTGGGATGGTCGACAGATTTAAGTTCAGTTATCTGGATGCGGGGTTGGGAATTATTTGAACAGGCTGTACCCCTTCTGAAATATGGTTGGAAGTCACTCACTAACGCTAGCTTCGTCTAGGTAATAGTTAAAGGCAAAGTTGTGTCTTATGTAGATAGTCGTCTAGCCTTACCCAGTGAGGGTAAGGATGTGCTTGCCAATGAGGAAAGCCTACCAGAGGCCGATATAGACCGCCATGAAGTAGTTTGCATCGACAGTACTGATTCCACCTGCTACTTTAACAAACTGACACCTAATCACTGACAATTGAGCTCTATCCTTTAAATTAATTCAAATTGTAACAGTGCAATTATCCGATCGAAGTGAAAACATTCCTTTCTAAGTAAGAGAAGCGCTTCCACATCCCTGTTCCAGCATCCCAGCGCCTACTCTGAAGCAAGACATCGTCTCAGGCGCAGCCATTCGTACTTGGTTCCAATACTCCAGGTGCCAGACGATGCTTTGGCCTTTCAAACACGGAGATCAGTTGTATAGCCAAGGATCCTGGAGGAGTTCCTTCGGTGTTTTTCGATCCTCTGGGCTCCATTGCAGCATCCCCCCCACGAACCTCAAAAACTCTTGTTTCTCGTCCCCTTCCAAGTTCAATTCAGACTGTGCTAGACCTGAGTTCGCAGGAATCGGAACATCTGCCTTCCACTGGCTTATTGAATAGTGCGGTGAGTAGCAAGGAAGAGAGACTCGGACTAAGGATGCAACTTACCATCGTCGGTCAAAAACTCGTCGCTTCGAGAACCAACCTTAATGAGGTCAAGGGGAGGCATTCCAAGCATACCAATTACTTCTTCCAAATGTGCCCTAGTGGAATACGCGGTGTCTTTTGGGTCTATGCCATGAAACAAATGTTTACCTTCAAATATGTCCCATCTCTATCACATCGGAATATTAGCGAAACAGGAGTCCCCAAGAACAGTATTCACTAACCATAACTCCGACATTCCAGATATCAATCGGATAACTCCAAGTAACCTCCAACATCACCTCGGGCGATCTATATACCTCTGGCTGGGCATCGTGGTTTCTCTTCAAGTCCCCCCTAACAGCAGCACCGAAATCACTCATAATGACGATGCCAAGATGTTTTGGTAAATGAAACTACCTTGAATTGTAAATAATCACGCCGTTCACAGTTTTCCGGGCCGATGGGGTGTGCATTCTTCTTCAACAAATGAATCTAGAATGCTCTTATCGACAATCTTATGCAAAATGTTATTGGCTTTGATATCTTAACAATGTTCAAATACCAGATTAGTAACCGGGTTAGTTTACTCCTTTAATCCTCATAGATTGGAGCTTTACCTGTGTGAACAAGCTTACACTCATTGTGTAAATAATCTAGAGCTCGCAGAATCTGCTGTAGGCCCCCTTTGAGCATCGGCAGATTGAATCGACGTGTAGGGTTCCTACGAAGAATGTCTCTCCAACTATCCCACATTGGGTCTTGGACCAGACAATGGTGATCGCCATTTGAATGCGGCAGGACAATCATTTCCCGAGCTGTTCGTAAATGGTGATATCCAGGGTGAGCAGAGTCACCTTGAAGAATCTTTTTGCATACCTCGAACTCTTCTTTACCGGTATATCCTAGTATATGTACTTTTAGGGCCACATAGAAATGTTCTCTAGTATTGTTCTTGTTCAGTAACGCACTCACGCAATTCAGAGACTAGATCAAATGGCACGTACTGAAGACTTTTAGCCAACCATACAGTCGACGTTGACCCAAAGCCCAACTTTCCCACTATCTGGTACTTTGAATGGTATACGTCTCCGATGTTGACTGGATAATAAGCGCCGGCAGAGAACTCTTCAAGATGCTCCTCTTCAAGAAGCTCTGATGCCGGAACGATCTCGAAGCCGGTGCTAGGAAATCGTAGAGGTAGCGACGGGGCCCTTCGTAAGGCCGATCTCGCCCATTTGAGAACCGAAGGCATGAGGAAATTCAAAGGGCTAATATCAAGAAAGATGCTGGTTATTCGTGCGGGGACGTGAAAATAATAGAGGAGTGGTTGATGAGGGATCCTTGATCTGGTCGATGACAGGTGCGGCAAAAACAAATCCCAACCATTTCAAGGGATGAGTGGATGAGAGCCTGTGCATACACAGTGGAGCACGAATTGTGCCGATGAAAGCAGACTAGCCAACACGTGCCTGGAGAAACAAAGCAAAGTGATAATAGGTGCCTGATTTCTGGCCATGCTAGTGATGAATTTTTTCTATCCGAAATCTAGAGAACCTTGGTCTTCCGTAGGTTAGGTGGTGGTCTTAGTACTTATAAGGGAAATTTCGAACGTTGTGCCATTATCGATAGCCATTGCAGTGACTGCAAGTACACACAGAAAGTCATAACAAAACCATTAAATGTATTGAAGATGAGCGGGTGTCTCTTGATACCTTGAGATTAGTAGAGAAGGTGTTGGCTGATTCATCTCCGGCGATGGGCGTAGTGAAGATGATGTACGAATCAAGTAGCTGGTATGGTTCTCATGTATTTTTTGGTAGTAGGTTTCCTTTTTTCTTGAAGCCTATAAAGCCTCCAAAAGGGATTTCCAAGGATGGGCCGGATCTGACGTTTATAGCAGACTGTCTAGTATACGGAATTATGTACGGTGAAGCTGCTAGAGGACGGGAGGGTGAGCACTGAGCAGGTGGTGCTTATGAAAACCCGCAACAGGCTAGAATAGCCTCATATTGTCTTACAGATTGCCCTCTATCTTCGTTTAGATATAATTGAATCAACGAATGATTTTCACAGCACCACCTTCTACTTGCCCTTGAAATACTCACATCAGCAACGCAGAAGGGCTACCTCTTGAACTGGCTGACTAATCGGCCGCACATTAATGGAACTGAACACACCATGACCAAAGATGGGCTAATAATTCTTTAGCAGATCTTTCATATTTTTGTTCTTGAGACACATAAACATCCTCCCCCACGCACTCGAACATGGAGCTCCCATCATTGACGCTGGGTGATGCTCCTATTCGACATGCTCACTCGTGCCTAAGCCTTTCCAACAAACTTTTTCGTTCAATATCAGAACTCTTGAGCCCCACAGCCCTTACTACGACAACCGACAGCTCACGATCAGAAAATAGGGTTATCCTCTCTGTCGGTAGTGGGACAGGACTGCTCGAGAGTCTCATGACATCATATCTCGCCTCCTCAAGCCACTCAACCTACCCCCAATCAACATGTCTGAGCGTTGAAGGTGTAGAGATCCGGCAGGCGGATTCCGCAGAATCAACCAATAAATACCTGCCTGAGCCTTTCATCAGCAGTGTACGAACCTCGAGAGAGGTCTCATCCCGCTTAAGAGACCCCGAGGTATTCGCTATCATGTTTGTGTATCCTCGCCAGCCGTCTCTACTATCTCTCTATATGAGGGCAATACTCGAAATGAATTTGGCGGCCAGAACTGTTATATGGCTGGGACCTGTCGCTGATTGGGCTGAATATGAGTCTTGTTTCACCCGCAGTGATGCCAGTCACACGCTAGATGTGTATGAAGGGGATGATGTTGGAATAGGCTCATACGAAATGATGGCTGTTTGGAAGTTTCAGTCGTGACTTGGTCATTTGGAAGCTTTGATCAAATTCATTAGCGGCCGCCATCGACTTGTTGACCGGTCTCGTCTCATTTTTGGGATGAGGCCCTTATGACTTGCTAAAGAGTCGACATTACAGGGACAATTGAGCGCCAAGTGCCAAAAAGGAAAGTAGAATGTGACGAATGGGCGTGAAAGGGGATAAGAAATACATAATGTCATGGTAGACACAGCGCAGTTCAGGCTATATTTTTCATATTACAAGGGTTAGTTGAAGTGATTTAATGATGATAGTAACAGATTTCCTTAGTTATTTGAGTGACATTTCAGGTTAATCAAAGATAACCAGATTGTTAAACAAATCCTTTCCTTGACTAATATATGCCAATCTTCACGCCTCTATTGACAGAGCTTTCCTCCTCAATTTGAAAATGCTATCCAGCTTATACCGCTGTGACTCTTCCAGCTGCTTGCTTGTCTGAGGTCACTTCTGCCTGAACCTCACTACTAGTAGTGCTGAGGTTGGATGAAGCCTTCATGAAAGGGTAGCGGCCATTTACCTCCTTATATCGCATAATGAGGAAAGCCACGATAATACATAACCAATATAAATTGTAAGAGATGACGGAACCGTAAGTCGCCGAGTTGGTCCAACCAAAAATAGCGGTGAAAATGTTCCAGCCTCCATTGTCTTGGATTTTGGGGGAACAGCACTACACTTGTTAATAAACATAAGTGGCAGTCAAGAGGATGGGAGAACTCACGTTCACATGCCAGACACTCTGGTCAATATCATATGATCCTGCACCTGATCCAAACTCTGCAGCCTCTCCACCAATCTTCTCGTTCCATTTTTGGTTCTCAAAGCTCCATACACCCCGAGAAAACAAACCGGCTGCGACGAGATAGAGTAGACAAGTTGAGATAACGAGGAAAAGTTGGAGCCGAGCAGTGGAACCTCCCCTGCTGAATGTTAGCAAGCTCTTCTCAAACTGACCTATTTGATAGGAAAACCACTCACTTGTAAAGAACATATCCCACCAAACCACCAGCGATAAGACCAACAACGGTGGGCAAGGGAATGGCCGCCGCTGTGGAAGAAAACGAGACTCCGGCGACGAATACCACGGCCTCAACGCCCTCACGCAGGACAGTAATGAAGGGCAGTGCGAACATGGCATAACGCTCGAAAAAGGTCTTCCACCAGTTTCCAGAGCCTGCTTTGGGCGATTCCTCGAGCGACTGCGCAAGCTTCACGCGCCACTTCGCCTGCATCTTTCCGATGCGGAGGAGGGCAGCCCCCATAATTGAGATGATGATTGACGCAAAGAGGCAGAAAGCTCCTTCGTAGTAGAGTTCATTCTTTCCCCAGGCGTCTTTACCCTTAGTATAGAAAACACCGATTATGGCCGCCGCGACAATCATGCAGAAAATGAAACCTATTCCAGCCCCAAGCCAGACCTGGCACCTGGTTAGTCCCAGTGAATTGAATAGGTAGATTGGATGGTAACCATACCTGGCGCCTTAGCCGCTTATAGATAACGACGTCGCCATCGGGACCTCCGAGGGTTTGCTTGAGGAAAGCTAGTAAGACGGAGAGGATAATGACAGCCTCAAGCGACTCTCGAAAGACAACGAGGAAGACTGGAACGGCGAAGACGTCTACAGCCATGGTGTCGGGAGAGGGTCACGGCTTGTAGGTAGCTGCAGATAAAATGCAGCTCTGAAAAATACAGCGCCGAGGGAGGGGGATTAAATGAACGGGCGAATCTTAGACCAGCCGACGAGTGCCTACGAGGGAAGAGGGAAGCGTGACGCGAAGGGAGGGAAGCAGAAGGTGTAAGTAAGTAGAGGGAGCCTAGCACGGAATGGCCCGACTCAAGCTTAATGCACTGATGATCTAAACGCGAAGAGATAACGAACCTAATTCCTCGGATCAGATAATCGTACTTGTAAGGTGGCATTGGCCGTGTTTGGGTGTCACACTTTGTGTCTCGTACCTGGTACATCTGCCCAAATCCCACGACAAGGGGCACCAATGGGGAAATGAGCTTGTCAACGACTTTCAATCCCAGTCACACATGCGTTATAGGCCAATTCAAAGCTTCGGTCTAGAATGTAGACCCGGATGAATCGGCACAGGTGGCTGCAGGACAGCTTTTCAGCTGAAGTCTCCACCAAGCTATCAAGCGCCCAATGCGGTAGAGGAGAAGGGAAATGGCACCACTATTTCCACCTCGTGAGAGGCGTTATTTAGCTGCCAAGGGGGTAATGAAGCCAGGAGGGTTTCTGTGCAAGTTGATGTTACAATGTCATTGCCAGGGTGGGCGCAACTGCTCGGTCACCGAGCTCTTGTGTCGCGCTTGAGATAATCATAGCCCAGACGAGTTAAAAAAGTAAGGTCACACACGTCTGAGTGGGCTACCTACTCTAAATTGCTATTTCGACCAGGGTCTGGCCATACGCCGAACTAGCGTCGGGATTCTGGGGATGGTCTCGGCTCAGTACGTCCAGCCCCCGCTTGCTTGACGAGTAGACTCATGAAGCTTTTTTTTTACTCTCTTTTAATTTGTGGAGATTCAAGTGTCTTATTTTCTCGTGTTCTCTCCAAGGGAATTGAGTGGTCGGGTGTCGCGCCAGAGCGATATCCTTGCCGCACCAGGCTTGATGGTGAGACGGCGTTGGAATTGTGCCCAAGCTTTCTTGTTCAACAGCTTTACGTAGCAGGTATGAATGGATGCTCTACTGAGGACTCTCTCTCTGTCGCTGTGTAATAGTATACCCCTGCTTGTTTGCCTATCGGTTTGTGCATACGCCTCAAAATGCTAAATCACGAGATGTTATGCCATGATGCTGAGGGCTGACTCGTTATGCCCAAAGCAGAAAAAACCCTCGACCCATCTAATCAATCGCCGGGGCCTCTTTCAGCCTGTCCTATTGGATAGGATCGATTGATAAGATGGTGGCGTTGGTCAAGTGAACAAAAAAAAATCAGACTTGAAGTCACCGTCTCATCGGTTCCCCCCAACCGAAACACTATCCGTTCACATTATGGAAGCGCCATGCTAAATTGAGAGATCGTCTCGGAATTACGGCACCTTGTCCCACCTTGCCACAGATTTGCATACAGAGAAACCATGCGAGTGACACCACGGGAAATCCCTGCTCGGAAGAGTCTTGGCTTTCGAGCTACCGAATGGATGCAATTGACCTGTCCAGGCTGTTGATTGTATACAATACCTACCATCGTTAAAAGTCGGAAAGGGCTGTGGAATGCTAGAGCTTGGCCTGAAACCAGCCGATATATCAGCTCATCTTTGCCACATTGGATGCGCTACATTTGGTGCTTCCTCGGAGATTGTCACGGTGGCCGAGCTGAGCTGAGGATCGTGGGTGCAACTTCGTATTCTAGACCCCAAGTCTGGAAAACATTACAATCTTATCAGATCCGGGCGCCCATTCTGCCTGTCCGTCCATTTAGATGCGACTTTTGAAGCCTTCTCTTCCCGCCCCCCATCCCATTTGACCCTATTGCCTCTCCCTGTTCCTCTCACTGCGCCATGGCTTGGGCCTTCATCCAGAGCGTGGCACTGCCCGCGTTCGCCCTGTCTCACCTGGCGTCGGCAGCAACAATTCAGTATGACTTCGACATCGGTTGGGTTAGAGCCAACCCAGATGGCGAGTTTGAGCGCCCAGTTATCGGGATCAATGGCCAGTGGCCCATTCCCACCATTTTCGGGAGCGTTGGAGACCAGATCGTGGTCAATGCCCACAACAGCCTGGGCAATCAAACCACCTCGCTGCATTTCCACGGCCTCTATATGAATGGCACGACGCACATGGATGGTCCTGGTGGAGTGACGCAATGCGACATCCCTCCTGGATCTTCCATCACCTACAATTTCACTGTTTGTGGACAAAGATCATCTCGCTCTTACATTTGGAAAGAATGCTAATTCTAGTGCATAGCTTTCCCAGCCAGGAACATATTGGTACCATTCTCATTCGCACGCTCAATATCCGGTGAGCCTACCCGACGGCGCATTGTTAGGAAAGGAACCAACACTGATATTTATCCATAGGACGGACTTCGTGGTCCTCTCATCATCCATGACAATGACTTCCCGTACAAGGACAAGTTCGATGAAGAGCACGTCCTCACACTTTCGGATTGGTACCATGACGAAATGCAAGAGATGGTTCCCAAGCTCTTCATGACCAAGAACAACCCGTCAGGAGCAGAACCTGTGCCGAAGAATGCACTCATGAATGAGACTGTTGGTTTTAAATTCCCGGTAAAACCCGACACCACGTATTTGTTCCGCGTGATCAACATGGGCGCATTTGCTGGCCAATATCTCTGGTTCGAGGGCCATACGATGCGTATCGTAGAGGTTGATGGCATATACACGGAAGAGGCCGAGGCGGAAATGATATATCTCTCAGCCGCCCAGCGTGTCAGCTTCTTGCTCACGACAAAGAACGATACTTCTGGTAACTTTCCTATTGCTGCCAGCATGGACACCGTGAGATTATCCCGCTTTTAAGAAAGATGCCTAAAACAGTATTAACACATGCTCGTTAGACTCTATTCGATATCCTTCCAGATGATCTCAACTACAATTCAACAGGCTGGCTCGTTTATGACGACAAGAAAGATTTCCCAGCCGCAGCAACAGTCGACGCTCTCGACCCTTTTGATGACATGACACTAGTGCCATATGACAAGATGGAACTATTGCCAGAACCCGATCGTGTGGTCCAGCTTGATGTGGATATGAACAATCTACGGGACGGTATGAACTACGCTTGGTTCAACAACATCACCTACAAGGCTCCTAAAGTCCCTTCCCTATACACCGCGCTCTCTGCTGGCGAAGACGCTACAAATCCGGCAGTCTATGGAACTTGGACGAATTCATTCGTTCTCGAGAAGGGCGAGATTGTCCAACTTGTGGTGAATAATCTTGATACTGGCCGGCACCCATTCCACCTTCACGGCCATGCCTTCCAGTCCATTCATCGCTCAGATGAGGAGGGAGGCCTGTGGGAAGACAGCCCTGTTGCGGAAGCAGACCTTCCCAAGACTCCCATGAGACGAGATACTCTAGTTATTTATCCCAGCGGCAACGTTGTTTTGCGGTTCAAGGCAGACAACCCAGGTCAGTAACTTCCGGTAAACTCAAAAGAACTCCTCCCTGACTTTAAATAAAACCCTAGGTGTGTGGCTCTTCCACTGTCACATCGAATGGCATGTTGTCTCTGGTCTCATCGCCACATTCGTGGAGAGTCCGCTTGACCTGCAGAAAACCATCACGATTCCTCAAGATCATCTGGATGTATGCCAGAAACAGAACATTGCCACGAAAGGAAATGCCGCAGCCAATGCTGTAAACTTCCTCGATCTCACAGGAGAGAATGAGCCTCCACCACAACTGCCTTCCGGGTAAGTGTCTTCTCTTAGCTATCAGTTCTGATCTCAGAGCGAGTTGGGCTAACCACGGTGGCCCCATACAGATTTCAGCCTCGCGGCATTGTTGCTCTTGTATTCAGCTGTGTTGCAGGTATTGTTGGTACACTGGTCGTCGCCTGGTATGGTCTGGCACCAGTGCCTGAAGCAGAGACTGGAACTGCGGGTAGCCCAGTCTTTGCTGATTCCGGGGCAAGCAACAACTCCAAATCAGCGAATATCGGTGGCAGCACGAAGCCAAATGACATTACTGCAGATACAACCGCAGATACGCCCGGTACAGTACCGGCAGTAAAGTCTTGATGATAAATGTTATCCTCTCGTATGCGAAGGACATGTCCAATGGAGTGGTTCCTGTTTTAGGCGTTCTCCAGTAATATTATTTGTTAGCCTTTTATGCACCAATATAGTTTATATGAACAAATAGGAACCAGGTGTTTTTATACGCGTCAATCTACAGAAATATATATTTCGTTCATTTCGACAGTATCCTGATCGATCAAAAAAGAAACTGCTCCCTAGCACCCCAGCCTGGACATTGAATTTATCTGGTTATTTCTGAGTTCTCATAGCGAGATAATATATGGTAAGTTTAAAAGATTTTCAAGAATACGTGTTATCTAGCAGAAACTTTCCCAGTTGCAAGTAAATCCTCAATTTATATGCATCTATGTATGAAAATTCTACAACCATAATCTATATATGTTTTGTCCACACAATCTATATCACAAGGTTCTATGAAGCATTGTGTGAGTTACTTAATATGTTTCTTGACAACTTCAACAACCTCCTCGTCAGTCAGGCCCTTCAAACCCAGCAGCTTGTTGTCCGTCTTCTCAAAGTTCGCTCCAAAAGAAGGGGTGAAGATGGACTGATAAAGGTTACCCAGAACGACATCGTTGTCGAAGATTCCCTGCGCCAGCTTGGCGTCGCCCTTGGCAGCTAGGTCTGCCAGCTTGACATGCTCGGGCTCCCATGGCTTTTCCGGGGCCACCTGCTTGACAATAGACAGGAGCTTGTTCTGAGTAATTTTGGTGTCCTCAATATACACGGTGCGATTCTTGGTCTCTTCAGGGTGCTCCAAGACACCAATTACGGCATCTGCTACCGTAGAGAGTGTAGTGGAGGAGAAAGTGATGTCGCCGCCATCGATGATCATGGGCTTGTAGTTGGACACTCGGAGAGTGAAGTCATGATCCAGA